ATTATAATTACTTCAAAAAATTTTAATAAAATTCTTTGAATTATTATTAAAATTCAATTAGTGTCAAATAATTTTAAGAAAATAATTTTCAATTATTTTCAACAGCTACAATTTTAATAGATTTTCACAACAAATCAATATTATTAAAATTTTTTTTAAATTCTTTGGAAAAACTCCAATTATTTTAATAAATAACATTTTTACAAAAATTCAATTATTTAAAATGTAATTTTCATAAAATATTTGAAAGAAATTAAATCATTAAAAAATTCTTTCAAAGAGTATTTAATAAGAATTATTCAATTATTTTAAAAACTTTTGGTAAAAAGTATAAAAATTTTTTTTTTTAAGAAACAGTATAAAAATTTATTTTTAAGAAATAATCAATTATTTAATCAATTATTTATTATTGTTTCTAAATAATTGAATTCTTGTAAAACTTTCTAAGAATTTGAAAATGAATGAAATAAAAATGAATTTCAGATAATTTTATTTAAAAATTTGAAAATAATGATTGAATTTTGAAAGAATTACAGTTCTACTTTTTAGTAAGAATTAAATTTCAAAATAGTGGTACATTGAAATTATTTAAAATATTAATTCTCGTGGAAAATAAGCAAAATTTTTTAACAAAAATTATTCCACTTTTGAATAATTTAATTTAGAAATTCTAAAAAAAATTAGACTTTTGAAAAATTGTAATTAAAATTTTTTTGAAGTTAGTTAAATTCCCGTAAATATTTTAAAAAGATTAGTTAAATTTACAAAGTACTTTAAAATTTCGTCAAAATTTAATTGAAATAAATTTTATTTCAGTAAAAGAATTTTATTTTTATACTTTTAAAAATTATTTTTAAATATAATCGTATTTTTGAAGACTATTTAAAAAATTTGGAAAAAAACTGAACTTTAGAAAAATTTAGAATTGAAGTCAGGATAAAAAAGGAAAGTAAATATTTTTTTTGATAGAAATCAGGAAAAAGACAGGGAAATCCTAAATAAAATGTTTGTGAATTTTTTTTTTTATTGTTTTGTCCTTTCTTGTTAATATTGTATTTTTTATTTGATATCCATTCCAAGTAAGGAAATTTTGTTATAAAAAAATTTAATTACAAGAGTAAAGAAGTTTTTGTTTTGTTTTTTGTCTTTTTTATTCGTTTTCTTATTATTTGTTTAACAAATTCTAAAAATAAATTTATGCATATATTTTTTCTATATTTTTCATCGTTATTTTTAATTCACGTTACTTGAGAAAATTAGGATTCCCTTTTGTTTCTTTAATCGTTTTTCTTTTGTCTCTTTTATTGTTTCTTCCTTTCTTGTTAATGTTGCACATTCTTAATTTGATATCCATTCCAAGTAAGGAAATTTTCTTATAAAAAAATTTATTTATTTAACTAATTACAAGAGTAAAGAAGTTTTTGTTTTGTTTTTTTGTTAATAGTGCATACTTAATTTGATATTCATTTCAAATAAGGAAATTTTGTTATAAAAAAATTTATTTATTTAACTAATTAAACGGTTTGAGAATTTCTTGTTTTATTTGCTTTTTGTCTGTATTTTATTCTCTTTCGACTCTTTTTTTTATTTCTTTATAAAAATTTTTTTTTATTTTTTCTCCACATTTTTCATCGTTCATAATAAATTCACAACAGAATTAGGCGGCTTTTAGAGGACACAATTAAAAAAATATGTTAATTACCAAAATAATTGAAAATGGTAATTGTTGATGAAAGTTTTGGCAAAAGCTTGATTTTTTCCTAGGGGGTTTTTTTTCTCTGCTCTTTTTTTCTAAAGTAAAAAAATTCCTAATGAATGGAAATGGTTGTGGCTTCATGGAGCTTTTATAAGAGTGAACTTTTGTTTGTTCATGCGGGTAAAGGATGGATGCCAAGTTTGGCAGAGGAGTTTGAGGATCTCTCTCCGTGAAACTCGAGTCAGTGTACTCCTGAATAGCTAATTGGCGAATGGACTTCATGTATAGTGCACGAGAAACAATATTGGACGGCGCCAGACAATTAACTTAGTAAATTCTACAAGTAGACAACCAGGAGGACGTTATATACTGTGGAGAAATAAAGGGATCGGGGAATGGTTGAGTTAAGTTTAATTGCTCGCATGGCCACGTAATAAACATTATTAGTCTATGAAAAAAAAAATATTTTTATTTCAAACATTATAATGAAAGAGAAAGACAACAAAAGTAATGAACAATAATTTATATTGTGTTATTCACTTATTCACACTAATGTCATTAAATTTACTTTATTCCCTAAAGTCATTAAATTTACTATATTCTCTAAATTCATAAAAACTAAATTTACTAAATTTACCAAATTCACTAAATTTATTAAAGCATTCTCTCGAAATAACCAACAAAGATAATTTACGGAAAAAATTCTCCATTTTAATACGCAATTTTTTTCTTGACCCTTTTCATTTGTTTTCCCTTTTTCTGGCACTAGAACAAAATTTTTCTCCTTTCAAAAAGTAATTGTAAAAAAAATTACAATTTTTTATTACTCATGAATTTATTTTTCCCCTTCAAAAAAAAAAGGAGTAGACAGTTTATTAGCTTTTATTTTCCCGCTATCAACATTTTTTTCTCCCCTTTTTTACTTCATTGTCAATAAAAAACAGCGGAGGAAAAATTAATTTCTATTAAGCACGAAAAATAATTTTATAAATGTCCACAATTTTCGAAATTTGTATAAGAAATTATTTGCAAAATCAATGGGATAAAAACGAGAAAAATTATTTGCAAAATCAGTGGGTAAAAAAATTATTTGCAAAATCAATGGGTAAAAAAGTTATTTGCAAAATCAATAGGTAAAAAAATTATTTGCAAAATGAATAGGTAAAAAAATTATTTGCAAAATCAACGTAAAAACAAATACAGACCAAAATCAATAGGAAAAAAATTCAGATCAAAATCAATTAGAAAAAAAAGAGCAAAATTTGTTTGAAAAATTATTGAAAAAGAAAGATTACAATGATTTGTAAAAATTGTAAAAAAAAAACCAATTAGAATGGTTTTGTAAAATTGAAAAAAAGAACAATTAATCGTGTGTTGTAAAAAAAAACAAGTTTGAAAGAATCGTTCCACTTTAATCTGTACAATAAATGTTTGTATGGCGTATCCTCTTTTATTCCATTTTCCAAACAAGAGTTCGACCAACGTGAGGACAAACGATGCCCCGAAAGTAATAGTGCCACGCGACTAATTAGAACGAATTGACTACAACGTTCGAATTATTTTGAAAGGCAAATTCAAACCTCTTGTTTTCCTAAAATTCGACAAATTACCGGTTTTATTTAATCGCAATATCGCAAATAATTCATCCTTTTTATCCTCCCAAAAAAAAAAAAACTCTTTCTAAAATAAAATTTCAATCTTGAGTTACAAATTATTTAAAAAAAAAAAAGAAATTTTTAACACAAAGTTTCTTTTATTCCCTCGCGATTTTTCATTCTTTTGTTATTTCCTATTTTGTAAGCAAAAGGATTTTATAAAAAAAATTCTTTTTTCAAGTATATACTTTTTCATTCATATTCAAATGATTTCAGATTAATAACAAAACAAAAAAAAAAAAATGAAAAGAAAAAACAACAAATTAAAACTTTTCTGCGATAAATCCGATTTTTATTTTCAGAATCTCGTCTAGTTTTCAAGCCGAAAACTTTGTTTTTATATTGGATTAAAATCTGCATCGAGAGATATGCCACGAATGGAACTGGGAATTTTTCACTTTGGTCTTTGGCCATTGAATCGTGGCAGGAAACTTTTCTCTGTATTGTTATTAAATATTACAAGTTTTGAGAAACTTGTCGAGAATTATTTTACATAATAATATCAAATATTCAAATTTATTCTAATTAATTTCTTATTGTTTGCTATTCCAATGGGTTTTATAATATTAACTGTTTTAGATTTAATATTTTAATACCTATGCTTAATTAATTTTTTTAATTAATTTTATTTAAATTTATACTGCAAATGAATTAGTAAATAAATAAAAAAATAAGTAAAATAATTAGTAAAAAAGTAAAAAAAGTAATTAAATAAGTAAATAAAGACTTTTATTCACTGCATAGAAAATTAAAAAAATGTTTTGTAATTTACCCAATCGAATAACCCCAACAAAAAAAATGTCCAAATATTATTTTTCTTTTTGAGTAAATTTTTTTTTTCAATTTCCCCTCCCCTTAAATAAAACGTGTTGAATTCATGAAACGGCTTATATGAGACAGTTTTCACTATATTGTGAATATAAATACCGAAAGAAAGAGTTTGAAATTTAAATCTAGAAAAGTATGAATTTATAATGAAGAAGAAAAAAAAAATTGTTGAGGTTTGGTGAACGTGGATCATCCGCACGCCAGCGAGCATTGCGGTCGCGGATATACGCTATTCTTTGTCCTCAAATAAAAGCAAGGCTTTCTTTTTTTTTTCTTTTTTTTTTGCATTAAAACCAGCAAACGCAGGCATCTTTGAAGAAAAGTAGTCGATTAAAATTCAACTAGACTATCTCGTTGTCTTTCAAAACGAAAAAAATAAATTATCATAGACTGTACTTGAGGAATACGAAATTCTCATTTCAAAACGATTTAAGTATAAAAACTATTCCAATTATTTCGAACTCAATGCTTTAAATTAAAATGAAAAAAAATATTTTTTTCTTCGAAAATTGGAAATAAATTAATAACTTATATGATGAGAATGTAAAAATATAAAATATTAAAATAATAGTTAATTGATGATAAAATTACAATTTTACTACTAAAATTATTAATTATTAATTATTATTATCATTTGATAATAAAATAAAAAAATGAAAACTATTTTTTGATTATATTCTGCAACTTGTAATAAATAAATAAATAAATAAATAAATAGATTAATTAATAAAATAATAATAATATCTAATAAATGAATAAAATTGAATTTAAACTGATTATTTATAAATAAACTTATGTGTGATTTAATTGTTTTGTTTTAGAAATTATGTGTCTTCCAAAAGAGCCTCGAAGATCTTTCGTCTCGGATGGCTGGAGCGGAAGCAATTCAAAGCGGCTGGCAAATACCGAACGATGCACCAGAAGCGTCGGAAATGTTAGAAAATTTACAAAAGTTTGGAGAACGTTTAGGTCCCATTCAAAGGAACATTGAAGACGCCAACGATCAAGCGAGTCTTTTTGCATCAAGCAGCGTTATTGTCTCACACGCTCTCTTAGCAAAACTTGAAGATCTTAATACGAGGTACGTTTCTCTTATCAAAACTTTTGTCTCTCAAAGAGAATACAAAAAAAAAAGAAAAATAGAAAAATATTACAATTTCACTAAATTGCATTTTATTTTTTTTCAGACTTTTTCAATTTTTCCACTCACAAAATGATAGAAATAGAAGTCAAGAAGAGAGTTTTTTTTTTATCTCTCCCTCCCTTTTTACAAAATCAAATTTCAACTAAAGCTTTAACACCCACGGACCCAATTTGAAACTTGAGAATTTTTTCGCTTTTGAGAAAACTTTAAGAGTTTCGTTAAATTTTCAAGCAAGTCGCAACAAGGTTTAAAGCGCAAAAACTTTCTCTCAACTTCTTTTCCAAGTTTTACGAGTGTGGATTTGGAAATATATTTTTTCATTCGGAAAATCAAAAATTCAAAGTCGAAAAAATATAATTTGTTTCTAGAAAATTAAAGTTTATTTCGATTCAGAAAATGAAAAATCAAAAAATATTTTCATTTATTTATTTAAATATCTATGTTTTTCTATTAAACTTACTTTTTTTCATTGAAAAATATTTCAATTTTTTAGAATTAAAAATATTTCGAATAATAAATTTTTATTTTATGAATTAAAACATATTTTGATTTTTAGACACAAAAAAAATTACGAATATTTTGATTACGAATTTTTAATTTTCTAAATCAAAATATATTTCGATTTTTAGAATCAAAGATTTTTTATTATGAATTTTTAATTTTCTGAATCAAAATATATTTTGCTTTTTAGAATCAAAGTCAAAAAATATTTTTATTCAGTAAATAAAAAATAAAAAATCAAAAAAATTTTTCCTTTATTTATTAGTTATATTCTTTTTTCTATTACTCTTTTTTTCATTTGAAAAATATTCAAATTTTTAGAATAAAACTATTTTTTGATTTTTTAGAATTAAAAATTGAATAATTTTTCAATTAAAAAAAGTGTATTAATAAAACGTATATTTAAATACATAAATAATTAAAAAAAACTTTTCGATTTTGAATTTTTTATTTTCTGAATAAAAATTATATTTTTTTTTTTAATTTTCAGAATCAAAATATTTATTGATTTAAAATTTTTTATTTTCCGAATCATAATATTTTATAAAATTGGAATATTTTTCAATTAAAAAAAAGAGAGTGTAATAAAAAAACTATATATAAATAAAAAATCGAATATATTTTTTGATTTTTAATTTTTTACTTTCTGAATCAAAATCAAAAAATATTTTGTTTAATAGAAAATAAAATATTCAAAATAAAAAAATATTTTCGATTATTTATTTTATGGACAATTTTGTAGAATCAAATTATTTTTTATTTTAAATTGTTTATTTTCTGTGAAACAAAATATTTTTTGATTTTTTTTTTAAATTAAAATCAAATAGTATTTTGTTTTAGAAAATAAAAAAATCAAATTAAACTTTAAAGGAATATTTTTATTCTAAAAAATTAGAATATTTTTCAATTGTAAAAAAAGTGAAAGAGAAAAACGTAAATAAATAAAAGAATTAGTAAAAATAGAAATTAAAAAATTGAAAATAAAAATAAAAAATTGTAATAGTAGAAAATTAGTAAATAAAACAAATAGAAAGCGTAATAAAAGAAAATTTAATAAAATGAAAAAGTGAATAAATATTTTCGTGTTTAATCAATTTTTTCTTATTTTCCTTTTTTTGTTTTGTTTTTAGATGGAAAGTTTTGCAAGTTGCAGTCGACGAACGTTATAAACTGTTAAGCGGATTTGGAAAGGATGGCAGCACTCCGGGTAGTCAGGCTTTCCTCGCAAGTAGCGTAGAACCACCGTGGGAAAGAGCCCTTACTCCCGCCAAAGTGCCTTATTATATCAAGTAATTAAATTTTTATAATCACTTCTTCATATTTCCAAGACCTATCGGAACAAGAATTTCATTAATCCTCCGATAATTTAAGTTTCAAGTAATATGCCATTATAGAATGACAAAAAGGTGAAAAATCCTTTAGAAAATTTTTAAATATCCCCCTTTTCATTTAATTTACAATAAGTATGACGTGAAAAAAAAATTCCCTCTCTAACAAAATTAAAATTTAACTACTATTATTATTTTTCATCCCAACTTCTCATATAGAATCTTTAGAAAATTGCATAAGAATAATTATTAAAAATTTAATTAAATTTTGTATTATTCTTTAATTTTTAATTTCACAACTCAAATAAGTAAATTTGAGATTTTTCCTAAAAATTTCCCTTCATTTTGACAATTGGAAAATACATATTATTGATTTCCTGGACGATAAAGAATATTAATTTTTAGCAAACAATCTATTTTTAGCCGTCTATATTTACAAAAAGTAAATTGTATTTTTCGCCAAAATAAATGTGAATATTGATTTGATAAATTGAATTCGGGGGAAAAAAAAAGAAAGAATTGATTTACTGGAGATTAAACCCATGAATATGCAAAATATCCGTATTTTCAATAGCAATATTTTAATCACATTTTGTGTTTCAATTTTGTCGATGTGAGAAATATACGAGTATATTAAATTAAATATTATTTTTCAGCCATCAATTGGAAACGACGCACTGGGACCATCCGAAAATGATCGAATTGATGACTTCGCTCTCAGATCTCAATGAAGTTCGTTTCTCCGCCTATAGAACTGCAATGAAATTGCGCACCGTGCAAAAACGATTATGCCGTAAGATAATTATTTATTTTCAAATTAAGAAAAAATTTGATTTCAATTTTATTTTTTTACTAGTATCAGGCCTTGGAAAATAATGGAAAAAAAATCAAAATCTATTATCCGAGGCCTGAACAATTTAAAAAAAATGGTTTTCCTTTCTTTTTTGGTACGAAAGTACAAAAATGAATTGCAATGAATTTTTTCGATTCTTTGTTTTTTTATTAAAGTAAAAAAATGAATCGAAATAAATTTTTCGTTTCCTTTGCTACAAAATTGATTATAAATTATAATATGTAATAATTTTAATTGATAAATTACTTTTTTTCATAAAGTGGACATGCTGAGCCTCTCAAATGCACTTGAGCAATTTGATTCACATGGATTGAGAGCCCAAAACGATAAACTCATCGATATACCAGACATGGTTACTGTTTTGACTTCCTTGTACGAAATAATTGCAGCGGATAATCCCACGCAAGTTTTAGTGCCACTTTGTATAGATCTTGCCATCAATTGGCTTCTCAATGTTTACGACAGGTAATGGGATTTCATTTCTTAAGTCACTGAATTAATTGTCTAATCTAAACTGAATTAAAATTTGTTATTTTTTTATTTTCCATGTATTTGAAGATTTATTTTTCATTTTAATAAATTACCAGAATTTGCTAAAGAAAATAAAAAAAGCAACATACTTTCTTTTTAGGGAGTTCTTTCTTGCAGAAAGAGAAATTTATAAATAACTTGTTTTTATTTCTAGCCAACGAACTGGACAAATTCGTGTCTTATCATTCAAAGTTGGACTCGTTTTGTTGTGTAAAGGACATTTAGAAGAGAAATATAGATGTAAGTACGAAATAAAAATCCATTGTTTATAGAAAATTTGAAAATATTTTGATATTTTCATTTTTTAGTAAATTTTATTATTATAAATCATAATTACTTTCATTATTATTTATTATAATAATAAATAATCTTTCACTATTATAATAATTGTGATTTATGTAATAATAATTTATTATGATGACATAAATGTTTTGAATTTGTATTTTTTTGCTTGATCAATTGGAATTGAATTTGAATTAAAGTTTTAAAAACAATTGTTACAGATCTATTCCGTTTGATTGCGGACACAAATAGGCTAGTGGATCAAAGAAAATTGGGATTACTTTTGCATGATTGCATTCAAGTGCCAAGGCAACTGGGCGAAGTTGCAGCGTTTGGGGGATCCAACATTGAGCCAAGTGTTCGCAGTTGTTTCGAGAAAGCGGGCAAGGATAAAAATGAAATTGAGGCTGTGCACTTTTTAAGTTGGCTGCAACAGGAGCCACAAAGTATGGTTTGGCTTCCAGTACTTCATCGCTTGTCAGCGGCAGAAACGGCCAAACATCAAGCGAAATGCAACATCTGCAAGGAATATCCCATCATTGGTTTCAGGTAACACCCGAATTTATTCTATTTAAAAATATTTTATCTAAAACGCATTGTTTCCTAATTTTTTTTTTTTTTATAATTTTCCCCTTTTAATGTTTAATTAAACGAAATTGTTTTCAATTAAAAAACATAATTTATAAATTTAATTTGACTAACAATGATAAATTAAATACCGCGTTTTGCGCGCATAAAAATTGCTAGTAAAAAAATATTAGGGCTCACTACAAAAAAATGTTGACTCAATGTTATAATGGTTATAATTTTCTAATTCGTAAATAACTTTTTCAGATATCGATGCTTAAAGTGTTTCAATTTCGACATGTGTCAAACGTGTTTCTTCTCTGGACGAAAGGCGAAAAATCACAAATTAACACATCCAATGCAAGAATACTGTACAGCGGTGAGATTAGAATCTAGATTTTATTTTTTTCTTAAGTTTCATTTATTTTTAATAATGAATTTTTATCTTAATTATTATTGTATAAATCTTTATACATTTTTCGTTCCATTCGATTCGTTATTAAATCGAATTAATAAAAGAAAAAGGACAGTCTCAGGAAAATAAAAGTGATTTGTATTTTCAGACAACCTCCGGAGAGGACGTGAGAGATTTTACAAGAGCATTGCGCAACAAGTTCAAATCGAAACGATACTTCAAGAAACATCCGAGAGTTGGTTATTTGCCAGTTCAAACTGTATTGGAGGGCGATGCATTGGAGAGTCCAGCGCCATCGCCACAGCACAGTTCATTGAGTCAGGATATGCATTCACGATTAGAAATGTATGCATCGCGATTGGCTGAAGTTGAATTATCGCGAACGCGAAGTAATTCAACGCCCGACAGTGATGACGAGCATCAATTGATTGCCCATTATTGTCACAGTCTTAATGGTGGCGATAATGTCAATGTACCGCGAAGTCCCGTACAGGTGATGGCGGCAATTGACGCCGAGCAAAGAGAGGAACTCGAGGCAATGATTCGCGAATTGGAAGAGGAGAATGCAACATTACAAGCGGAATATGAGAGGTTGCGCTCCAAGCAAACGCCAGGCTCAACACCCGAGGACGGACACGGAAGACAACCCGACTGTGATATGATTGCCGAGGCGAAATTATTGCGACAACATAAGGGACGTTTAGAGGCGAGGATGCAAATTCTTGAGGATCACAATCGGCAACTGGAGGCACAACTTCAGAGACTGAGACAGCTATTGGATGAGGTATTTTATTAATAGTCACAACGAATTTTTTTTCTTTTGGAAATATTAAAATGTGATCCGTTACGAAGAATATTCGAGGAAAAAATTGTAGTTTACGCTTGTTACCTTTAAGGTGAAAATGCATAAAGAGAATTAACTCTCAATGCAAAACAATGATGTTTAAGTCTTCACTAAATTGCATTTACATTACGATATCCAATAAAAATTTATTTCCAATTTTACAAAATAAAAAATCTATTACTCAAGGAAAATTAAATATTAATATTGAACTATCAGAGTTCAACTACAAGAATTGAATTATTTAAATAGAATAATTTTTGTAAATTTTTAAAATAATGCATTTTCAAAAATACAATTATATTTATAGATAATTTTTAAAGATGAAGAAAAAATCTTTAAAATACAATATTTTACAAAATTTCCAATTGTTTCAATTTTTTAAAATTATTTTCGGAAATTCAACTATTTTCAAAAAAAATTTAATTACAATTTTTCAAAAGACTAATTTTTTCCCATAATTTATAAATCAAATTACATTCAAAACTTGACTGATTTTTGTTAAATAAATATTGAAATACTTATTTTTATTTATTTTTCCACAGGAATTAAAATTTTCAATAATTTCAATATAATAAACCTTTTGAAATTTAATTATTTAAAAAAAAATACAACTGCCATTTTTCTAAATTTAAATAATTTTTTTTAGAATTTAAAAAAAAATTATTCAAAACTTTAAAGTTTGTAGAAAAATGATAAATTAATAATTTTTAAAAAAATTGTATTTTATTATATTTTTACAACAATTAAAATTTTCAAAGATTTCAATTACAAAACATTTTGAAATTAAACTCTTTTTAAAAATAACAACTGTTTTAAGTTTTTAATTATGGTATTTATTAAATTCAAATTACATATAGAAATTAAAAAATAAGTTTAATATTAATTTAAAACAAATTTCAAACAAATTTGTTCAAATAATTTTTGAATTTTTGCTAAAAATTTTATTAAAATTTTTAAAAATAATTCCTATGAAGAATTTTATTATTTATGAAAATAATTTAATTTTTTCTAAAAATTTGTATTAAGGTTTTTAAAAATTATTGAATTCCTACGAAGAATTTTATTATTTATAAAATTAATTGAATTTTTGCGAAAAAAATTAATAAAGTTTTTAAAAATAATTGAATTCCTACGAAGAATTTTATTTTTATTGAAAATAATTGAATTCCTGCGAAGGACTTTGTGTTTATGAAAATAATCGAATTTTTGTCAAAAATGTTATTAAAATTTTTGAAAGTAATTAAATTTTCTTTAGAGACATGTTATTAAAATTTAAAATAGTAATTGAATTTTTGGAAAAATTTTATTAAAGTTTTTAAACATGATTGAATTTCTACGAAGAATTTTATTTTTATTGAAAATATTTTATTGAATATTTTCAATTCATTATTCATTATTCAATTTTATTGAAAATTGAATTCCTGCGAAGGATTTTGTATTTATGAAAATAATTACTCTAATTTTTGAGAAAAATGTTATTAAAATTGCATAAAAATAATTGAATTTCTACGAAGAATTTTATTATTTATGAAAGTAAGTGAATTCCTGTGAAGAATTTTATTATTTATAGAAATAATTGATTTGCTGTGAAGAATTTTATTATTTATGAAAATAATTGGATTTCTCAAAAACATTTTACTAAGGTTTTTAAAAAGAATTGAATTTTTGGAAAAAAAATTTTATTAAAATTTTTAAAAATAATTGAATTCCTCCGGAAGAATTTTATTATTTCTAGCAATAATTTAATTTCCACGAAGAGTTCTGTAATTTTTTGCTTCTTACGACGCGTATTCTTCGTAGCGTATTACAAAAAAATATAGAATTTATTTTAATAAAAATATAGAATGAATATATATTTAAAAAATATATAGATATTTATTTAGAAAATCATTAAAACTAATGTAATTAAATGAAATTATATTTAAGTGAATTAAATTTAATGTCAATTTATGTATGTCAATTTCATGTGAATTAATTAAGATTTTTGTTTATTTAGCCGAATGCCTCGTCACCATCAAAGACCGGCACATTGCAAACTCGGAGTGTGACTGCTTCGCAATTAGCCACTGACTCTCCGGCTAAAATAAATGGTCATTACCACGATTCGCCAGGTAATAAATATTATTACAATTAACGAATTTAACATACATGTGGAAGTCCAATTAACAATTGTAGTGTTATTCCAAGGATATTTTTTTTAACCAAAAACTAAATTTTTATTTTGCTTTTCGTTCATTTTGTTCCATTTTTATTCTTACGAAAAGTTGACTTACCTATAAATAATGGGAATCATTTCTATTAAAAAAAATTTATATTTATCTAAAAAAATAATTGTATATGAATTAAAATAATTTGTACACAAATATTTATTTTGATAATTATTATTATAATTATTAATTAATTATTTATTAGTATTTAATTTTTTTTTTTTTTTACTTTAATTTTAAATATTTATCTCAAAATTTTTATTTTATTTACAATTATTTATTTTGAAAATTATTATTGATTATTTATTATTATTTAATTATTTACTTTTTTTCTTTCTTTTGCTTTATTTTAAAATAGTCTAAATTTTTTAATTTTCCAATAAAAAATAAAAGGCATTAGGCTTTTATTTCCAATTTCTGTTGAAAAATTCTGAATCGACGGCATTTGGTTTAATAATCGGGGATTTTTATATATTTATTTTTTTCTTTTTTAAACACATAACAATAATTGTATCGGTGATTATAATTTTGACGAGAATGGCTTGAGCTTGTAATATAAACGCTATTTGCGTATATGTGGGCTTAGGAGGTGGAGGTTCAGGCGAAGGCAGAATAAGCAGCTTAGAAAGGCCGCCACCGCCACCACATTCTCACAGTGTTTCCCATAATGTGGGTAATCTCTTGCATATGGCAGGTTCGTTTTTTATAATTCATGTTTCTCGTTTATTACTAGCAAACTAAAAGCCTTTTTAACCCATTTACTAATACTTTTTGTTTCGCTTCCCTTTTAATGCCTACCAACAGCATGGATGTGAGAGGTAATTTTAAAGCCGCCATTCTTCATTTACTAATAAATAAACAAACATTTATAAATTATAATTTTAATGACAATTATAAGCTAATTGAAAAAACAACTAAACGCTTAGAAAATGTAAATTTTGTAATCAAATTTACTCTAATAAAAAATCTATAGCAAAAAGCATAAAAGTATAAAAAGAAGAAAAAGTCTATACATGCTTCGCAGTTCGCATTTGATAATTAATTTTAAAAAAGTAGCTTTAAGACAGAAAAAAGTAGTAAAAAAATATCCAAATAGTAGAAAATCGTGAAAAAAGTAGTAAATAATAGGTTTTAGTAGATGAGTGCGAAGCCTGTCTATAAAAAATGTTCTAAAATCAAAAGTATGAAAAATAGACACTTTTAAAAAAAGAGAATTGAATTTAAAAAATCGGATAATAAATTTTAATTACATTTACAAATTTTAAAGAAATTCTTTTTCTTATTTCAGGAGACTTGGGTAAAGCAGTCGGTGAATTGGTAACTGTAATGACTGAGGATTCAACGAAGACAAATGAACAGAGAGCACCTCCTCCAGCTTTTAAATAATTCCGTAAAATGCGAGAAAGGCCTCTTTTAATAAATGCTTCGATGATAACAAGAAAAAAAAATATATTGTCTTATACTTAGTAAACAAGTATATCGTTTTGTAATCGTTTCCGATGACCAAGAAAAAGTCTGGCTCTAACGCATATCAAAGAACAAAAAAAAAAGTTTTTTCATGGCTGTAACAAAAATGAATTGCGTAATGGGAATAGAAAAAGCGCAAATTGTTCAGGGGACTTAACCATCGGGGTTTTGGGTATTTTATAAGTTTTTTGATATACGCCACTGTATAGCTGAATTATAAAAAAAAAAAAATTATATAGTGACAGTTACAATTCTTGGCTTTTGGCAGTCCCTTGAAAGGAACTATAAACATTTGACTTACCATATCATGATTCTTAAATTCTTACAAAGAATCAATTGTTATGCTTGCTAGCTAAATTACATAAAAAAAGATTAAAACCAAAAAAAATTGGTTATAAATATATATTTAAAACAATATTACAAAAAAAAATTGCATGCAAAGCAAATGTGTCGAATCGCATACTCTATAGATCGTAGACTTGTATTTAAAAAAAGGAAAAAAAACAATATGCCCGTTATGTTTACACTGCCACCAATTTTTTCTCAGTTGCAACATCTTGTATCCATATCAATAATTCTTCCCAAACAAGGAATGCAAATGGAAAAAAAATGTGGTTTTTAATAATATATCTTTGAAAAATTTTCAAAACTTTATTGGGCAATCACTTTGAGTCTACGTTGTCATCATTGAGAGGCAAAACACTTTTTTTATTCGAAACTATAGTTGAAAAAAAAATCGAAACAACAAATGATTGTTACGAGATCCAAGATTATTTTTTATCCAATGACCAGATACTTTTTATACATTTTGTATGGAGACGTGTGAGGCGATTACTTTTTTATTTTCAATCTCCCAAACGTTACTTATATTTAAAGATATATTGATAATTATTACTTAAAAAAAATTACCAACTGTAGACTGTATTCTGATATCCTGTAATAAAGTTGTCTAGAAAATAAATACATCTTCCTTCTACTGCGTTACCATACTCATTGTCTCTGATTTTCTTTTCAATTCAATTCCACTTTTTTTACACATAATAAACTTTTATTAATTTTTATTTATTTTATTTAATTTAATGTTTGAAAAGAATTTTATTAAAATTTTTATTGAAAATAATTGAATTGTTCTAGATAATTTCATTAAAATTTTTGAAAATAATTGAATTCCTTTCGAGAATGTTCATTAAAATCGTATTAAAATAAAAGATAATTCTTTAGAGAAATTCTATTAAAATTAATTAATTAATCAATTTTTTAAAGAATTGGATTCTTTTCAGAAATTTTATTATTTAAAAAAATCAATTGAATTCTTACGCTCAATTTCGATAAAATTTTTAAAAATACTTAAATTTTATTCTTTCTAGGAATTTAATTAAAATTGTACCTGAAAATAATTGAATTCTTTAAAGAAATTTTTCTATAAAGGTATTAAAAAGAATTAATTGCATTCTAGTAAAAAATTTTATTATCAATTAAAATAATTGAATTGTTACCAAGAATTTTAATAAAATTTTTTGAAAATAATTGAATTCGGTTTCGAGGAATTTAATTAAAATTTTTGAAAATAAATTCTATCGATAAATTTAATCCAAAATCACAGTTGTAGTAAAAATAATTGAATTCTTTAAATGAATTTTATTAAATTTGTATTCAGAATTCAATATTCAATAATTTTCCAAAATTTTAATTGAAATTCATTTCTAAATCAATTCTTATTAGAAAATTCTTCGACAATTCAATTATTTAAATACAAAAATATAAATTTGTAAAATAATTGATTATTTCTAAAATTGAATTCTTATGAAGAATTTTATTAAAATTTTTGAAAATAATTGAATTCCAACCAAAAATTTTGTTATTTATGAAAATAATTGAATTCTTGCAAAGAAATTTATAAAATCTTTTAAAAATAATTGAAAATTTTATATAAATATTACAATTCCATTAAAAATAATTAATTGAATTCCTTCGAAAATTTATTTATAACAATAATTGAATTCTTAGAAAAAATTTTGAAGTAATTGAATTCGTTTTTCGAAAAATTTAATTAATATTGAATTGAAAATAATTGAATTCTTATAATGAATTTTTTCAAAATTTTTTTAAAAGAATTTTATTAAAATTTGTAAAAGTAATTGTTTTCTTTAAAAAAGTTTTATTTAAATTGTGCGAATAATAATTGAATTATCGAATTCTTGCTAAGATTAAATTTTATTGAAGTTTTTGAAAATAATAAATAATTAATTAGTTAATAAGATCTTTTTTTCGATTTTAAATCTAAAATTATTCAAAAATAGAAGTTGATTCGAAAAATTTTTTAATTTGCATAGTACCTAATATCTAGTAAAAAATACTTTTTAAAATTAAAAGTTAATATGTATTTTTAAAAATAAATAAACACATTGGTTCTTCGAAAAAATGAAGACAAAGACAATTATCAATTAGCAAACAATTTCATAAGAATTTATTAGTATTCGTAATGAAAACTGCACTGTACATAATTTAGCACTTAAATGAAGAAGTGCATTTCTTTTAAGTATACACGTAATAAAATCTACTTGATAGAGAACCATTATTTTTTATTATTAATAGCTCTCCATTGATAAATAATCTAAAAACCTAATGAACATTACAAAGAAAAATTATACTAATTCATTTAAGGGATTTACCATTTGAAAATAGGCTAACTATTCTGTATAAAATTCAGGTAGATGAAAAATGGGATTGAAACTCAAGTTAAACTCTATTTTTTTTATATCTCGCAGTTAAATAAGAATATCCGCTTTAAACGGTGTATTTTACTCTTAGCTTTTCTTTTTTTTTTAAAAAAATAATCATTGCTAAGCCATTTGTTTTTTTTTCTTGTTACATTAATTATTTTAATAATAATCTTAATCTAATATCACAATGACTTCAGACAGTCGAGACGTCCAATAAATGATACTAACATTATTTCTCTGTAAAACTACTTTGGAAACACAATTATCTATTTTTCGATTAAACCCAATTTCGTTCAATTTCTTTTTCTTTTAAATATTCGAAATTATTTTTGTTTTGAATTTTTCTTTTTTTAAAACAAAACACATTCTGGAGATAAAATAATTTTTCTTTACTGAGATATGTTATAAGTTTCAATTCAATTGGAAATTTGAATTTTTCTTTGTCAAATTAATGCCGGTTTTTCTTGTTCTGCCAATTTCATATGTAAATTCAAAATTGTGATAACTTTTTCAATAATTGGTAACGAATAATAATAGTTATTTACATACATAATTAAATTATTCTTTAAATATAAACATTTGAATTGAAATTTATAAAGGGGATCATCATTGTAATTAAAAAAAACAAAAATAATTTTCCACAAAAATCTTGATCCTCTTTAATAAACAACTGAACTCTTTTTACTTTATACGTTTTTACAGAATAAATTGTGTGAGGATTTAAACGTGTAAAAAATTTTTTTTTTTCAAAACATTTTTCGGGAAAACGAAATTAACATTTTTCAAAATTCAAATTCTCGAACAAAAACTTTCAATATTTAAGTGAACTAAGTTAACTCTTAAGTTTAGGAAAAAAAGATTTACGTCTAACGTTTTGGACAGTGTGCATGAAATTATTTTTCTCTGAAAGTTTTTAAGGACACGGGAATAAAAAATTTTCCCTTTAATCATTAAGCGATGCTCTTCCTTGAAAAATTTCCAGAATCATGCAATTTTTTCTTAATTAATGACTTTCTCAAAAAGAAAAACATATTTTCTTCCCCCCTCCCTTCCCATTTTCGTTGAAAAATGTTCAATGTCATTGTGCACAATATTCTAAATCCACTTAATCAGTAATCAATTCACTATTTACAGAATAATTAAATTGTAAAATCTGGATCTAATCTTGATCACAAAAAACACGAGTAATTAATTAACTCGTTTAATAATTCGTTACTTCGTCGATTTTTAAATTTATCGACTATTTTTTTCTGTTTTTTTAATAGAGAAATATCACTAAATGAAAAAAAGGCCGTTAAGGTGGTTCTAGAAGATAGGCTCTAGCACGAGCAGTCATTTTACGTACACGCCCTCTGCTACTGATTGTGATACCGTTTCTATTTTCTGGCACACTTTCGTCACTTTCCTCCGCGTAATATCTTCGTTTAACACTACGACGATTTCTCACTGGATCGCCATTACTGTCCTCACTGTCTTCATTATAATGAGGACGTTTACCACGTCTTCGCGACGATTGTGTCCCGTCCTGACTGTCGGATTCCTGAGACATTTGAGACCTTGTTTGAGATCGAGTCGATTTAACAGGTGAGCCAATATCTTGACTATCGGAATCTTGAGGATCGTTTGAGGCATTATTTTGTTCTTCTTCTTCTTCTTCTTCTTCCTCTGCACTCTCACTGACACTATTATCGTTCGATTGATTGACAATTTTATTCACAACCTTACAAGCCCTCGAACTTGTTCGACGAATAACTTCTTCGTGTTCACTTTCTTCGGACGATTGTGAGACGAAAATTCTTTGATTCAATGGAAATATTGCAGTTTCCTCTTCATTGTTTTCTTCCTCTTCTCCCATCTGCTCCTCCTCTTCTTCTTCTTCATTCTCTTCATCATCGTCATCACCCTCGTGATCGTCCTCGTCATCATCTTCGACAATCGGTTGCTTCTGTTTTGGTTTTATTACTTTTATTCTATTATTCTTTGCTCGATTTTTCTTCGTTTGTTTACCACGACCTCCTGGCTTGTAACTCTCCTCAGAATCACTGTCATTAACGTCGCTGGCCATTGCCTTCATTGATCTTGTTCTTCGAACCGGTTCACTATTACTGCTTTCGCTTTCCGATATTTCAGAATCACTCATTTCACCATAATTCAATTTATTCTTCTTCTTTGGTGATGTCTTCCTTGGCGATCTGAGTTTGATATTTGATCTTGAAGAAGTACCAGCCCGTTTCACGTGTCCATTTGCTAATCTTGATGGACCTGCAAAAAATTATTCGTCAATTTTTATATTCAACTACAATGAATTTATTTTTGAGTTTTCATAAAATAAAACACTTTTTCCAGACTTGAGTGAAGTTATAGTAATATTACTCTTGTTAAAAAATACTTTTTTGTAGCTAATTTTCATTTTCAAATTTTCATTCTAAGATTTATCATTACAATTTTTGAGAATTTCATTATCTTAAAAATTTCCTATTAAAAAATTGAAATTAAATTTTAATTATTGAAAAATATTTTTTAATTATATATTTCGAAAATTTGTCTTAAAAAAATCAAAATAAGTCGAAAAAATCTCACAAAAAGTACTATGAAGACTTTTTTTTTATTTAAAAGTTCTTACCTGGACCATCGACTCGAGTAGAATCGTCATCATCGTCATCGTCATCATCGTAGGTATAATTTGCAACATTTGCATCATTTTCATCACTACTATCGGACTCTTTTGACGGCCCTGTAAACAATGATAAATCAAAAATATTAGAAAAATATAAAAAACAATTTATTTGGTTCAATTTCTCTCATCTTTACACTCACCAGCTCCATTTGTCAATCGTTTGCTTCCTTTTGCTTTTGCTTTACCTTTACCTTTCACTTTCGATTTTCCTTTCGGTTTTCGTTTATCTTTCAATATTCGTCTCTTTTCCGAATTCCAGCTGGACAAAACTTTACACATCAATTCTTCAAACATTAATGATAATCTTATTGTCATTGTGTATATCTAAAAGCAATTTCAGAGATTAGATCAGAATTCAAAAGGAAAATTTATGAATTAATACATAAAATATTATCAATTTTTTCTTTTAATTTAATTTCTTTTAATCACATTTAATTTCCTTTTAACATTTCTCACCTTTGAACGTTTATTCGTATTGTAAGTTCTGCTATTTGTAAAAATTAATTTCACATCTTTGGCGAATTCCGCTGGTGTCTCGTAATTTCCACCTGATAAATCCTCCTTCACTGTTCTTAGATCCATAGGTGTGTCTATAATTTGATAATAATCTGCGTGCTCCAGCCTATCTACAGGTTCCCTATTTTCATTGAAAAAAAAACATTTTAAAATCTGTGAGCTCAAAAGTTATGTTTACAATTAAAAATTAATTCCTTAATTTCTGTTTAAAGTAAAATTAAAATAAATTTACCTAAACGGAACTGAATCTTCACACTGCCAAAGTGTTTCTAACAATTGTCGACAGGCAGTTTTCCAATCTTGAGCAAATGTTTGTGATCTCAGTCGTTTACTCGAAGACGATCTTAATCTACTTGTTGAGGGTTTTTCACTATTTTCTTCTACATCGATATCAGACTCAGATGAATGATAAGTGTCAACTAATTGATGATAAACTGCCGCGACATCCAATTCTGTCGTGTCTCTGCAAAAATTCCCAAAAAGAAGGAAAATTAGAACAAATTTCTCGAAATTATAATTTATGCAATAAATTTTTGTCTCAGCTTTTACAATTTTTATACTTACTTTATAATTTTCAAGCAGAGATCAGTAACAATCCTGGCCTGTTTAACAATATGACTGTGCGGCTCATTGAATTCTTCAGCATTCGTTGCCAGATATCTAACATCAAATTGTGCAGATGTGATTCTTCGATAAAAATGATTTTCAAATCGTGCTTTAATTGTTGACAAATCAATAGGATATTCAACGACAAAAGCGTACGACGGATAAATATTGAGATCAACGGGAACAACAAATGGTTCGGCAATTGCCAAACTCATAACTTGATCGAGTCCACGAATAATTCGTCGACATGTCGCTTCTCTATCGCCCATTGGCCATTCCTCGGCCTGCGGTTGATATAAAATTGCTTGAATTTCTTCTGGAAGAACAGGAACAGCACCGCCAATAACATCGGGAAGTCTACATTCATCAATTGGCTCAAGATCCCAGGGACTCATTTTTTCAATTTCCCCATTATCCCATCGCACATGGAAGCACATAAAGTAAGAATCGGGAAAATTCTCATCAAGCGGCTCCATCGACTGTATTTGTCCCATCCACCAGCCATCGTCGATCATACACCGAAATCTGTCACCCAAGGACCATGAGCGAGCCAATGCGGTTTCAAAAGTTTGTCTAAGTACCAAAAAATCGAGAACGTCAGCCATATCGTGATACTTGATGGTGAAATTCTCTCCCGTTAATCGGCCGTCTTCGTTCATTATCGCGAGTTTCAGACAACAGAGTCTCGGTGGACGTATTTCGTATTTAATACCAACAACCTTTACGTATTCCATGGCTTTGATGTTCATTTTCGACCATGGTTCACACCGAGGTCCCAATTCGTAGACTTTCTTCTTCTTCACGGCGTCAATGTAAAATTGATGACCTTGGCGGAAATAGACGATCTCATCTCCCATTTGGGGATAATAAGGTGCTTTTCTCGGTATCACTTCCGTGAGCCATTCCGTTGGACGATAAGCTTCAGGCACTTCATCGAGTCCATTAGTTACTGGAAGGACAATTTTCTTCTTCGGTCGTTGACTCCTTCGACGGTCCGTGTCACTTTGCGGCGTCACCGATCTCTTCTTCACAGGCTTACGCTTGCTACGTTTCGGCGGTTCCAAATTCACCCCATGATCAGCCATCCAATCCGAATATTCACTACTCGCATTCGAACTCGAACTATCCGAACAAATATCAGCATCATCAGCCGACGAATCATTACTGTTCGAACTCGCCGAAGTGTTACTCGTTGCAACTGCGTCCGGATCATCATAATCCTCCTCGTCCTGTTCGTCCTCTCTAGCCGCTCTCGTCCTATATCCATGTCTCGCCCGATTCCGTTTATTCCGATTCAATCGATTACCGATACCACCCTGCATCTCATTTCCAGTCGAGACAATCTTTGGTCTTCGTTGCATCTCCCTTCGCCACGTCTCCAACTCCATTTCAGCCATCGCATTTATCTGATTCAATTGTGTCTGAAGAATCGACGGATTCAAAGGTTTCACTAGAATTGGCTTATTCCAAGGTGTCGTGTTGTCACGTTGCCAATTTCCGCTACTTTGCCTCACACCCTCCACATCGCCCACTCTCCTCAAACCCGGTCGATTACCCCTTGGACTCGAAATCTGTCTAAGCGGCGCTTCACCCTGATTATCGTCCGCATTCTCCCCCTCGACATTAATATTCTGCCTTTGTGCGAGTGCCTCGATCAATCTATCAATATTCGAACGTGGTTCATGCCCTGGAAGACCTTCAATCACTTCTTGCATTCCACTCACACCTACTGCAATATTCGGCACCAATTGCTCCCCCCGACACTTCTCCCGTCCAGGCACCAATCTCTGCAGTTTCGGTGGATACGGATTCCCATCAACATCAACCAAAAAAGGCGGTGGCATCAAGTGCGGCGCCGTCTGTGTCTGCTCATCCAGCACATAATTATTCGAGTCCCTAATCAACGGTCGATAATCCGTATGGAAAAACAACTCCTTCGGTACAATCTTCAACAATTCAACCCCAGCGCCAAAGCCATACATCATCAAATGCCCATGTGAATCAGTCGCCGCCAGCATCGTTCCATCCGGTGACCATTTCGCATCAAAAACCGCTCCATTCCCCTGCCCCTGAATAAAATTCTGAAAACAAGCTATCGGATCAGCCTTCAATACATCCCAAATTATCAACTGACCATCATGACCAGCGCTCAAAATAATCCTCGGATCAATCGGATGTGACTCAAGAACAAAAACCTCGTCCTTATGCCCCCGCAGTACCTTCACCAATTCCGCCGTTCTCGCATTCCAAACCTTCAGCGAACTATCATTCACCGCCGTTATAACGAATTCATCACTCGAATCCCAATTCACCATCGTGACCTTCGCCTTTTTCGTCGTCTCCTCATCAACCTCAGGCTCCCCAGGCAATTTCGCCGTCATCACCAATCGCTTATGCATCCACTGCTGTTGCTCAAAGTGCCAAACATTCGCCGTTCCATCCTTCGAGCCGGAAATAAACCTCAAACCATGATGATGACACCACTGTATACTGTCCACCGTGTCACTGTGCGCCTCCACTTCCAACACACGTCTCGGACCCTCATCTCCAATCATCGCATAAACCCTCACATGATGATCAGCCGATCCTGCCGCCATGAACGCACCACCCGAACTAAACGACGCACAAATCATTTGCGCCTGGCCCGGTCGCATTTTCTCATGATATTGTATTGGTTTCGGTTGAAAGCAAGCTCGCTCGTTATGTTTCTTCGTGTGTGGCCAAAATGCCACCGAACCGTCACTACTCGTCGACACTAAATAATAAATATCGTTACTTGAAATTGGACAAAACTTCACTGATGTTATCATTCCCGAATGTCCGGATAAAACAGCAACCGGTGACATTGTTTGAAAACACCAAACTCGCAGTACTTTATCCAAACTTCCGGCGGCTAATAGCGTATTATCGAAATTCACTGCTATGTCCATTATTTCGGCAGAGGCTCCACGAAACGTTGCCAGTAAACGACCATCGCTTGAACTCCAGACCTTTACGAGTAAATCGTCAGCACCGGTTATTACATATTTACCGGTACGATCGTAAAGAACACAATAAACTGCCGACAAGTGTCCGAGAGTGTGGCGATATAATTGTAATTTACTGTAGAATGATGGTTGAATCACCTCATGTCTACTCAAGGGACCGGAATTCTCTCTGCCTTGAAGCACTTTAACTGTAAAGATGAATAAAAATTAATAATTAATAATTAATAACTAATAATTAATAAAAATAAACAATTAAAAACATACTCAAATTAAAACTTTTAACACTAAAATTAAAACCTTAGGAAACAATTAAAATATTAAATATTAATATTATTAAAAAACGAACAATTTAAAAAAATTGTCTTCGTAAATATCTAATTCATAACTTCTTGATTAAATTAAAATTTTAAAAAAACCAGAGTTGCGAGAAAAATTTATTTTTGCTTTTCTCTGATTTCCAGACAAAACTTTTTTCCTGGCTATAAAAAATATTCTGATTCATTCTAAAAATTGTTTGATTCTCAAAAAAATGTTTGTGTTACATTTATTTCAGAAAATATCTTTAATTGTAAAATTATTCGAAACATCAAGAAATTGTTTTTAGATAAATATTTAATTATTATTTTTCCAATGAAATTAAAATTTTCGAAAAGTTCAAATTTCAAACACTTTGAAATACGATAATCTATCAAAATTGCTAGTGTAACTTCTCCAAAATTATTTTCAAAATTTTACAATTCAATTATTTTTTTAAAATTTTAACTAAAATTCTTCTCTAAATCAATTATTTTCAATAATTTTTTAGAGAAATTTCTTTAAAAAATTCAATTATTCATAAAAATTTTAAACGCAACTCTTGTAGAATTAAAATATTTTTGTAATTTTTAAGTAAAATTATTTACTAAATAATTTTGAAGTAATAATTTTATGTAGTTTGTACTTTCAGTATACAAAAAATTATATTATTCTTCTTCAAGAATTAAATTATTTAAAATAGATTCAATTTCGCATTTTTTTAAAATAGTTACCAACTTACCAACATTATGTGCTAGCGATGAATTCGGTATTCCTATAAAAGATTTTCCACTGATTCTTCCAGAATAAAGTGAAATTCCACGAGAAATTTGCAACAAATCTACAGAAAAAAAATTACTCAATTTATAATTTCAGTCAAATTAAATAAAAAATCTCCAAACAATAAATTTGTCATAAAAAATAATAATATTTACCTGCTTTTGTGCGTAAAAGCGACTGTTTTCCTGCGCCTAATAAGGAAATAGCTCCAGTTATACAAGGAGGAATTTCTTTTTCCAAAACTGGACCGATTCGAGCACATATTTTCAACAGGTGTTGAGTTCCAATGTGAGAGTATTTTCTTTCCTGAAAAAGAAAAAAAATAAGTTAAGTAATTAATAATAAAAAAAATAAATATAATACTATTAAAATGCTAATGTACAAAAAACTATCTATCAATCTATAAAAATAATTTTGTAAATTAAAAATCTAATAAAAATAAATAAATAATAAACAAAAATAAACGTTTCCCGCTAAAATTCAAAAAGCTAAACAAAAGCAGATGACAAAGAAGGCCAATGAATACCTTCTTGTGAAACTGTGACCAATCGGGGAACTTGTATCATTACGCGCAATATGGAAGTTCTATAAATACGACGCATAAACATATATTCATTGATCAGCCTGGCCAAAATGGCCGGTGGAAAAACATCATTGGAGGAAAGAATCAACAGTGGGGAGACTTGTGCAACAGCTATACATACTGACTTTTTTAAGAGAGAGGGAAGAGAGTGAAGGAAATAGAGAGGGATTGGATTGGGGGTTGAAGAGACCCGACAAAGGTACTTTTATTTACCAGAGCAAACCTCCGCAACCATTATCGACCGCTGAGAATTGAATAAAAAAGTAGCGATAAAAAAATCAAATAATTTATATCACCATCAATATCGAATTTAAACATTTTTTTCCAATTCTCAACAAATTAATGCCAAATAAGGGTTACTTACCAACTCCTCAAAACTTTGATTATGTAAATTTCCTTCCCAGTCAAGTCTTTGGGGTAATATCTGCAAAAAAAACAATAAAAAACATTAATTAAAAATTTTAAAAATAATTTTTTTCTAACATAAAAATAATGTCACAACCCCTCACGCAATGTCACTAACATTGCAATTCTAATGTTTTGACAAGCAGAAACCACGTGCAAACCATGTGGAGCCACTGGCTATGTACAGTGACCCCCGGCAAAACGTCAACTGCAAGTTTTACTCTTACCTTGATCCGCTCCAATTCTTCTTTTAACACCTGGAAAGTAAAAAATTTTGAGGTTAGATTATGTAGAGATTTTTCAATGCACACGAGAATTTTATTTCAAAATACCTTCGCAGCATCTTGACATGGCCCTGCCGTGAGAAACTTGGCAATCAGGAAGTACAGCTCTGAAAGAAAAGAACGCTTACAGTTGAGAATCCAAGTCACACGCTCACTATGTTTCACAAAAATGTTCATTCTATTTTCATTGGATTCATTTATTACCTGGCGCTATAACTTCCTCGTTTCTCGACGAACCAGCCTCCATTCTGGTAAGTTGGACCACAATATTATTCACTCACGCACGCTAAGAAATATTTATTTTTTCGGGTCATTACGAATCAGAAACATTTCACATTTCGTTTTGTCTCTCGTGAGATTCACGACCGTGTTACGCATCTAAACGCTGTGACATACGCCGCAGAAAGTAGTTCTACTTTCGTATTTTGGAGTGGGGGACGGAATGATGATGACACCGCGATGACATTACACGATTACATTTCGAATAATAATTAGCTCTTTTAAGGATAATTGAATATCAAAATAAATTGAATTAAATTCACGATTTACTTAAATAGGCCCGTGATAGCTATGACTGTATTTTTTTCATAATATTTTAAGGTTAGATGTCGCAATTCTTCTGTTGGATATAAATATAGACTAATCACAATGTTGTCTGCAAGAATCCGCGGCTTCTGATTGGCGGACACAATTTCCCGCTATAATTTACGAAATTTGAATTTAGATTTGTTTACTGAATAATTAATAACTATAAAAATATTTATTCACAAAAAAAAAATAAAAAATTATTAAATATAAAAATACTTCAAAAATTTAAATAATTAAATATAGAAATATTTGAAAATAAAAAATATTAAAAAATAATTGAAAAAGCTAACTTTAATATTTAAAAAAAATAATTAAATATAAAAATACTTTTAAAAATTACAAAATAACTAGATTTAGAAATATTTGAATATAACAAATATTAGAAAATAATTAAAAAATCGAATTATTTACAATAATTTAAATAATGTATTGAAAATACATCTTTTCTGATATCTTTCAGCATTAGTGTGAATTATAGTTATTAAAAATAGTTTTACAAAACAGATCAGTAAAAAAACAAAAAAAAATTAAATCTTACAATTAGTGAAATTTTATAAAATTATTATAAAACAACTTATAACAGTAAAAGTTTTATTGTCCAGCAATCCCATACAATTTTTTTTACGTATTTAATGAAATTTTTTTTTATACAAAAAGTGACCCCAGTAGCACGTAATATTACAGCGACATTGAGAACATTGCCTTAACATTACAAATATTGCCTCAATGTCGTGGCATATTGCTGGAATATTCCTAATATTACGTGCTACTTGGGGATAGACAAACAATAAGATGCAATATTATAAATATGAAATTACTGTAAAAGAATGAATTTAAAACATTTGAAATTCAAGATTTTAATTTTTTTACGATAAATTTTTATCCCATTTATTTTTTTATCTTATTTCAATACCCTATTCATTTCGAATAAAAATATAAACAACTATCTATAAAATAGAACTCTATTTCCATTAATTTTTTCGAAATAAATTTTAAATTTACATCTAATACAGTAATTATTAATAAAAAAACATTTAATGCAAACAAATATCATCTATTTGGAATTTAAATTACCTTGTATACTTATAAATTACTTTCTTGATGAAAAATCTATAAAAGTGCGCAATTAAAATTTATCGTTCCTCTTTTAATACACAAAGAAACTAGGTATAAATCTTTTATCTAGCGTAAAATTCATTGTTTTGACATAAAATTTTATGCACATTTTGTTCAACCTTTGTTTTTACGACTGTTTTTTTAAAATTAAAATTACTACTAGAAAAATACTTAATTCAATTATTTAAATGTGCAAAAAAAACATTCTTTTTGGAACAATAATTAATTGATAAACAATTTTATTACTGTAATGTGAAATTAAATTTAATATAAAATTCACTTTCAAAGTGTAAATCTACTTTGGTGAGAGAACAAATTAAATATTAAGACACTGAAACTATTTTTCAATTTTAAATTCTTTGCAAAATTAAATTAATTAATTAATTAATAGAAGAAAAAACCCTTAGTTTATAAAACTACGATCTTAAAAAGAGATCATCTCATTTATCTAAATGGCCTCGACCAAATTGATCGAGCTTTTCCCTATACAATTTCAACTCGACAATTTTCGTCAAGTGTTTCTTTTTCTAATTTCTTTGCCTTGATGCAAGGTGAATGCATATATTCAAGAACCAAATTCTTGTGTATCAGAATCAATTGGTTTAAAATCATAATCACCTCGTCCATCCATCCTCAAGTAGTACTGAAAAAAATTAATTATATATATATATTCAAATAATAATTTAAATGTTGAGGTAATTTTCTTTTGTCTAAAAAATTCAACGTATGCAAAAAAATACCTCATGATGTTTCCAAAGTGATCTTCGATGAGAGACGGTAAAAAGTGTAATATTCTCTTGTTTACAATATGAATACATGGAATCCTCAACGTCAACACTCACAGCACTTGTGCACTCATCCAGAATTGCAAATTGTGGTTTATGATAAAATAATCTCGCCATCTGCGCATTAGAAGAATATAAATGTAATTTGTTCGTGAATTATAATAGAAATTAAAAATTAAAAAAAAATTGAAATTACAGCTATTCGTTGCTTTTCCCCTCCTGATAAGACATCCATCCAATCGGCAACAGTGTCCCAACCTTGGCCTTGACTATTCGATTGTGTCTCACGTTCAAAAAGATGACTCAATTGAACTAAATCTAAAAATTTCTTTAGATCTTCATCTTTTGCATTGCCACGTCTCATCATTTCCGCTCGTGTGTGTGGATAAATAACTTGATCCCTCAACGTTCCCAATGTCATGTACGGCCTCTGTGGAATGTAGAACAATTTGCCCCGAGGCGGTTTCGTCACAGTTCCACCCCAAACTGGCCAGAGCTGAAAAAAATCCATTTTAAATCAACTACATCAAAAGAAGTAAAGAAACGTAGTAAAAAATAAATATAATAAATCATAAATAAAATAAAAAAAAAATAAACATAAATTTTGATTTTTACAGAATTATTAGAAAATTACAGAACAAGAAATACTTACTTCTCCTAAAACACGGAACAATGAACTCTTTCCACAGCCATTTGGTCCACAAACCAAAACATTCATACCAGATTTAACTTCGAAACTTAATTCCTTAATGAGAACATCACCATTCGGTGTGACGAGTGGTACACAATCGAATCGTATAATATTGTCTTTGGCGTGAATCTTTCCATCTCCCGGCCGACCAATTGAATTTGACAGATCGGCGACCATTGTTCTTTCATATTTACCTAAACTTAAATCACCAAGAACATTTTTAATTTCCGTCACTCTAGCAGTGAATCCTGCCAATCGCGTTAATTCACGTCCAGCCAAAATTAAACGGCCAATTGCTTCAGCTAATTTTACTAACATACGACCATAAGTATAATAATACTTGAATCGATGATCTGGTGTGCCAGAAAGAATTGGATGATTTTTCTGTAAAAATGGTATACTGACGGCATAAAATCCAACAACTGACGCCACATCTGTAACAATTTTCGATAGAAAATTAAATTTTAATAATAAATTCTCAAATTTTCTTTTCTTTTAAGTTAATAAAAAAAATAATTTTTCAATAAAAAATCAAAACATTTTACGTACATTTTCCAATGAAATTATCAACAACACCAATTGCTACCCTGAATTCGAGGAATTTTCGAAGATGCGTCACCTAAAAAAAATATGATATTAATAATTTTTTCTTTTGAATTTTAAAATTCCTAAATGCTAATTTCATGTTTTGAAGAATAAATAATTAGAAAAATTATTTAAACAAAATTGTTTTGAATTAGAAATCATAATTTAAGTTGTAAATTTAATTAAACGTTCTAAAACATAAAAATAGTTATTTATTAATTTTATTGCAAACAAACTATTTTTTATTAATAAAAAATACAATTAATGCTATTCTACGTGAAAATAAATAATTAATTTTTTAGAAATTTCATATCACTTTCGTTCGAATTAATTCAAATTATTACTAATTCAGATTTAGAGAATAAGTTAGCAAAAAAAAATTTTTTTAAATTATTTTATTTCCCTTAATTTTGCGTTAAAAACTGAATTTTTTCAAATTAAAAAAATAAAAAGTTTTAAAAGATAATATTTTAGTTAATAACTGTTATAATTTTGGTAAATCTTATAATTTTGAATCTAAAATAATTTAATTTTTGCATAGAAGTTTATTAGAAAAATTTTTAAATAATTGAATCGTTTCAAGGAAATTTATGAAAATTATTAAAAACATTTTTTTTTTTAATTTTGAAAATAATAGAATTTTTTTAAAAAATTGTATTATTTATGAAAGTAGTTGAATTCATTTCAAAAATTTTATAAAAATTTTGAAAATAATTGAAGTTTTGCGAAGAATTTTTTATTTATGAAAATTATTAAATTTCTGCGAAAAACTTTAATAAAATTTTTGAAAATAATTGAATTCATATGAAGAATTTAATAGACATTTTTGTAAATAATTGAATTTCTATGAAGAATTTTATTAAAAAATTCTAATTCTTTTAAAAAATAATTGAATTCATCTGAAGAATTTTATAGAAATTTTAGCAAATAATTGAATTTCTGCGAAGAATTTTATTCAAATTTTTTAATATTATTAAATTCTTTCGAGAAATTTTATTAATATTGTATTAAAAATAATTGAATTTCTGCGAAGAACTTTAATAAAATTTTTGTAAATAATTGAATTTCTGTGAAGAATTTTATTAAAATTTTTTAATATTATTGAATTCTTTCGAGAAATTTTATTAAAATTCTATTAAAAATAATTGAATTCCTGCAAAACATTTAATTCTTTTAAAAAATAATTTAATTCATCTGAAGAATTTTATAGAAATTTTTGAAAATAATTGAATTTCTGCAAAGAATTTTTTATTTATGAAAATAATTGAATTGGTCTGAAGAACTTTATTAAAATTTAAAAAAATAATTGTATTCATCTGAAGAATTTTATAGAAATTTTTGTAAATAATTGAATTCCTACAAATCATTTAATTTAAAAAAAACAGTTCAATTCATCTGAAGAATTTTATAGAAATTTTTGAAAATAATTGAATTATTTCAAGAAATTTAATTAAAATTGTATTGCAAATTATTGAATTACTGCGAAGAATTTTATTATTTATAAAAATAATTAAATTCTTGCAAATTTTTTCGACGAATTTAATCAAAATTGTATTGAAAATAATTGAATTCCTGCGAAGAATTTAATTTATGAAAATAATTAAATTCTTTTTAAGAATTGAATTAAAATTCCATTGAAGTTAATTCAATTTAGAAACAAAATTTTTATGTATCAATGAAACAAAGCGAATTGGTGATTCCTGAATTTATAATTATTTTGAAGAAAATGAATATTTATTTTTTTATTTCAATTTTAGCGGGTAGTGCAAATTCTCAAAAAAAAAGAGAAAAAAGTAGATTATATTGTCACAAATCTAAAAAAAGGTAACCAAAAAGTTGCAAATCGTAAAAAAGGAGTAAACAGTAGATTTTAGTAGATGAGTAAAAAATATATTTACCAGTTTATGAAAACTAGCGAGTAGAGTAAGTTTCTCCCGCGAACTTCCCTGATAGAATGAAACTTCTTCCGAATTCGTTATCAATCGTGAATGAATGTGTCGATATTCACCTTCAAGTCGTTGTTCTCTGACTGTCAATTGCGAAATTGGTTTTCGTAAATGTGTCAAAACACCTCCAGCAAGTACTAAATATGTAAGCATTAATAATGGTGTCTAAAACAAGAAAGAAATTATTACATTTCAATTTAAATAAACATTAATTTTCAATTCTATATAATTTCATAATTGTAACAAGAAATTATTCAATTTGAATTAAACAAAAATTATTTTTTCATAATGATAACAAATATCAAGAAAATAATTATAATTCGTCTTTTAACTCGACTGGAATTATTTTCCAATCATATAAAAATATTCTTGAATCATCAATGAATATCGAACATTAATTACCTGCCCGCCTAGTGTTGACGTTAATCTATAAACATAAATAAAAATGTCCAGCATAGGTTTCGCAAGATTACTATAAAGATCAGTGCAACTCTCGCAAAATTTATCAACGTCAGTTGTCAATAATTGATCTGGATTTGCAATTCTCGTGTCCAAATTGCTCATTTTATAATATGTGAATCCTCTGGGAAATTAAATTAATTATTCATATAATGATTCAGCAACAATGCTTGTGCAAAGGCTATTCTATTAAAAATGTAACTTGGGTCCAAACGATTCCACTCACCTTTAACCCGACATGAAACGATAGGCGAGTGTTAATCAGATTATATAAATTTTCAATACAGGTTAATTTTATTATAATGAAAAAATAAATCGCCAACGAACCCAAATAACATAAATAAATAATAAAATGTTAATCACCTACTTAAGATACTGATCTATCATGTAACGACTGATGTTAGTTCTCAAGCGTAATTTCATCTCTCCTATACTGTATTTCAAAACATTATTCACCACCGAAACCTGAAAAGAATCAAATTTTAAATCAATTTAAAAAAAAAAAAAATTTAATCAATTTAAAAAAAAATATTAAAAAAGAGGCATCTAGATAATTTTCTTTTACTGATAATAGAGATAAGTTACTTGCCATTGGTAGAATAGCTAAAAATTTTAAAAGTCTCTTCTTGAATAAAGCTGCATTCATGTTGACAATAGATCTAAAAAAAATTAATTTATTATTGAAATATAAACAATGACGGTGATAAAATCAATAAAATTAGATGAAAAAAAATACAAACGTTTCTATTAAGGTTCCGGTTTGAATCATCCATAAATCGCATATCGATCTAGCAACAAGAGAGGCGGCAATAAGGAAAATATAAGCAGACTCGACAGAAAAAACTCCAGGTATTCCAATAGAAAGTAATTGACGTAATTGTTTAAAAAAAGCTTTATTAACGTGTGCTTTTGGTCCCTTAGGCTTCTCCTAAAAAAACAAAATTTGATTCTTAAATGTTTAAATTAAATTCATCATTTCCATCTATAAACAGGAAAATATTAATTTTCTTTACAAATTGCTTATTGCATAATTGTCTAATCACTTAAAGATTAATTGTTTATTTATATATTACATACCTCTTTGATAACATACTGAATATCATTACTAGGCCAGTTATTCCTGAAAATAGAGAAAACTAATTAAAATTGAATTATAAAGGTAAATAAGGGAAAGAGTAAAAATGTGCAATAGTGGTTGTGTCATTAAACTGCTTCGCAAGGATTTTAATGACGAGTTTCGTATATACGAAAGGAATTTATAGAGTGACAGTAGTTGTGAAATACATACTTTGATTTAACGATGCGTTTTTTGTTTCTTGTTTTTAAAAACCAAATCAACGCTGATATTGTTAAAGCACCAGCAGCAGTTCTTTTGTCAATATATTTACTGAGTGTTGGCGCCATTCTTTTCTTATTATTATGTTTAAAATCGCAGTATATTAAATTTCACCACGTTCTGAACACGGGCAAAGTGTTGTGAATCGACTTTGGAGCAAAGAGCACATTAAAATTTGTGGTGGGGTAAAATCCTTTCTCGCGGACGAACGAAATAACGAATCAGCTGGATCGCAAGTCACACCATCATCGACAACTCGACAACCTAACCTTGTTGATTCATTTAATTCAATACCGTAATTACAAATATACGGTACCCTCAACTTGATTACTTGTTTTTTTATTTATTTTAAAAGTGCTACTTTTTTTACTTTGTTTCGGAAATAATTAAAAATCAACCAACAATCACTTAGATCCACACTTATTTGTATACTAGACTTAATTTTTAAAAGCAAGGTTCACCAAAAATATATATTTCTTAATATTTAAACTCTCCCGCATTAATTACACGATTTATTTAAATTTTATTTGTTTCATATAATAATAATTTAGGCCGAATTTGTTGTTCAATAACTTAAACAGCACTTGTGACACTCTATGATGTCATCAATTGTCAGGTTGAGTCCACAATAGACAGCGTTAAGGAGATTGAGCTACTTAAGACCATCGATAATCTACTTAAGACCATTGATATCAATGGTGTTAAGTAGCTCAATCTCCTTAACGCTGTCTATTGTGGACTCAACCTCATCATTGTCATCAATTGTCAAAAAAATAATAAAAATAATAAAAAAGACAAAAACGCATTTTTAGGTTAAGTTCGATCAAAATCGTCAATATCTCGAAATTCGAATTTCAAAACATCTCGAGAAACAATAATAAAAAAGAAATAGATGAATGATAAATTCTTAGTAGTTCGTTATTTACTATTATATTAATATTTTATATTAATTACTTCTTAATAATTAAGATAATTAATAAATAAACATTCTGCGAGACGATGCCGTTAGCCGTTTTTTTTACTCTAGATTGGTAACACTGGATTCAAGAGTTCGATAATCGAACAGTATGCCACTGGCTTCAAGTGTATTATGTAATTCAATTAGTTTTTTGTAGGGTTGTGAAGTTTCATGAAACTTTGGAAAATGAAATGTTTCATGAAAGTTTCATTGCTTCATGAAACATTTCAAAGTTTCAAGTTTTAAGCGGGAAATTTCAAATTCAATGCAAGAAAGTATAATAATTAACGCATATTTTGTTGTCAAAAACATGAAGTATTATTACTTACTTTAATATCTTTCTTTAATTTTTATAAATAAAATAAATAATTAAAAAATATATTAATAATTTAATTTTAAGTCACTCGTTAGAGGTAATATTTCAGGTAATTTTTAGTTAATATTAACATAACTACTCTCGTGTTTTCGGATGTAAACAAAAAATTTTCATTAAATTGTTTCGAACTAACCTAAAATTTCTAGAGATTATCTAACCTAAACTGACAACTGCGCATGTGCAAATAAAGCTTAATTATTGGTTCTTCAATGTTTCATGAAATTAATGAAACTTTCGCTTATGAAACATTGAAACTTTCAAATGAAAGTTTCATTGTTTCAATGAAACGTTTCATCACTCACAACCCTAGTTTTTTGTTTACATCGTTTGCATAAATAATTATAAATTTCAATATATATATACATGAATTGACGAATTTTAAATAATCAACACAAGTATATTATTATAATAAATGAAGAGCTAAAATAGAATAAAATACAAATCAAAATCAATTGAAAATATATAATTTAAAAAAAGTTTGTCAAACATTGTAATATTGAACAAAATAACCTTAAAATAACTGTAATTATATATAATCTTTTTTTGTTTTGTTTTTGAATTCATTTGAGAGAGCAAACAGTAGTAAACAGTCGGTAAATTGATTATTCAAATTAGCCACACAGTGCACAATATAATTATAAAATATAATATTTATTTTTATCGCAGTTTTTTTCAAAATACATTTCAATATTTTAAAGTTAATGTTGTCAAAATTAATAGGAATTTATTTTTTGTTGCAGAATAATTGAAATTACCGTCATGGGAATAAAAGTTTATTTTTTACCAAAAATATCTTGTTATCGTAAATATTTAATTATTGCATCAAAAAATATGAAAAGTTCTATCAAAAAATTGTCTCCATACTTCAAACAGAAAGGTAATAAAAATTTGTATTAGAATAAATTCCAAATTCGAATTAAATTATAAACTAATAATCGATAATCATTATATTATTTTTTTTGTCATTCTAAAGTTTTTTTTTTATTCTCTATTACTATTTTTTCTTATCACACTTGAAATTTTTCTTTACATTCCTTTTGTATATCTATACACTTTTCTTTTAATAATTTGTAACTGATAATTCAACATAGTAATATTTTTATGACAAAAAATTTCGATTCATAAATATATTTTTTTTAAATAGAAACATGATGACCTTTAGTTACAAGTTTTTATATTTTCAACGTAATTCGTTTAACGATGATGGGAAAATTATTTATAATATTTAAAAAGCATAACGCTTCATACAATAACTATAAATTAAATACTACCTACACAATTAAGATTGTTTTTCTATTTCATTTTCTTCAAAAGAAATTATGTGTTTTTATAATCATGGTGTTTCAAAATATATCCGATTTATTAGATTTTAATGAGAAAGTAGAAAAATCAAACATGACAGCTTAACTGTTGTTGATTAAACATTTTTTTATATTAAAACAAAGACCTTCGAGAAAGTAATTAAAATATCATTCTAAACTTCTATTAAAAATCACTTATAAATTAATTAATGATATGAAAGTAATAGTTTTCCTTTTCATTAAACATATATTTTTTGAAAAAATGCAATTATATAAAAAAAATCCAATTCAAATTATTTTCAATTTCAATTATCAAATTTAATAATTTAATTATTCACGATACATAAGGGTTTAAATATTAATTGAAAGAATTGAAATGATATGATAATTAACTAGTTAACAATTTTCTCATTATTATTATTGAAATTAGAAACAAAAAAAATTGCTTCTAACTTTACATATATATATATTATTATTTAATAACTTCTTTTATTGATATAACACTTTAAAAAATCTATTTTATGATATTATGATATTAATCAACTTCCTTTTCGACACATGGTGGAAATGCAAATATTTTGAAAATTTTACATAAATATTAACATGTACCATGTCACCAATGCCAAGGTGATGTTAACTTACTATTTCTCAATATTTATTCTTCTTTGGAAACGTAATAAAAAAAAGAGATAAAATTTATTTAAAGTAAGAAAAAAAATATTAAAAACCTAGAGAATTACAACATAGCTGTCAAAATATTCATAAATATTTGTAAATTGTATAGTTTTCAAATTTTCATTTCAAACTTGATTTACGCCCACAAAACAATTACTACGATTGATATTTCTTGTTTTTTTTATATTTTATTATTTCCCACTTTTTTATGTACTTTTAATTTTCTATAAAAAATTATACGATATCATTAGAGAATTATTAATAATTGATTTAATTGATTTAATTAATAACGACTAATTATTAAATAATTATCAAATAGTACTTAACAATTAAATAATAATTAACTAATAATTAATAATAAATAATTACTACACTAATTTAATAATTTAATTCGTCGGAGGAATTCAATTATTCTTATAAATAAAAAAAATTCCTTTGCAGAAATTCAATTATTTTAAATATTATTAAAATTAATTAAATTCTTCATAAGAATTCAATTATTTTTATTGGAATTTTTAATTGATTTATTCGAAAGAATTCAATTATTTAAAATTAATATTGTTCCATATAGAATTATTAAATTAATATTTTTTTATTTATTATTACAATTAATTAATAATAATCCTATAAGATAAGAAAGAAGTTTGCTTTAATTAATCCTTTCTCTAAGATTTAATATTTCCAATTTCGATAATATAATTATTAAGAAAATTAATTGTAATATTATTATTTAATTATTCAATATATTGACGACATATTTATGAAATATTTTGAAAAAAATACAAAAATACTAATTAGATGAGGCCAAAATATATGTGAAATTTACATTTATTAAATTTTAATTAGCACCTTATTTAATCAGCACTTATTAAATTAAAATTAATAGGTCCAATAGGTAGCTAATTAAATTAATACGTCAAATAATTATGATATTGATATTATTATTTTTTTTTCTTTCAGAAAAATGTTATTAAAAAAGAAGAAGAAAAATGGAAATTATGATTGGCTTCAGTCCCCCACGTAGTTTGCTCGGTCAGACTCAGTGGTAGGCGGAACTCCATCGGGCGGGGGCTTTCTTTATCGATTTAAATTTGGCTAGCCGGTGCATTTTCTGTCGACTGCTGGAACAGTGAGTGAAGCAGTTGTTCTCCTCGTTCCTGGTTTATAATAGGATTTAAGTTTCTCTATACATACCTCTTATTTATCACAAGTCTAATTTTAAAGAGAAGACATTTAATGTTCATCAATTTATTTATTTCCCTCGTGACAAGACAATAAATAACAAAAATAACATGACTGAACCTTCAACAAAAAACGACACATCTGATATAAACAATTTGATTGGACCAACAGAAGTAAAAAGTGCTGTACCAAAAGTCAGGTTAGTTTTTTTTCAAAAATTTATTTTTATTTTTATTAATTTTAGAAGTATTTTTAATTTTTATTAATTAGTAAAAAATAAAAATTATTTGTTAAAATTATAAATTTTAATTAAATAATTAATGAATTCTTTAATTCTAATTCGTATCGTAGATTGATTTTCGGTTTGTATTCCCGAAAGGAAGAACATTGAATAATTGCGAGTTGAAAAATAATTATTTTGTTTTTCTATATTTATCGCTTGTATTTTTAATTATTATTTTTAATAAACGTGACTTACTAGAGAAATTATTTACAATTTTACAAAGGAAAAGCCACTCCTCGTGTATTATGACTCATGTCTTTTATGGCATTTTCTCAGAGTTAAATGAACGTTACTCGGCGTGAAATATTGAAGTCAAGGAAAGGAATATTGACTAAATAATAATCAATTGTCTTTATATCGCAAAATATTGTGTGTCACTATATTAAAATATATAGAATGTGTCAAGTATTGATGAAAATTCACCTAGAAAGAAATGAAAGGAAACGTGAAAAAAAATTTTATTTCTGCTACATACAACCGCATGTGTGTAAATCATCTTAAATGGGAACAGACTTTATTGTAATCCCAGCTTCAGACCAGACACACGCGTTATATGATCCGCATGTGTAGAGTCTGGAAAAAAATCAATATTTACTTTCCGATTCGTTGCTTTAGAATCACGTGGTTCACGATATCAAATTTACCCGCGGAATAATTTTTTTTCTTTACTTTCTTTGAAGAAAAATATTTCTTTTTTTTCACCTTTTAGTTTACGGAAAATATTTTCATGCTCTTAACATTGTCATAAAATATACATTTGTCCTGTGATAAATGTTTAAACACTGATATCCAAGTATAGAATATTGCTTAGAAATATCGTTATTTAGGTTAATGTATTTTTTTTTCATTTGCTAATCATTTTTGTATTGAAAAATATTTCAATGTTATTGTGATAAAATGTGCCAAAATAATTATTACCTACGTTGGAGAATTTTATTTTGTGAAAAAGGTGATAATATAACATACAAACTGTGATATGCATTTCTCAATAGTAATAATAGTAAAATAAAATTATAATTATATTTTTCGTTTCTTAATAATTATAATTAAATTTTTTCTTTTTAATAATTAGAAATTATGCTAGCAAATGTTACGCAGTATTTATTACTGTGTATAAATTACAAAATTTTTTATTTTCAATATCATCTTCAGTTTTTGGAAAATTTTAATTTTAGATTTATAATTTAAAATATTTATTTATTAAATAATTACCAACTAATTAATTATTATTACACATATTATTTACAGAAACTTTAATACAATTTCCTAAAAAAATTCTATTATTTTCAAAACTTTTCAATAAAATTCTTCTGAAAAATTCAATTATTTTCAATACAATTTTAGTAAAATACTCGAAAGAAATCATTTATTATTATTAAAAATTCCAATTAAATTTTTTATAAGAATTGAATTATATTTAATACAATATTTTAAGTCAAACAAAATTTTCGAGAATTCAATTATTTTCATAAATAATAAAGTTCTTTGCAAGAATACAATTATTTACAAAAATTTTAATAAAATTCTTCACAGAAATTCCATTATTTTCAAAAATTTTAATAAAGTTCAATTCAAACAGTCAATTAATTTCTAAAATAATGAAATTCTTCAGAGAAATTCAATTACTTTAAAAAAATGTATATGAAATTCTTTATTCCAATTTTGACTGCGGGATATTAGATGTAAATAAATAAATAAATTATAAGAATTAAATTATTTAAAAAAAAAAAATTTTAATAAAATTCTTCACAGAAATTCAATTATTTTCAATAATTTGTAATAAAATTCTTTATAAGAATTGAATTATTTTTAAGAAAATTTTAATTAAATTAGTCAAAAAAATTTGCTGGGATTCAATTATTTTCATAAAGAATTAAATTATTTATAATAAAATTCTATATAATAATTATTTTCAAGAAAATTTTAATAAATTTGGTCAAAAAATTTGCTAGAATTCAATTATTTTCATAAATAATAAATATATTCTCACAGCAATTGAATTCAACTGTTTTTAAAATTTTTTTCTTCTAAAATTCTTCTTAAAAAGTCAATTATTTTCAAAAATTAAAAAAAAAATTTCAAATTAATTCAATTATTTTGAATGTAATTGTAATTTATTTTAATGTACCTAAATTTAATTTTTTTCGACAAAAACCGTTTTTGAAATATATAAATATATTGTTGTCTTAGTTACAAAAATATAATTTTACAATTTTATTAGAATCCTGTCTATTATTAAAACTTTCTCATAAGTATTAAACAAAGTTTAACATATATAATATTAATTTAAATATTTTTAAAACTTCATTTTATATTCTCTAATAAATATTATAATTCATAATGTTCTTAATACGTCTTAAATTTTTTTTAATACCTATACATAAAATAAAATTGCTTAGAAATCTTGAAATTAAGTATAGAAGACCGAATAAATATTCAAATTTTTCCTTTTGTTCAAATTTTCAATACAACTATTAAAATATTCTTTAGATTTTTTTCTTTTCGTGAATAAGACATTAAAATAAATAAACTCCAGTTTTTCTTTAGGCAGAAAACAAATTTAAAAAAAACGTATTTTGCATTTATATGAATTAGTTTTTCTACAATAACTTATGTGTAATTCTTTTTATGCCTTAGGCGAAATTAAATTAATTTTACAAATTAAATTATGATTTTGATTCGAAACAATTTTGTTTAATTAATTTTTTTTATTATTTAATCTTGAAAATATTAAATTAGAATTTTATTAATTAAAAAAATTTTAAACATTTTAAAAGAGAAATTTATCCAAAAAAATAAGGTTATTAAATATGGATTTTTCTTTTAATTATATTTTTCTATGAAATAATTTAAATTATGTTTTTCTTTAATCAATAATTCTAATTATATTTTTCTTTTATTAATAATTACAATACAATTATTTTGACTAATAAATATTATTTTTATTTTTTTATTATTATTAATAATTTAATATTATTTTTATTATTTTTTTCATTGTTTATTTTTCTTTTATTAATAAATTACAATACGATTATTTTGACTAATAATATTCTTGGCACTAATTATCAAAGTAATTAAAATATTAATATTTATCGTGTATTGAATGAAAACTACTTTTTACCGATGATTAATTATTCAATTTTGTTTATTATCGTCATAAGAAATTTTTTATGTAGTATGAGAATTGACATGACGGGAAATGTGAAATTAATAATAGTAATTGTTAATTAAATGTAAAATACAATGTAAATATTTTTTCAACATTTTTAAAACTCTTCTTTTTATTCTCTGTTTCACGTTAGGCAAGATTTGATCAAGTGGAATGGATGGGGCTACAAGGATTCGCAGTTTAGTGTTAACGAGAGTGAAAGAGTTCTCGAATTCACTGGAAATCGGTAAGTGTGCGTCTTTTAAATGAAAATAAAAGAATATTATGTCATTTTGTGTTTATATTAAAATTTTAACCAAATATAAATATCCTTTTTTTTCATTTTTATTTTTCATAATGAATTTTTCATAAATATATTAAAAGTCTGAAAATATTTGAATTGGGTAATTCAAGGCTTAAATTTCTGCAGTTGAATAGTATTTACTTAGATGTTGAAATCATTTCCTTGCCCGACTCGTTGTGTGTGGTAATCGTTGTTTAAATATTCGTAGATATTCAAATACATATACATACCTATTAGGTCTATTCTAAACAATATTTAATGATTAGAAAAAGACAAGAGAAGAAAAAAAATTATTTAACAACTTTGGTTTTATGTCTAATTTCAGTATTTCACGAATTAACCAAAAAAGAAAATTCTCAAATTTTTTTCGTTTTACCAATTATTTTTCATTGTTTCCTTATTAATTTTATGCTAAGTGAAAGTGACAAAAAAAAAGTTAAGGAAGTATTTCAGAAAATTCTTTTCTATTTTAATTTCAATATAAATTTTGATTTTTAATTCTATTTTTATAGATCAATATTTTTATAATCAAGAATAATTATTTATTCAGTATTATTTTGTTAATAAAAAAACTTTGTCAACTTTCAAATGGTCCCGAATTTAAAATTTAAATCTCATGGCAATTTTTAAGTGAGGCTATTATTATTTTTTTTACTTTATTACCACTTAGCATAGAGTATTTTCATAGTGAGTGGAAATATGTAGGTTGAGTGGCGTGTAGGATTTATGTAATCTTAATTAAATATGATTATACACTATATTCCGCTTTTTTTTCTCTTCACATTTTATAAAAATTCGTTTGGAAAAAAAAGAATTCTATTGAATGTTATATATATATATATATATATATATATATATGTCAACATCGAATGTCTTTAAAAATTCATTAAAGTTATAAATAAGATATCGATAGAATATTTATCACTATTGACAAGATTCTTATCAATTAAATACATTATGGAGAAGAAAAACTAGAAAAATATTCACTTTTTTCTATTTCTTTAAATATTTTTTTTAAATATTAAAATTCATTGCGATTTGCAAAAAAAAATGAATCTCTAAATGAGATAAATTTTTCTATTGTTAGAAAAATAGAAAAAAAAAGTAAATTAGCGATTGTAAATAGCGTTTAGAGAAAAAATAAAGAGGATCAACAGTGTCAAGTCTATTTGCTAATTGATTTTTCAATTTCTTTTTTTGTTTAGATATTCGATTGGTAATAAGCAGTTACCTTACTTCACGGCATGGGCACAAGAAAAATTAAAAGTTGATTTAGATTCAAAACGTAGTGTTCAGGATTTACCGAAAAATTATCCGGAGCCAATTTTATCGGCAAAATTATTGGATGCAATTAAAGAAACTGGAATTGAATATTCGATAGAGGGTACAGATCGACTTGTTCGAGCACATGGACACACTTTACGAGAAATTTTCATGCTTAAATATGGCACATACCAAAGAATACCAGACATCATTCTATGGCCAAGTAAATGGATTTTTAATTCTATTATCATATCAATTAGCTGACAAAATATATTTTCTTTTTCTATTTTAATCGATTAAGTGACGAAATTTTCTTTTCCTATTTTAATAAATTGATAAAATATATTTGCTTTTTTTATTTTCAATAATTAGCTGAGAAAATATATTTTTTCGTTAATTTTAATCTATTAACTGGGTGATTTTTGTATTTTAAATTTTAATCAATTTCTTTTTCTATTTTAATCAATTAACTGACAATTTTTTTTCCTTTTTTTGTCTAATAAAGCCAGTAAAGTCAGGGAAATGTCAGGAAAAAAAATTTTTGTCAGAGAAATTAAGGAAATTGAAACTTTTTTCGACTTAGGTATTTTCAAAAATTACGACTTTTTCGACTTTTCTTCCAAACATTGCAACAAAATACAACAAATTTTAGTAAAAAAAAGTCCAACTAATTTTGATTTTTATAATGTGAAAAATAACTATAAAAAAATCTTTCAGAAATTGTTTTTGAATCATTTTTTAACATAATTACATAAATTTTTCAAATTATATCTATATAATAAAAATCTTTTTGAATAGTTGAAATTTTGTCAAATTTAATTGAAAATAATTAATTAATTTTGCAAGTATTTATTTACAATTTTTGAAAATCAATTTTTGAAGAATTTTAATTGCAAATTTTAAAAATAATATTGAAATATCAAAAATTTTGATGAAAAATCTTTAAAGGTAAATTTAAAAATGATAATTAATGGCAATTAGCTTCTAATTTTTTTAAATTCAATATTTTCAGTATGTATTTTTAATTACGTATTTCCAAAAATACAAATTCATACAAAAATAATAACATTTTGGAGATAATAATCATGTTCAAAATTTTTAATTAAAATTCATCAAAAAATTAATTAGTTTTTTTAAATTATACGAAAATTCTTTTAAGAAATTCAATTATTTTCGAAAAATTACATTAAAATGTTGTTAAAAACTAATTATTAGAATTATTTTATAATAATTTTTAAAGAATAAAAAAGTTTAAACATTTTTTAATTTAATTAAAAGATTTAATTATTTTCGAACAATGTAAATAAAAATTTATGAAAATTTACTTTTTGGACTTATTAAAATTTTTGAGAGATCATGGCTCTGTTTATAATTAAAATTCTCCGAAAATTTGGTCATTTTTATTTATATTTTTCAACATTCCAATTATTTTTAAAACATTTTACCAAATTTTAATTGTTTGGAAATTTTTCAAAATTGAAAAACTATTATATCTTTCAAAAATTATTTAAAAATAACTTAAGAAAAAACTATGGAGAGTCACAATTATTATAAAAAATTGAGTTTTTGTATTTAAATAATTGAATTCTAGAAGAACTTTTGAAAAATTATTTAAATTAATTAATTCAGAGATAAAGTTGAGTTGAAAATTGTAGAAAATAATTGAATTCAAGAAGGGTTATAATTGTAATTTTTAAAAATTATTAAAATTCATCAATTTTACTCATTTTTTGCAAACATTCATATTTTCCTGTAAAAAGAATTTTGTCAGGGAAAATAATTTTAATGTCAGTAAATTGTCAGGGAAATTGATAAACTGTTACTTGTGAACACCCTGAATTAACTTACAAAATATGTTTTTTTCTTTATTTTAATCGATTATTTGATAAAATAAATTTTTTTTTTTTATTTCAATAAATTAGCTAAAAAAATGTTTTTTTGTAATTTAATCGATTTTGATTTTTTATTTTAATAAATTAAGTGACAAAATATTTTTTTCTTTTGTATTTTAATCAATTAACTGACAAAATATATTTGCTTCTTTTATTTTTGACAATTCGCGGAAAAAATATATTTTCTTCGTTTATTTTAATCGATTATCTGCGTCAAAATAAATTTTATTTTTCTATTTCAATCACTTAAGTGGCAAAATGTTTCCTTTCCTATTTCAGTGAATTAACTTTCAAAATACATTGTCAGTAATTGATTAAAATAAAAAAAGAAACCAAAGGTTAGTGTAGAAATCACCATGCTATGCCTAAAATGATTATTGGCCCTAGCTTGGACCTAACTTGGCAACCCCTTTTTATATATCCTAGGCTGGTCCTAACTTGGTACTAGCTAGGAGATCCAGTTATGACTTAGAAAAATTTTTAGGAAAATAAAGTGTCAAAATTGATACATGAAAAACATGTAAAAATTGATAAATATTCTCAATTAATATTTATAAAATTAATTGATAATCATATTTGTTTAAACAATTTATTGTTTGACATAAATCAGAAAATTATACAAATACTATAAAATAAAGTTAATTTATTAATTTATTAATTCAGCAATTGTTTAAACAAATAATTGTTATTTACTAACTTTTTACACAATCAACCTAGAAACTAGCAGTTTCTTCTAATTTTGCAATAAGTAAATACTCAGATTAGTTAATTGCAAAATTTTAAAAGACTACAAGTGTCTAGACGCTTTATTGTCTTAAGAATTAATAAATATGTAACAACAATTTTTTGTTTAAACAAATGCTGAATTGTTAAAATTATAAATTATCTTCATATTTCACTACTCAAGTGTAATAATCGCGAAGTTAGATAAAAACTGCAAATTTTTAAGTAATTTGTTACAAAAGTTAATATAACAGCAAAATTTATTTATTTATTTAAACAGATACAGACTGCAATATAATTATCATTAGTAAAATATATTTCTAATTTCGTTCGCTGATTTTCAGTTTCGTTTAAGTTGGTGCTAAACACTAAGAGATATTGCAATTCGAATGTGGGCTGACCCACCCAGGTCCAACCCAGGACCTACCTGGGCTTCCTAGTTTCATTAACAAAAATTTCTAAGTCCAAGTCTAAAAAATTTTTGCAACAAAAAATTAATGCTTAAAATTGTTTAGAATAATGAAAAACGTGTTTTTAACATAAATTTTTTTGACATTTTTTTAAAAAGTGGATCACCCGCTTAATTAATTAGGAAAAATTTCCAAGTCCAAAAGACGAATATTTTTTTTAGACCAAGAAATTAATGTTGAAAATGATTGAGAACAATGAAAAACCTGTTTTTAACGAAAATGTACAGATATTTTTTTTCTTGATATAATATAAAAATATTAATTTTTGAATTTTTATATTTGGATATTATTTTATTATTATTGTTGTTGTTAAACTATTTTTTTTATTTATTATCGTGTATTAGTGTCAATAATTACTATATTGAATCATCAAAAGCAAGTCCACAAGTCACTGACAATAAAAATTTTCATCTCAACTAGTTTCATTAGCATAGTGGTTAGGGCGTTAGTCTCGTAGTCCGTAGGTCGTAAGTTCGATTCCCGCGTGCGTTAGATTTTATTTACTTCTTAGGTTTGCGTTTATTCCGATTTTTCTGCATTGTATTCGTATAAGTATGCAATTTAATGATTATATATACTGTAAAATAATTTAATTAACAAATTTCTAATTTTTTTTATAATTTTTAATGTATATATTAGAGGAATATATATTAATCTCTACATATACTAACATTATTTATGAATTCGCTTTTGGTCATCACTTAATTGAAAAAAATAATAATTAATTAAAACTAATACTTATTATTAATAATTTAGGTTATTTCTTTAACAAATATTATTAACTAATTAAAATTATAATGAAATAGAAAATACTGTCTGAGATGGTCCTTTCTAGGTCCTAAAATGGACCCATAAACTGGTCCTAACTAGGCTCCCAAGTTAGGACCAGGCTAGAATCGCATCACCACCCATTGTTGGTCCAACCTACACTGCCAACCTAGGACCAAGCTATTAACAGGGCAAAATAGGTAGGACCTGGCTAGGACCAATTTTCATTTTCCACACGGGTTTGGTAGTTAATTGTTGATAAAAATAAATCAAGAAAATATATTATCTTTGTTTATTTTAATCAATTAACTGACAAAATTTCTTTTCTTTTCTCTTATTTTTTAGTTATGTAGAAAATGGAATCATTATTTTCTTTCTTTTTTCATCAGAAAGTCACAGCGATGTGGAGAAAATCGTGAAGATTTGTGCGGATTACGACGCGGCATGTATACCTTTTGGAGGTGGAACGAGCGTCAGCGGAGCGGCAAATTGTCCCGTCGAAGAAAAAAGAACAATAATTTCACTCGACACATCGCAAATGAATCGGATATTGTGGCTCGATAGGGAAAATTTACTCGCATGTTGTGAATCTGGAATAATTGGCCAGGATCTTGAACGTGAACTTCGATTACAAGGTTTCACATCTGGACACGAACCGGACTCGTACGAATTTTCAAGGCAAGATATTTTTTTCTCCGGTTTTTATGATAATTTAAAAAAAGCAATAAATCCAAAGAAAATACCGTTTCTTTTTCTACAAATTAAATTATTATTATTTTATTTGTTATTATTATTATTCTTATTCTTATTATTATTATTCTTATTTTTATTATTATTATTCTAGTTTGGGAGGATGGGTCGCAACAAGAGCGAGTGGAATGAAGAAAAACGTTTACGGAAATATCGAGGATATTATCGTTCGATTAAGAATGGTCACCGGAAGAATTGAGGACACGGCAGTGACGCTGGAAAAAGGATTTCAAGTGCCACGAATGTCCTGCGGGCCAGATTTTGATCAAATGATCCTTGGAAGCGAGGGAACGCTTGGCGTAATAACAGAAGTTGTTTTCAAAATTCGACCACTACCACAAGTTGTAAAATACGGAAGTATTGTATTTCCGGATTTTAGTAGCGGAGTTTGTGCCATGCGAGAGGTATGCACTGAAAAAAACTTATTCTTAATTACTAACATAATTTTGGGTAAAATAACAATACTGCAGGCTTGCCACAAATTAGGGAAATCAGAGAAAACGAAATCACCCATCGGATCGACTTTAAGGGGGGGGGGGGGGTATAGTTAATTCGGTGAAAAAAACTCATGTTTTTTAGAATTTTTTTTAGCGATACGCAGAAAGTTAATTTATTTTATCACTTTGCATATAACATTGCAACATTTGAACAATATTTTTTTAAATTTTGATTTAAAAATATTAAAAATTGAGCGAGATAATGAGATTTTTCTCAGCCGCGTCAAAAAAAAAATGATTTGCGGTGTACACTCTAACTCGCAACAGAATCATCCAAAACAAAAAAATCAAAATGCATTTGTTAAAGGAGATGTTTTTTGAGGTATTATCGGAAGGGATTTTTTTGTTTTTTTACTTTTCGATTTTCCGTAGCACTTGAAAGCCAAAAAGTCGATTTTCACTGTAAAAAATCGATTAATTTGTTATTGTAAAATTGGTAATTTTTTAATAAAAAAATAATGGCTTCCGATGTTACCTCAAAAAACATCTCCTTTAACAAATGCACTTTGATTTTTTTGTTTTGGATGATTCTGTTGCGAGTTAGAGTGAACACCGCAAATTTTTGGAGGCGCCTGAGGAAAATGTTAGAATCTTGCTCAGTTCTTAATATTTTTAAATTAAAATTTAGAAAAATATTGTTCAAATGTTGCAGTATTATATGCAAAGCGATAAAATAAATTAACTTTCTGCGTATCGCCAAAAAAAATTCTTAAAAACATGCGTTTTTTTCACCGAATTAACTATACCCCCCCTTAAGGGTAGTTAAAGTTACATTAGTCGATTAAAGATTAAAAAAGTGAAAAAGTCGTTTATTACATTGTTTTGAACACAAAAATTTCATCTGATTTCTAAATTTAATTATTAAAAAATTAAATAATTTTTTTAAATAGAATAGATAGAACATATTTTTGAGTATCTAATCAATTCGTCAGGGTCAGGGAGAAAGTCAAAATTATGTCTGGAAATCAGGGAAAAACAAAATTAAATTTTTGTAGCAACTCTGAAGAATTTTATTCAAATTTCTTAAAATAGAGACAAAATTTTTTTTGTGGCAACCCGCATATACTGTATTTCTTTGAGTGTAATAAAACAATTTAAAAACTATTCATCTCGTCAATTATCAAATTGAAGAAACTAAATAGAAGAATATTAATTTCTAGGTAGCGAAGCAACGATGTCAACCGGCTAGTATTCGACTAATGGATAACGAACAATTTAAATTCGGACAATCCCTAAGACCGGAAGTCGGATGGGGCGGTCTCCTTCTACAGGGCATAAAACACGCCTACGTCACAAAAATAAAAGGCTACAATTGGGACAGCATATGTGTCGCGACACTTTTATTTGAAGGCGATGCAGCAAACGATGTTTCTCTACAAGAGCAAAAGATTTACAATATTGGAAAAAAATTCAACGGCATTCCAGCGGGTGAGACTAATGGCGAACGTGGCTATACCCTGACTTTCGTCATCGCCTATATTCGTGACCTTGGACTTGACTATGGAGTTGTATCGGAATCATTCGAAACATCTGTTTCGTGGAATCGTGCCTATTCATTGTGCCATAATGTTAAAACACGAATAATTCGTGATCTTCACACACGTGGAATTGAGCACTATTTAGTTTCGTCTCGCGTCACACAAACATATGACGCCGGATGCTGTATTTATTTTTACATGGCTTTCAATTATATGGGTTTAACTAATCCAGTTGAAGTTTATGAGGAAATTGAAGAGCGCGCGAGGGAAGAAATTCTAGCGAATGGTGGTTCTCTATCGCATCATCATGGCATTGGAAAAATGCGAGCGGCATTTTATCCAGAAGCTGTTGGAAACGCTGGCGTTTCACTTTATCGCGCTGCAAAAACTCATTTGGATCCGCAAAATATTTTCGCCGCAGGAAATTTAGATCCTCAGTATAAATCCAAATTATAGACGTTTCATTTTCAAAAAAAGGAAAAATCTTCAAAAAAAAAAAAAAAAATGAACCATCAACTCAAAAATCATGTTTTTCTAATTGTAATTTAACATATTCTTCATCGTTACACGTTTCTCCCACCTTTTTTCCAAACGAATGAAGACAATTTTTCAATAATTGTATAAATAAATAGTTTTTAATAGAATTCATTTTGAAAATAAATACATTTTTCAAGATAATTATTTCGAAATTGTTTCAATACAACCTATAAATGTTCAAACCAAGTCAACTCTTTAAGTAAAACTAGGTATATTGTCGATGGAAGGCATGGATTTTTTTTCTCATTTGAAAATAAACAAGGGCAAGTAAATTAGGCAAAAAGAAGACTTTTTTTGGTACAAATAATAAGTATATTGAAATTCTTTTTTTTTTTTTTTTGATAAGTTAATAAAAAATAAACAAGGGCAAGTAAATTAGGCAAAAAGAAGACTTTTTTTTGGTACAAATAATAAGTATATTGAAATTCTTTTTTTTTTGATAAGTTAATATAAATAATGAAAGAACTTACGTTTAATTAATGATTTATAAATTTTAGTCTAATCGCTTGTGTTATTCGGCGCTAAAAGGCATGTCTTTAATTTGAATTAAGTCGATTCGTTGTACTACAAACTTGTTTCTTATTCGCTACCTTTTTGCGCGTTTCAACAACAGAAAAAAAAGAAAAATTTACAAATATTATATCAGACTTGAGACAAAACTAAACCTACAATAGAGTATTCGTTTTAAGAAATAGGAAACTAAACAAGTGGCAAAAAATATATATAATGGAAAAAAATGGAATCGAACGTATCCATTTTATTCAAGATGTGAATTAAACTCAAAACAACTTTTTTTAACACTTTATCAATATTTTAACAAATTTTTCAAAATAAATATTTCTTCAGATAGAAGATACTTTTTTAATATTAAAAAGTTTCTTTCTAGTATAAATATAGTTTTTATCGTAATTTGTAAACATACTCCATTTTCTTTTTATATCAAATTATTTCTTTTTCAATCTAACTAATACATTTTTGTTTTTGGTATTATTTAGAATTGAAGTGATGGAGTACTTTTACAGAGGTTTAATTCACATCTTTAAAACCTTTTAGTCTCAAATTCTTTTTTTGATTATAATATACAAGAAATTAAAATTGAATGTCTCCTTTTAAAGTAGACAAATACGCATCAAGATCATACTCATCATCATATTGTTGTTGTTCCCAAAGTTCGGGAAGAATTTCAAGAATTGTACGACTAACTCCAGGAACTCCACTAACCTTTGATGTAGCATCGCCGCTGCGTTCAGATTTCTTTTCTTTACCATTGTCCAAGGAGAAGAGGTCCAAAATCTGAAAACATTTTTTAATATTTATAATTAGGTAGTTGGATCCATAGATTATTTTATACAAATATTTTAATATTTATGTCAATTTATAATATCAAAATAATAGATAATATATTATTTCTAAGTTTATCTGGCAAATAACTAAAATTATATTTTTTAAATTTTAATTCAATTATTTTCTGGAATTTTCAACTAAAATTCTTCGTAAAAATAAAAATTTTCATTGAAAAAATTGAATTTTTATTTTACAAATTTGATTATTTTAATTTTAATAACAAATAAGAAAGTGATTCACTTGAATTCAAATATTTTTAATTAGATTTTAATAAAATTTCTAGAAATTTTAATAAACTTATTTGAAACATTTCAATTATTTTCAAAAATTTTAATAAAAGTCGTCGCAAGAATTGAATATTTTTCATAAATTATGAAATTTTTCGTGAGGAATTCAATTATTTTCAATACAATAATTTTAATGAAATTTCTTGACAAAATACAATTATTTTTAAAAAAATTTTAATTTTTTGAAAAAATTCTATTATTTTCCAAAATTTTGATAAAATTATCTAGAAAAATTCAATTAATTTCAGTATAATTCAAATAAATTTCCTTAAAATAATGTCATTATTTTCAAAAGTTTATAATAAAATTCTTCGTAACAATTCAATTCTTTTCTAAAATTTTAATAAACTTCTGTTCAAGAATCCAATTATTTCAGAATCGAAATTTAAAAATTTTTAAAATTAGGCTAACTTTTTTTTAACAAAAAAATATTTTTTACTGTTAAAAAAAAAGTTTAGATTATTTGACAGGTAAAGTTTGAAATAATATTTTTTTTATTATTTCATATCTTTAAAATTTTAAATATTTGTACTAATTTATAGTATTTATCAACTGTTGATAAAATCCAATAATTTTTCTTTTAATTTTTGTCATGAATTGTACATTTTTACATTTTCACAAAAAATTAGCAACTCTTGTTTTGATTTACTAACAATTAACAAAAAAAAAATGAATGTCTCACCTGTTCAGTGCCCATTGTTTGTAAAGAAGCATTATCCGTGGAAATAACAGTGTTGACAGTTAATAATTTGAATTTCTGAAGACCCATAATTTTCTCTTCAACTGTTGATCTTGTGACTAGTCGATAGACATTTACGACTTTCTTCTGACCAATTCGATGAGCACGATCCATTGCCTGTAAGTCTTTCATTGGATTCCAGTCGTGTTCAACAAAAATAACAGTATCAGCTCCAGTTAAATTTAATCCAAGTCCACCGACTTGTGTTGTCAATAGAAGTACATCAATAGAAGGATCGGCATTAAATCGCGCAACGACCGAATGCCTCTGGGCAGGCGGTATACTTCCATCTAATCTTAAATACGTGACAGTTGGCAAATGAACACGAAGTAAATCTTTCTCAACAATGTCTAACATTACTTTTAATTGACAAAATATCAGCGCACGATGCTGACTCACTAATTGTTGCGGTTGTTGTTGGCCATCATTGGCCATATTTAAATTACGATTCAATTGCTGTTGCGTTTGTCCAATACCACAATCGAGTAACAATTGCTTTAACGCCGGTAATTTTGCTCCAAGTTCAATGTCAGATAAATTAATTTGTCGCTGCTGTAATGAGGCGCAAATCTGTGAAGTAAAAAAGAACAGTGAATTTATGAAAAAAGTTCGATCACTTTATTTAAATCAGAAATTATTTCTTCCTTTCATATAATTACTTACCGATTGATATTGAGGATGTTTCGGAGTGAGAACAAGTTTCGGATGATTACAAACATTTCTCAAATATCGCAGTGCCTGGAATACGTGACCCTTTACACCGACAGACGCCGTTGAATTTGTCATCAATGTTTCCGAGTGTCTCGACTGGAAGTCCTCGTACAATTTTCGTTGAACTGACGAGAGTTCACAGTAATAATCTTGAGTGATTTTCGGTGGTAAATCCTTGAGAACATCCTCTTTATGTCGACGCAAGAGAAATGGTAGAACTTGTCTGTGTAGCGACTCCATTGCCAGAGCTCCAGCTTCTTGTTCCTTTGGTCCAGCTTTAGGATCACGACACGCTAAAATTGGACGTGAATATTTCGCGGCAAAATGTTTCTCACTGCCAAGGAAGCCGGGCATTAGAAAATCAAAAAGTGACCACAATTCAAGAACATCATTTTGTACCGGTGTCCCTGTGAGAATGAGTCGATGATAAGCGTGAAGTCTCTTAGTGGCCTTTGCACTTTTTGTCTTTCCATTTTTAATAATATGACCCTCATCAAGAACACAATAATTCCATTGAATTGATTCGAAAAATTCAATGTCCTTACGAAGAATATCATAACTTCCCACAACAAGTTTACATTGTGGTACTCGTGATCGTATTTTTTCACGTTCCGACGGCGCTCCAGCGTATTGAATAACAGAAAGATCAAGTGTGGTGAAGAATTTTTCTACCTCGTACACCCAATGACCTATAAGAAAGAAGAAAATGTTGAAAACTATTTATAAATTCAGTTCAAATTCAAGGACCATTGTATCTTTTTCTTTACAATAGGTGAAGAGGTAAATTACTTTCTAAAAAAAGATTTCAAAAAAATTATAATTATAAATTAATTTTAAAATTTACCTGTAAGAGTTGGGGGACACACAACTATACTCGGCGGTGCCTGTGGATTCCTGTGATGATCCAAAGCAAGAATACAGAGTGTTTGTAGAGTCTTTCCCAAACCCATATCATCACAAAGAATACCATGAAGTCGATAACGATTTAAAAAATCAAGCCAATTTAAACCCTGTTGTTGATAAGATCGAAGTTCCGCAACAACAGTTATCGGCATTTTTGTATCAGGAATATTGTGTGGATTAAGTAGTTGATCCAAAAATCGTCTCTCTTGCGCTTTTTCCTCTCTGAAAATCATTATTCCTTCTTTCAGACAAAAATGTTCTATAATAGCTACTTCTACTATAGTTTTCTGTATAAATATAAACGTTTCTCACAAAGGAAATATCATTTAATTGTTAGTTTGAAAAAAGTTTATGACTACGTACACAAGATGAGGTGTATCTGCAATTGCGCCAGGATCTAAAGGCAATAATTGAACGAGTGTTGCAAACGTTGAACTGCACGCTAATCTTACAAATTGATTTTGATCGCTCATCCGACCGAGTAATGGGACCATAAATAATACAGCGTACGGTACGATTCTTACTTCTAGTTTTTCCACAAGGCAAGCCAAAGCTTCGGCCGCACCTTGACGACGAATATCCATATCATTTGGTCTCGCTCGATCAATTCTCTCCTCCGCATTAGTTGTTTCTAACAAAGGTATCACACTACGAACAATGTACGGCATCGTCTAGAAATTTAACATCAATCGATTAGAGAAAACGTTTAAAAAATAAATGTAAAAATTTATAAATTAAATTTTTAAATATATTAAATTTAATTGAAAATTAAAAATATAATTCTTTTTGCAGGTTTACCTTATCGACATCGAGGAGAGAAAGGACAGCCATGCAACGGGACGACATGTGCCTCACAGCTTTATAAGGATGAGCTAAGAGGATACATAAATATGGAAGGCACTCCAAGATTTGAGGTAGAAGGGGTTGAGCTATATGAGGAGCTATTATCTCTAGCAATTGTAAGCTAAACACTAATTGGTTGACTTGTTCCTGGAAATTAGTATCCTGAAAATTTCTCCCTTGTGTTTCAGTGTTTCGTATAATTGTCGGAACCATTAAATCCCAAAGATGTGGCAATCGAGACGGAAAATGAGTATCAAATAGAGTGGCTGAAATAAAAATTCAAAATTGAAATTTTGCGCTAACGATCAGATTATTAATGAAAGAAATTTTTAAAACAAGGTTGCCACTAAAATTTATTTTTCTCTTTCCCTGATTTCCAGATAGAATTTTAACTTTTTCCCCTGATTCTAATAATTTTTAACTAAATTTCTTCATTAAAACAATGATTTTTAATCATTTTTGACAAAGTTCTTTGAGAATTTTGAAAACCATTTGTTTACAATAATTCAATTTTCTAAATTTCCATTACTTCAAAATTATTCAATTAAATATAAATTAGAAAATAAAAACTAGAAATAATTTCAAAAAAATTTGAATTAAAAATTTTCAAAATAAGTTCGGCAGAATTGTTAATTAAAGATATCAAAAATTCATATTTTCAAAGATTTCAATTTGAAAACTAATCAAAATTTAATTATTTTTTGAGTTAGTAACTAAAATTCTTTATTAAATTACTTATTTCTTAGTAATTAAATATAAATTAAAAAATTAAACCCAATTTCAAAAGAATTGGAATTAAAATTTTTCAAAATTTAATTTTTTCAGCAATTTTTCTCTAAATTAATTATTTTTATTAATTAAATATATATATATATATATATATATATATATATATATATATATATATATATATTAAAAAAATTAATAATTTTAAAAGAATATGAATTTCAATATTTCAAAAAACTTTGTTTTTTTTTAATTTCTAATTAAATTTATTAAAAATTGGCTTTTTTGTTTCCTAACTTTTTTAATAATTTTTCTATTTAAATATTTTCAATTTTAACATTAATGTATTGAAATTCATTGAATTCTTGCAAAGAATTTTTCTCAATTTTTTGAAATAATCGAGTCTATAGCAATAATTATAATATAAATAATTGATTTCCTAAGAAGCATTTTACTACTTATAAAAAACAATTTAATTCTGTCGATGAATTTTACTTCTTATAAAAAAAATTGAATTGTTTCGAAGAATTTATTAAATTTTTAAAAAATAATTGAGTTTTTCCTAAAAATAATATTTTAAAAATTAAAAAAAAATTGAATTTTTACATTAAATTTGATTAAAATTGTATTAAAAATTAATTGAACTTTTGAAAAGTATTTTACTATTTATAAAAATAATTGAATTGTTTCGAAGAATTTATTAAAATTTTCGAAAATAATTGAATTCTTTCGTGAAATTTTATTTAAAAAATTGAATTTTTCCAAAGATTTTACTATTTAAAAAAATAATTGTATTGTTTCGAAGGATTTATTAATATTTTATAAAATAATTGAATTCATTCATGAAATTTTATTAAAATTTTTGTAAATATAAAGAATAATAATTAATTATGTGCTTAATAAGTGATTTTTTTAAATTTTCATTATGAACTTATTCAAAAATTTATATTTTAAAGTAAAAAAAATTGTAATTTGCATAATAATAATAATAATAAAAAAAATTGAATATCACGTTGTTAATTCTTGGTAATTAAGAAGTTTTAAAACAAACAAAAAAGAGACAGAAATTCAAAATTTTGTTATGAATTCTATAAAAATTTAATTTTTTTTAGTACTTTTAATATTATAAAATTGACTGACTTTTCCCCGATTTCTCTGACCTGTGGCAACCTTGTAAGCAAAACAAAACAATTGTTTAACAATTGACGTTAGGTAACACTTACCGATAGCCGTGAGGGCAAAAGTCGCTCCACGTCGTGTCGTTCGAGCTGCTTTTGCCTCGGGTTCTTCACAGGCGAGCAATTCTTCTAAAGGAATATCTGTCGCTGGTGGTCGACCTGGTCCTCGAACGCCACTAGTTCCGGCGCACACTCCACGACCGTAAGCCACTCTCTCTGCATATTTTTGTCTATTACTCAAAGTCAAAATCCCATCAAACGGATCATAATTCGTCCCACCTGTTGCTCTTGGCGTGAATTCAACATCCGAACACAAGAAAGTACATAAATTTGTTGCTATCTGTAAACAAACATTTCAACAAAATTTTAAAACTAAAATTTCATATAATTGAAATTTAATTAAATTTTTTAATTTCTTTTTCCATCTTTTCAATTTTTCGAATAAAAAGTCTTAAAAAATTGATAAATACCTTAGTATTAGGACAAGGTTTCCTCTCAACGCAAAAATTAACAAGATGAGATAAATATTTAGCGGACATTGTTTGCAATTCCTCGTCCTCCTCGCGTTTAACTGATTCCATAAGTGGTTTGATGACTGGATTTAACGGCTGTGGTGCTGGTGGCAGGCATTTTAGCATGGTAGCAGCACCAGCAAGAGCAGCCATTGACGTTATATTAAACGAATGTTGTTGCTTTGCAGTTGTGTTTGCTCCATTCTCAAGTCCTCGACGACGCTCCTCCAAACTCTCAACTAATTTTGGTTTTAATTTAACAATCACTGGATTACTTCCAATTCCCGATACTGATCCATTTTCCGAACTTCCCGTAGTTCCACTTATAATAGCTCCAGGCACTGGTTTCGCTGCAAGTATCGTTACTTGTTCCAATGTCATCACACCCGATGAATTTACCTCAATGGGTATTGGTATCTTGTAGTGTTTTAATGTTGCTAAATAGTCTCGACTCTCGTGTAATAATCTTGTGAACGATCCTGCTACTTCATCATAATAGACGCATTCGTTTAAACACGCTATTAATTTATCCCTGGAAAAAATTAAAAAATTGTAATTATTTTCTATAAATAATTAACTCAACTTTTTGTATAGGATTGCCGCAGAAATTTTATTTTATTTTTCTCTGATTTTTCCCTGATTTCCAGACATTACTTTAACTTTTTTCCTGATAATAAAAAAATATTTTAGTTATTAAATAATAATTATTATTATTTTTCCATAAGAATGAAAATTTAAAAAAAAATTTCAATTTTTAATTCTTTGAAATTCAATAATTTATAAGAACTGCTACTGTAACTTTTCCAAAATTATTTACAAAATTTCAATTCAATTACTTTCGATAATTTGTAACTAAAATTCTCCTCTAATTCAATTATTTTTAATAATTTTTATGAAAGTTCCTTAAGAATTCAATTATTTATTTAAAAAATAAAAAGTTCACCTAAAATATTTCTAATTACATTTCATGAAATATCAATAATTACAAAAGTTTTGTCAATAATAGAATTCTTATACAGAATTTTCTAGAAATTTTTCAAAATAATTGGATTCCTCTGAAGAATTTTATTATTCATGAAAATAATTTAATTTCAGCAGAGAAATTTAAATATAAATTAATTACAATAATATTCAAAATAATTAAATTAATCTGAAGAATTTTATACAAAATTTTGAAAATAATATAAAAATAATATAATATATATAATAATTATATATAATATAATATAAAAATATATTAAAGATAATAATTGAATTCTTTCGAGAAATTCTGTTAAGATTGTAGTGAAAGTAATTGAATTGTTTTTAAGAATTTTGTTAATGTTGAATTTTTTTAAAATTTTGAATCTGAAATGATTGGAAAATTGAAGATGATATTTTTAAATAAAAAAATTTGTAATTTACATAAAAATAATGAATTAAATACTGCGTTTTGCGAGTAACATTTGCTACTTTGTATTATTTATAAAAATTGAAAGCGCCACTTTTATAAAACACAATTAGTTTTTGAAATTTTAAAGAAAATTATTCGCAAAATAATTTATAAATAATAATTTTTTGTTAGTTTTTAAGTATTAAATTATTTAAAGTAAATTCAATTTCAAATCTGTAAAGTTTAATTTTTTTTAGAAATAGAAAGAAGTTAGAATTAAATTAAAATTTTTCCAATATTTTTAAATGCTTAGACAACAAAATTCAGAGTTTTTTTAATGAATTCTAAAAATTGGATATTTTTCCAATACTTTTGATAAAATTTCCTGACCAAGTTTACTTTCTCTAATTTTTGCCTGAATTCCTCGACCTGTGGAATTGAAACCGGTGAAACCCTATTGTATTGAACTATTTGTATTGAATTTTTTTACCTGAGATTTTCTGGCACATCTGGTAAATTTTGATAGTCGATCGCTGCCCAATATGCCATTGTGAGACCGACAACGGTTCTTTGCAGTGCGGATTTTGAATTGAGATGCGCCATGAGTACCTTGGCGTAACAAAGTGCAGGACTAGGTATTTCTGGTGTGTAAACAACGCCCGGAGCAGGCATCACCAAATAACTTGAGAGTAATCCAAGCATTTTTGATGTCATACAACGGGCACGAACAACATTCGCGTGTCTTGTACTTTGAGAAACAGTTTCAACTCCTCCAAGATAAATTTTCAATTCCGATGTTGGTTTATTCGATCCACTCACATCATCACAAATTGATTGTGTTGTTTTTGTATTCTTGTGCGTTGACGATACATTCATTAGAAGACTGAGATTAAAGGGCACGTGTTCCGGTTGCATGGCAAGACAGAGCCAAGTACTAACTAATGGACACGCCGCGTGCAATAACATTTCGAGATCACTTCGAACGACTAGATTTTCCCAAACACGCTCCGCCACCTTCTGTATCGAAGGCACGTGTTCAATTAATACTCGTTGATAAACATGACGCAGAGCTTCTTGTAAAACAACACTACCACTCTCGCCCCAACGTTCTTTTCTCTTCTCTTTATCATCGCCATCGTCTCCAGTCAATGTTTGCAACGTTTGCAATGTCGCCTTTCGCACGCTTGAACTCGAATGATTGAAAAATGGCCACATACGAGGTAATACCTGGAAGGCAAAAAATAAATTATTGAATTTATGATTATTTTGAAGAAAATGAAAAAAATATCCGAATAGTAGCAAATCGTAAAGAAGGTATAGTAAACAGTAGATTTTAGTAGATGAGTGCGAACATTTTAAAAGAAGGGATGTAAAAAGAATTACCTCAGACAATGGTTGAGGTTTTAGACAAGACCGAGCAGCGGGTAATGATAAAATGGCAGCAAGTAAACCCATGAAACTATTGCATGCCGCTGCCAAATCGTCCTGCTCCTTGAGAAGTTGCCAAAGTTGCTCAACAACCATTTCCAATTGAGAAGGGTCGAGTAATCGTGGCAGGACCGAAGCAACTGGAATTAGAGCGCTCGCTGCCGCAGCACCAACATCATCAACAGGATCAGCCAATCCTTTCATAATATCTGGAAAAGCCTTTGGAAGAATATCATCCAAAAGATCATCTCTCACAGCTAATAAATACTTTAAAGCAAGTAATGCTCCATGCCTTGCTTCCCATTCATCATGTTTCAAGAGTTTCAATATAACCGATAAAATACCCATTATATCACTATTTGACAAGTCTTCACATTTTTCCTTCGCTATCAATAACATCAACGATCCTAATGCTTGTGCACATGTTTCTCGAACCGGAGCAACCACTTGATCCGAAACAAAATCTCCGAAACGATCTAATCCTAATACACACAAAAGACGCAGTGCTGCATCAACCACCCATTTTCTGTGACTCTCCTCCATTTCCTTTTCTGTCTGGTCCCTCGATTTTCCAGCACCTAAAAATTCAAATTTAAAAATTAGACAATCCTTCCTCTATGACGAAGCAATAAATATAACAGAAAAATTGTTTTTAGAAGACAGTAAATAAGTAAAAAAAAAACATGAACCTTTTCCATGAAGACGAACGAGTTCTCTTAAAGCTGTAGCTGCACCGTGGCGCACTTCCCATTTTTGACTAAACAGATCTTGACACAAAGTTTCAGCAAATGATTCAAGAGGCCAGTCAATTGCTGTTTCCGGCCAACAGCCAGTTCCATCTGGCACTGTCAGTCCTGATTCACTGGAACTTGAACTCCACCAACCTTCCGAGATTGTTTCCTCCAATTTTATTTTCTTAGCTTGATTTTCTACACTATTATTTAATTGAGATTGATTATTACAGGTAGTACTAAGATCTTGCGGTCCCTCGTCAGGATCCCTTGATCGTTGTTTTGATATGGATTGGCGAGCCTAAAAAAATAAGGATACAAGTTTCAATTTATCAATTTTACATTTTACTATATCATTAAAATGATTTTTCCTGACAAAACTATATTTTGCAGCAAATTTTGCTGCAAAATATAATTTCCAGACCTCGGATCGACTTACAGGAGAAAAAAAACGGTCTAGTCGATTAAAATTACAAATAATTCTACAAAATTTTAATGTTATTATTTTTTCATGTATGTATTTCAATTTTCGGAAATATGTAATTGAAAATAATTGAATTTTAAAAAATTAGAATCGAAAAATTGTAAGAATTTGCTTTTTTGAAAAATATTTCAGTAGAATGTTTAGAAGATAATTTTCATTAATTTTCATTTATTAAAATTTACACTTGAAGATTTTTCATTAAAATTTTTGAGAATTTAAATTATTTTCAAACTTTTCAATTAAAATTCTTCAAAAGTTTTGATTTTCAAAGCTTGTAATAAAATACTTGAATAAATCTATTGTATATTTCGATAAATGAATTAGAAAAATAAATAAAAATAATTTTTGAAAGATTTGTATATAGATATTTTTCACAAGTGTGAAAAATATCTATTTATTTTTTTTTTTTTTTTATTTTTTTATTTATTTATCTATTTATTTTTTTTATCTATTTATAGTGCTATAAAAATCGAAATAAGTTTCATTTTTTTTTATTAGAAATGTGGCATTTTGTTGCAATAATTTTTGGAAGAAAAATCGAAAGTCTCAAATTTCGAAAATAAATCGAAAAAGGCGCATTTTTTTAAAGTAGTCGAAAAAGTCATATAATCCAAGGCCTGAATCTTAAGAAAAAAAGGAATAAAAATTTATAAAAATGTATATATTTAAGAAATGCATATAAATAAAAGAGGATATAGTTGATAATATCCCTGACAATAATTTTTTTTCCTGTCGTTTCCCTGACTTTAGTGTAAAAAACTTTTTTTCCTGACATTTCCCTGACTTTACTGACATATGACCACCCAGAACTATAAATATTTAATATGTATTCAGAAAAATCTTTAAATTCTTTTACAGAAATAGAAATTAAATAGAAAATATAAAAAGAGAAATTCAAACAAAATTCTGAAACAGAATTCAAAAGTAAAATAATTAAAAATTGAATTCTAATAAAATTACCTATTTTCAAACAAATTGAAAAAATAAATTCAAATTTTAAGTATAAAAATAGAATGAAAAATATTTATCACCATGTGTGTGTATACAATATTTCCGTATTATCATATAATAAAGTATTAAAACGAAAAAAAAAATTTCGTAATAGTTAGATAAGAATTCTAATTAACCTTGCGTCTCGCTCTGTTCATTTCACGACGGCTCAGACCTTCGCCTTGACCCAAAGTCTCTTCAATGGAAACTTTGATGGGTGCGTTTTTTGAGGCAGGTAATGATACAACAGGTGCTAAATCCTCGGCCGTGAATAATTCAGCAGCATCAACACCCATTAATCTTGGATGTAAACCTAAATTGGTGGCAATTTTTTCCTCCTGATTCATCAATGATTGATCATCACCAACAATATCGTATTCACTTCCTTCAGAACCAGTGAGATGTGAACTTCTCGCCAATACTTGTGTCATGTCAAAATCATGTAAACTTAATTTTCGACTTGCATTACTTGTTCTGCGTTGTGATAATTTTGAATTATCTGAAAATTAAAATTTATTCATGTTAAATTCCTGTATTTTCATTTCTTTATTAATTTTTTTTTAAATTGGAATTTACATATTTCATCATTTGCAATGATAAACAGTTACTTTATTGTATAGATAAATGAAAAAAATTAATTTCGTATTCATAAATTTTCATATTATTATTATAAATAGAAATAAAGTTTATGAATAAAAATGGAGAAATTAGTAATAAATACTGATTGTAAATATAGATATATTTCCTAGGATAGAATAAAAACATTCGATGACTTTTTATTCAAAAAAATGTTATAGTAACTTGACATTATTCAAATGGAATGAATGACACATTCTTTACTTGGATTACGACTTTAAGCGTAGGTGGTTATTGCATCCTGTCAATTACAAATTTTACAGTTTTAAAATTTTTGTTCAGGACCTTGATTATGTAAGTTAATGAGTTAAAAAAATTTTTTACACAATATTTTCTAAAATTCAATTATTTTCCAATTTTTCAGTTAAGAACTCTTTAAATACACGATTATATTTCAAAATAATTTTTAAAAATAAAAAATTGTATTCTTTAAAATATAAAATTTATTTCAATAAAATTTGAGGAAATTTCCAAATGTTTCAATTATTTGAAATCATTTTCGGGAATTCATCTTCAAAAAATTGTAATTAAAATTTTTCAAAAAGCTTGTTTTTTCAGAATTTTATGAAAAAATACTTTAAAGTTTTTAAAACAATCGTATTTGTTAATAATTTAAATTAAAAATATTTGATTGTTGAATGTTATTAAAATTTTTATAAAGCAATTCTTCTCAGAATTTTATTACAATTTTTTTAATTGAATTTAAATAATTTTTTAAATTTTAATTTAATTCATTTTTAGTAATTTTATTTAAATATTGAAAATAATTGAATTCTTTCCAGAAATTTCTTCAATTTTTTTAATATAATTGATTTTGTCAATAATTATGATTTTACTATTAAATTTTATTAAAACTATTGATAGAAAATTAAAATCTTTTAAACAATTTTATTAGCTTTTGCAAATAGTTAAATTCTTTTGTAGAATTTTCTTGCAGTTTTTTAAAATAATTTTAAATTAAAATTTTGAAAATAATTTAATATTAAACAAAGAATTTTTAATTATTTCAATGTAAAACCTTTGAAAAATTTAAGTAATTATCTATTTCTAAAAATCCCTACAACGTTTGTATTAAAATTGAATTATTTTCTTAAATTTTAACTGAAATTCTATTTGAAATCAATTCTTATTAGAAAGTTCTACAAGAATTCAATTATTTAAATACAAAGATAAATAATTATAATAAAATAATTGGTTATTCTAAAAAATTACAACTGTACTTCTTTCGAGATTAAATTACTGTTTAGAATTTTTAAATAAAATTATTCAAAATTTTAATAATTCTTTAGGAAAATAATTAATTAATAATTATTTTAAATAAATATTTTTATACATTTACAGTAATTCAAAATTTCAATTATTTAAATTTAAAAACTTTCTGAAATATAATTATTTCTAAAAATTGCAACAGTATAATTCTTCCAAAATTTATTTATTTTTTAGAATTAAAAAAAAATTATTCAAAATTTCAATAATTCTTTAGAAACATAATAAATTAATAATTTTTAAAAATAAATATTTAAATATTATTGAATACTCTAACATCAATTATAATTTTCAAAGATTTCAATTTAAAAACACGTTCGTAAAATTTACAACGTTTATAATCAACGATTTAGAAGGAGAAAATATTTTTCTATTCATATTTTTATCTAAAAGAATTTTTTACGATATTTCTTAATCAACAATGTATAAAAAAGAAAAAAATTTGGTAAACAAAAAATATTGTTTTTTGCATAAGAAGTATTTTTTCTCTTAATCGTTGATCATAAACTTTATGAGCTTCACTCACGTTTTAAAAACCTTTTGAGATTTAATTATTTACAAAAATTACTACTATAAAGCTTCTAATATTGTATTATTTTCTAAAATTTTAACTCAATTTCTTTTATAAATCAAGTTTTACGAGAATTCGATTAATTAAACACAAAAACGAATAATTGTTTATATTTTAATGAAAAAGACGAAAAGGTATTTTTTGAATTTATGATTATTTTGACAGAAATAAATAAATATTAATTTTACTTATTTAAATTATTGTAGCCTGTAAAATTCTGATATTTATCTTTCGAAATAATTTCGAATAAAATTAATTTGTCAGTATAAATAAAACCCACTTGAATTTAACTCTTCCTTTACGGGTTCCGGATTCCAAGGTGGGACTTGTGATAAAATTGCCTGAACTGCATGTGCAGCCGAAACTCTTGTATCCCATTGTGGCGATTTCAATAAAACTGATACTCTAGTTAATAAATGATGAAGTTCGTGAGGATGCAATCGTTGAGCTTCTCCCAATTGTTGAGCAGCTGCACGTTTTGTCACAGCATTCGTTCCAGTTTCTAATAAAATAAATAGCCTATCTAATCTGAAAAAGAAAAATGAAAATATTTACAATTAGTAAATTCCTTAATGCACTAATAGTAGAAAAGTTTTTCTTTTTGAGCTGTTTTTTTTATAGATTTTATTTATACAGTTAAATATTGTATAATATTTAAACAGTTGAATTCAGACTGTGAACGACTAATGCAAACATTATTCCACACAAAGAACTCTTTATTTGTTAAAAGATCGACTGTTCTCAAAAATATTATAAATGATGAAAGACCAAATGAGTATAAAAGAAACATATTTAAACTTGCAATGATAAACAAAAATCACGATTCAACCGCCTACGGTCGTAAGAGAGTATGTTATTACAAACGAATGAGATCATCGTTCTTGGTCGTAATTTTTTTGCCTCTTTATCATTACACAAAAATTAACATATATTTTTTGTCATTTCAAAAAGACTACATAAAATTCTCCCTTTTAAAAGTTCATTTAGAAATTAATTAAATTATTTAAAAATTATAAATTTTCTCAAGTATAAACTCAACTGTATAATTTTTGCAAAACAATGCCAGATTATTTTTTCCGTCGAGTTCAGGGTAATAAGCATCAAATATCGATTTACTTTTTATTGACATGTTTTTTTCTTCCCAGAAGTATCTTTTTTTCAAATTTACTCTTTTTTTCACAACGCAAAAATCGATATGTTAAAAAAACTGAATTCACTCTGTTTATTAAATATTAAATATTTAATAAAAAAAATAGGTAAATTACGTTTGCAAATTTCTCATCAAATTTACAAGTCCACATGGAAAATAATATGCGTTTAATAACTGGTTTATCTTTTTCGTCATATATTATTTTTTTCAACATACCTTGAAGTCATATTTATCAGGAACTCTCGTTTCGATACTTTCAAATATCTGAAAATAAATAAATATTCCATTAAATGTTTGTAACTTTGTAATACTGATAATATTTTATTTCCTAGTTTTGCCTATCTATTATTTTTACAATACAATTTTTTTATGTAGAAAGGAAAAAAACAATGAATAATTACAGAATAAAGAAGTTTTTTTTCAGTGAAAACAAAATAATAATAATTTTGCAAAATTGAAAAATTTGTGCAAAAATAAAATTTTTCGTGTGTTTTTTTTAATTTTCTTCTTTTCTATTAATTTCTTCTTATTAATTTCTTTCAATTTCTTTTTATAAATTTTTTTTTTTATAAATAATTCTCTTTCTAATGTGAGATTGAAATTGTAAATTAATTATATATAGACAAGGAAGAAAGCGAGCGAAAGGGAATGTGAGCAACTATTACGTTAAAAGCTAAACGAACTGCTATCCCGGCGATATTCCAGTAACTGAATAACTCGACTTGAGATATCATTCACTACCTTATCGCGCCTGCGGGATAATTCAACACTGTTAAATGGACACGTGTCTAAATCCTTCATATGGTGTACATATACATAAACGAATTGATTATTTTCGCCAAAATATTTAATAAATCAAATGGTTTTTAAAAAAACAGAAAAAAATTGCATTTTTACCTTCAAGTTTTTTTCGAGTAATGAAATTTTTAAAGTTCACAAATAAATACTTTTCCCTTTTATTATTTACACCTGAATGGTATACAACTCTGCCTAACGGTCGTTAATCTGGGTTCAAAAGTAATTAGCGAAGCGTAGGGTCTGTTGAACGATAATAAAAAAAAACCCTAAAATGCAATATAGCAAAAAACATCTGCTAAACTCATAAAAATAAAAATTCTCAGAAATAATAGAGCATAAATTATCCCTTGCACGCCCAAAATCTATAATTTCTTTTAGAATTAAAATAAAAAATAACGTCTCACGTCAAAAAATATTTAAGCGGATTATTTAATAATAATAATAAAAATAATTTAATTTTCCTTAACACAAAAAAATTCAATTATTCAAAATTGGAATAATTTTGTTAAATAAATATTTAAATGCGACTTTATTTGTTTATATTTATTAACTTCTTTATTTGTTTTTCAACTGGAAATAAAAATAAAAAAAATTCAATTTAATAATTTCCAAAAATTACAACTGTAACTCTTCCAGAATTCAATTATTTTCTACAATTTTTAACTAAACTTCATCTCTAAATCAATTATTTTTAATAATTTTCTGAAAGTTTTTAAAGAATTCAATTATTTAAATTTTTTTCAATAATTGTAATTGTCCGAGTTTTTTTCTAAAATAATTGAATCTGCAGAAATTATAATAAAAAAATTCTAAGAATAATTTTTGTAAAAATATTTTAATGTAATTTTTTGGAAAATAATTGAATTCCTTAAAAGAATTTATTTTTGTATTATTTAAAAACAACTAATTAATTTTTAAAAAAATTTGTATTAAAAATATTTAAAATGATTGTTTTTTATAAAAAATAATAAAAATAGGTAATTGAATTTTAAAAAATTAGAATGAAAAAAGTCTAAGAATTACTTTCTTCAAAAACATTTTAATATATTTTTTAGAAGCTAATTTTCATTAATTTCCATTTTTCAAATTTACACTTGAAGATTTTTCACTAAAATTTTTGAGAATTTAAATTATTTTCAAACTTTGCACTTAAAATTCTTCAAAAGTTGATTTTCAAATATAAAATACTTTAAAAAAATCAATTATTTTCAATTAAATTTGATAAAATTTTAATTATTCAAAATCTTTTTAATTGTATATTTCGAATATTTAATTAATTACAAAAATGATTCAAAAATAATTTTTGAAAGTTCTGTCTATTATTTTTCACACTATATAAAAATTGAAATAAGTTATATTTTGTACTAAAAATGTGGCATTTCGTTGAAATTTGTGGAAGAAAAATCGAAAAAGTTGCAAATTTTGAAAATAAGTCGAAAAAAGTAGCATTTTTTTAAAATAGTCGAAAAAAAGTCATAATATCCGGGGCCTGTTTTTACAAAAAATTCTATTGTATCGTAAAAAATTCTATGCATACGAAAAATAATTCTGATTATAATTAAACAATAACAAAATTCGCTGAGTGGAAAATCCCAAATTCAATTCAATTTTTCAATATTATTCAAATTTGTATTTTATGTAAAAAAAAATTAACAAATAATTTTTTAAATGGAGAAACTTGACAATTTATACATTCTAGAACATATATTTATTTCACTTTCTTACTCCGATTTTTTTTCCACATGTATATATGTATATACGTTTAACACTTGAATAGTAGTAGACCATATTATGTAAATATTCCATTAACTCACGTTATTTAACTATTTTTAATTTTTTCTTGCCAACTATTTTTCAAAGCAACTGAAATACCACGTTTAACTGAAAATTCTTATCAACACAAGTTTAAGTAAACTTTCAGTTAATTGTTTTGCAAGCTAATAAAAGATTATCAAGTTTAATTAATGCAAAAGAAATTTTTACATACATACCAAAAAAAAAAAAAGAAACAATGTATCAAAATTTTAAAACAAAAGAAAATTGAACACTGAGAAAATTTAGTCTATTTATAACGAATTCGTATTTATAAACATAATATTGACATATTGGAAAAAAGCGGAAAAAACCCGAAATAATATTTTGATAAAATTTCAATTAAAATATAATGTGAATAAATAGCTGTATATTTAGAACTAAATATGTTTTGTTTGAAATTTAAGGAGGTAAATGTTCTTCTGGTTTCCTAATCTCCTTATTGTGTCATCATTACAGTCTGTTTACATATTAAATTAAGGTTTGTAGGTAGACATACAAGTATAGAGAAAATATCATTGGCAATTTAGAGAAAAATATAAACAACTAATTATTACAAAAATGATTATAATCAACTATCAATAATAAAAAAAATAAATTACCAAATTTTATTGCCCGAATTATTGTCCCCGCACGTCATTATTTACACTGCAATAAATTGAATGCACTTTTACGAAATAATCACTTTCAACTTCAACTTGGAAAATATGAAATTCCTTATTACGCCCAAAGTCTCAGGCTAATGACTAATCATGTTTAATTATTACAACAATGTGCAAATTCACTCCTATTACGTAGCAATTATTTTGAATCGAGTTTTTTTTTAGAAATCACTTTTTTTGTATTCAAAGAACATACGATATTTCATGAATAAAACGGGTTAATGTATTTTGTGTTTCAAAACAAGATGTTGAAGTTGTATATAAGGAAACGCTCACTACAAGGACGCGTCTTCATTACACATATGTCAAATATATTGTATAAGGTGAAATAAATTGAACATGGATTAAGAAATTTAACGTGGCAAAATGATAAAAATGATTAAAGAGATTATTTATAAATTGGCATCTGGATGAAAGAAAAAAAAAGATAGAAACTGTGATTTGAGAATGTATAACAGTAGTTTGTTGTCAAAGTCTTACCTCTTCTTCGAAATACAATTTGCAAGTAAATAACGTCTCAGCTAACCCTCATTGCCGTTTCCCAATGTTTTAATTCTTCAAAAGTCACATCACACCGCGTGTTATCCTGAATTCGATAGCAATGAGGTCCATTTATTGAATTTTTCAGAGAGAAACGCATGTTACAAGCATCAAATTTATACTGACAGCCATATTGCTCAAGAACCTGAGTTTTGTCCTCTGATTTTCGCCCTATTGGCCAATTTTAAGCCTCCAAAAAATACGCTCCTGAATTATTCAACCAATCAAGAAATTCCTTTAAAATATTACCAGGAGCTGATGCAGGCGCTGATGTCACGCTCGGTCGATAAAGTCACAGTGAGTAAAATTCATGAAATTTTAAGGTTATGTTCAATTTTGTTTTTTTTCAAATCTTTCAAATCATCAAATTGAAATCATTGAAATACAAGAAATACAACGTAAATATTTTTAAAGCAATTTATTAGCACTTGTTTAACGTTCTATTTATAACCAAAAACAAAATTCGTGAGGTATATTTTAACAACTGCTATAAAATAATTGTTATTCGGTAGCTTATATAGTTAAATATTTTACAGATGACAAATTTTATGAATGAAACAAATTGTTTATAATTTCTATGTTGATTTTTATACAAATATAATATATACTTATATATTCAAATAAAAAAGGAAAAACTATATATAATCGTGATAAAGCGAATCGCTGTCATCAGAATTTTCTTATTAACAAGAACAGAGTTGCCACAGGTCAGGGAAATCAGGGAATTCAGGGAAGGAAAGTCAGGGATTTTTATTTAAAATACTGGAAATAATTAATTAAATTAAATTTATAGAAGAATTTTAGTTAAATACACTAAAAAAATTGTATTTTAAAGAAGTTACAAATGTTTGCAAAAAATTAATTTTGTTAAAGAATTTAAAAAAAATTCTAGTCAAAATTTCAATTATTTTTAAAAATAATAAAATTCTTCTCCAAAATTCAATTATTTTTAATAAATAGTAAACATTTCACAGAAATTCAACTATTTACAAAATAATTGAAATCCTGAGAAGAATTTTATTATTTAGGAAAATAAATGAAGTCTTGCAACGAACTTTTATTAAATTTTTTCGAAATAATTGAAATCCCGTGAAGAATTTTATTTTTTATTAAAATAATTGAATTCTTGTGAAGGATTTTATTAAAATGTTTGTAAATAATTAAATTTTTGTTTTTGAAAAATTTTATAATAATATTCTTAAAAGTTATTGAATTTTAAAAGGTTTAAATTTGAGAATCAGAATATTCTTTTGGTTCAGGGAAAAAGGAAATTAATTTTTTGTGGCAACCCTGAAGAATATATATGTGAAATATTGTGCAATTTATTACAATAGATTTTTGAATTATGATTAATCCTCATAGTTTTTTTACTGGAAAAAATGTGACAATTCTTATAAATATTTTGAAGATATATATAATGTTTATAGATTATAAATGAAAATTTAATGATTTTACAAATAATTGTCGAGAGATATTCGCAAGTTTTCTCTCTTTTATAAAATCGTTGTTTGGACGGAGTTAAAAAAATCATTTGTGGACGTACGAATCTGATTCAAGTTTAAAAATTAGATGAAAATTTTTCGTTAGTTAGTAAGAAAAAGGAAAAGAAAATTAGTTTAGGCATTTTTTTCAATTGTAGAAGGTGCGAAAAATTGTGGAGTAGAAAAATCTTGTATAGTCATGTGGGGGGGAGATCGCACAGTTGTAAAAAGCTGTGGATAAATTATTGTATTAATATGTCTTATCATTGAAATTTTAATTTAACGAAATATGAATGAAAAGTAAATCTTAAGAATTCTACAATAAAAGAATAAAAAATACTCAGTCAATTTATATAAACAGTTTGGGCAATCGACAGCGGAACTCAATTTTTATTTCTAGAAATAAAGTCGGCCACAAACTAAATAAAAAAACGTACTAAAATTTAAATAAATTTTTTTATTAATATAAAAAAAGTTACTAAAGAATCCAATTTGAAAATTAGAAACTTTTTCATGTTTTAAAAACATGAATTTAAGTAAAAAATAAATAAAAACTGTCGTGTTATAATTTATAGAAAATTAATATTCACGTCAGGGTTTTGAGAGTCAGCGAATGAAAGCTCTCGGTAATTGTGATGTATGTAGGCATTCTTAAATTCTAAAAAATTCGAAGCTAAAATTATTATTATTATATAGAGTGCACTGTGTGCAAATTGAAAGGAAAATTGCATGAAAGAGATAAGACAATGACAAAAGAATCTGCATTACAAAACTAAAAATATTCAAACATAATATTAATCGAAAGGGGAAGTATTTCATCTGTACAACCTAACTTTGTCTTGCAGAACTTTGTCGATTGTCTATGCTTCATTATTAAGAGTAATGGTATTTGTCGTCTCAATTATTTTTCACTTTTATAACAAGACATTGCAAGCTAATCACTGTCCCATAAATGAGAAACTCCTAAAATAGCTTCTAACTAAAAATCGAATTATGTTTTTATTGTGTGAAATATGGAGAATATTTATAAGAAAATCAGATATCTAATATCTATAATAATTCTGAACGAATGATCTAATGGCCTAAGAACTATATTGAGCAGAAGTTATGTAAATTTTTCTCTTTACATAGAATTAATGCTCCTGATGAAGATTTTTCGACAAATTCAAACTTCAAGTCTTTTTTTTGAAGTTTGAATCTACTTTTCTATATAAGTTAAAGGAAGCAGCATTGCAAACTGCGGAAAAAAATAATCAGTGCCCGGTGGTGCCCGGTGGCCTCTCTTTGAGAGAAAAAAATAAGTTTTCTTTTATGTATACTTGACGTTTGTTTTGCAATATGGAACCATCACTCATCCTGGTATTTGACTGGTGATGACGACATTATTGCCACCTGATGCTGTCGGTGGCGATGATGGTTCTTGCATAAGTGTATGCGTCTCCTCCTCCTGATCCGACAATGGTAATGTGACCGGCGTCTCTCGTGCCTCCGATGACTTGAGTTTTATTTGACTCGGCAATTCCGTGAGCACTGGTCCGTACTGCGAAGTGGAACCCACCAGCAAGTCAGTGGATGGATTCAAACCGCCCAACATCTTAATAGCAACGCGTACAAAAAAATAAAGTAAAGGATCGAACAAAGTGGGTTTTGAGATGCATGGCGATAAAATAATAAGCAAAAACATTCTATAATTTGCGTTTATGCGGTAGAAAAGCGAAAAATATAATAAGAAAAATGGCAAATAAAACACCATACCTGACCACCACCACCACTCAATCCCCCCCTTGGAGATTTGCTTCGTCGGAAAAATCGAAGCCACACCCAAGCAATACCCAAAAATAATCCAAAAAACATCATTGTTGCTCCCACTGCCAATGATCCACTCGAACCACTTCCCACGTGTTCCTCAACTTCCGTCGTCGCATCTTTCACTGGCGGCGTCTTCTTCTCCGTCTAAAAGCAAAAAATTACTCTAAATAAACTTAAAATCAAACTAAAATATAAAAATTTACACAAAAAATTTGACAAAAATAAATACATCAGAAAAATAAATCATCTCTTCTTTTATATAATCTTCAGGTTTGCCACAAGTCAGGGAAAGTAGAATTGGTCAGGAAAATCAGTGAAAAGTCAAGGATTTTTAGTAAAAGTACTGGAAAAAATTGAATTTTTAAAATTCATAAGAAAACTCTGAATATTTGTGTATTTTTTGTTTACCTCATAAACTATGAAATTACCACGAATTCTAATAAAAAACCTACAATTTTTTCTGTTTCTGACAATGATTTGTTTTTAAATAACTTAATTCTTGAACTACAATAAAAAACAAAAAAACAAAATTAAATTTTTGTGGCAATCCTGATCTTAGATAGAAAAAATAAATGAATCGATATAAATTGTTTTTTTCAACTCGATACTATTATGCAAGTAAATAAAGAAAAATTTATAAATAGTTTCTCTAATTACATCCTGAGCTTTGTTCATTGTTGAATCATCGTCAGAGGCTAGATGGACAATCAATTCTGTCAGGCCAGCGACAAAAATGCAAAACGAAACAGACAAAAGAAGCCACTCGAGCCATTTTCTCGAGCTAAATTTATGTCGTGAAAATAGTCTGGAAAAACTGCTCCTTAAACCACTGGTGATACGAGGATCCCTTCCATTATCATAGGCATAACCCACTGTTGTCGGTTGATAAACAGCACTACTTTCAGGCATATTTGCAAATTTTTTAAATTCTCGTTTCGTTTACCTGAGAAAAAGAAAAGAAAAAAGATCACTTCAAATTCTTCTTTTTAATGCGCACTCAATAAATCACAAATTTTTTTTTTCTTTTTTGTTTTTGGCACAATGCGACAATTGTCTCGATGGATTCTGGGACACTTTACCAGGTGAAATGAAATCAATGACGAGATAATTTCACAGATAAGTGAACACAGACGGAATACACAATAGATCCATAAGATGCTGTGCAACAAAAAAAAATTTTTTTTATTCTCTTTTTGTTCAAACTGGAAAAAAAAGAACTTGTTTACTTTGCACTTGGTTTTAAAAAAAAAATGTGAGTATTCACACAAACAATGGTTTTTTCATTGTTGTGTGTGATGACCTGCGTCAGCGTACTGTAATTATATATATAGATGATCCACTCAATAAAATTTTTTTCTCTTATTTAGTGACAGAAAAAAGAAAATTTTAATTCGTATCTTTATATTTCTTTGTGCAAATTTTGTTCTATGGGGAAACTTTGTTTATATTTGTGACAGTTTTGAGTTATAATTAGACAAAATAAGAGAAAAATAATAATGAATTAAGGTTAGGTGCGACACAGTTAATACTAGGGTTGTGAAGTTTCATGAAACTTTGGAAAATGAAATGTTTCATGAAAGTTTCATTGCTTCATGAAACATTTCAAAGTTTCAAGTTTTAAGCGGGAAATTTCAAATTCAATGCAAGAAAGTATAATAATTAACGCATATTTTGTTGTCAAAAACATGAAGTATTATTACTTACTTTAATATCTTTCTTTAATTTTTATAAATAAAATAAATAATTAAAAAATATATTAATAATTTAATTTTAAGTCACTCGTTAGAGGTAATATTTCAGGTAATTTTTAGTTAATATTAACATAACTACTCTCGTGTTTTCGGATGTAAACAAAAAATTTTCATTAAATTGTTTCGAACTAACCTAAAATTTCTAGAGATTATCTAACCTAAACTGACAACTGCGCATGTGCAAATAAAGCTTAATTATTGGTTCTTCAATGTTTCATGAAATTAATGAAACTTTCGCTTATGAAACATTGAAACTTTCAAATGAAAGTTTCATTGTTTCAATGAAACGTTTCATCACTCACAACCCTAGTTAATACACTTCATACACTTGAAAGTCGGATGAAAGTGGAGAATTTTGAATATATTGGATTATTAAATAATAATAAAAATTGTTAATTTTGCACCTTTTTGTGAAAATAAATATTTACATCTCACTTTAATAAACTAAAACACCATATGTTGAAGTGAGACATGTGTGTTATTTTTGTAAATTTTCTGATTTTTATACATGAACAGGGAGAGGTTTTTGATGATTTCGTTATTTTGTCGATTGGCATACGTGATACGTCATACGTAAATTAAAAATAAACATTTAACGATCTTTACAGTATATTACGTGCTATTTGACATTTCTACCTGATAGTTAAGTCAGGGTATCTCTGTTTAAATGTAGATAACTCACGTTAATGGAATTATCACCACGTGACTTTCGAATTTTAACTACCCAACCCTGTGTAAGAACGAATCTGAAGTAAGATCTGTCTGAAGTTAGTTGCTTTATGAAGAATGTTGACAAGTGTTTCGTTTGATTTAAATGATGTTTAGTCGTAGCATTTATTAGTAAATACTAGTTGTTAATTCCATTAATAACTAGTTGTTAAGTGTTCGAAGTATTAACAAAAGTTTCCTTTAGGTGTACAAGATGCGTGCCAAGTGAATCAAGAAGTTCGAAGTTATTGCATTCTCCCCGGCTATTGGAAAACGATACAAAGTTGCAGTTTTCTATTGAATACAATTTTATTTAAGGTATGTGATTCTTTTTTAAAAAACGAAAGGAACTAATTAAAAATTAGGTCTATTATATCAAATGTATACAATAGAAAATGTTCCATTTAACGTTAACATAACCTCAAAATTTACGAATTGATTAAGTGATTGTCATGATTGCTATTAAGTAATGAATTTATTCATTTATTTTGCAAACTTTTATTTTTAAATCTACTAAGTAGAAACAAATTCTTATAACAAGTTTTGAACACACTAAATTACAGAATAGAATACTCTTCATATTAACAATTTTTTCCCACATTTCCAACATTCTTTCTAGTAAAAATTTTCTATGTTTAAAAATTCTTTTAAAATTGAAAATATTATCTCCTTAAAGAATTAATTTAAAATTCAAACTAATATTAGCCATTTTTCCATATTACACATGTTTTTAATTTAATTTTTGCTTTTTACGTATACTTTTGTTTCTCACTTTCATTTGATACTTTTTTTTGAGAAGGAACTAGATTTACATTACATATCAAAATAGATTTTAAAATCACAAATTGAGAAGCTAATTTCTTATAAGCTACATTTTTAGAGCATTAATTTTTTTTGTGCTTATCATAATCATTCATTCAAGCTACTGCAAAAAATTATTTTTTCAATAATATTTGCTATAATAAACACAACCTTAACTGAATAGACTATACATTTATACAAAAAAGAAAAAATTTTGCGCATTATGCTGGATTTGAAGGTAATCCCATTGACCATACATCCAGTAGTTTTTGATCTTGTGGTCCCGCGCCCAAGCTCAACATTAATCCGGGAAGATCTCCTCTACAGCCTCTTCCTCTCATTGTATGAAGTACTTTCGCAATACTGCAATTATAATAATTATGAAAGAAGATTATAATAGTTTCTCAATACAGGGTTGTCATAAATAGAAAAAATTGAAGTTTTTTTTATTAGAATTCGTGGTAATTTCATAGTTTATAAGGCAAACAAAAAAGACTCCAAAATTCAGAATTTTCTAATGAATTCTAAAAATTTAATTTGTTTCAGTACTTTTAATGAAAATCTTTGACTTTCCTTGATTTCACTGATCAATTCTACTTTCCCTGACCAGTGGCAACCCTGTAATAGATCTTTCTTAGATAAATTTGAATTCTTTTTTACTAATTTAAACTCACTTTGCCCATTCCTCTTGTAAAGCTGCAAAATGAGATCTTAAAACCGAGTCCGTGAGATTTTCGTTCTCAATGGACTTTTCCATTTTAATTAAAAGTGTCGGTAGTTTCGGTGGTAACACTCCTGTCCATCTGATAACGTGTGATTGAGAATTTTCCGTCCTATGCTCAGGAGGAATTATATCAAGTCGACATACATGAGAACAAGGCAATGGAACCGCAATTGTAGTATCCACACCTGTAAATTGAAGAAAGAAATAATAAAATCTAGCAAATTTTTAAGGAGAAATTTGAAATATTGAACATACCAATGAAATTGCAAACATTAGAATCTAAATATTGAACAGCTTGTATTTGTACTCTTCGACATGCTTTCGGTACAAGAGAGCAAAGACTGTATAAAGATTTGAGAGTTGGCAATTTTGGACCTCGAACTAATACTTGTACGCCAGTGAGTACGGCGAATAAAATTTGCCTAAATTGTTCCCTTCCAAGAACTTCCCTTAAGTTACGTAAAATTGTCGTTGGACACGTATTCGTAACTTCATCAATTTGAGGAACGTCTAAGTCTAAATTTAAAGTCACTGGTAACTTGGCATTGAATAACATATATCCAGTAGGACCTCCTAAAATATACAATTGTCAATTGAAAAAAACAATATTTGTTAATTTAGGCTTTTTTTCGAATTTTTACACAAATAATTATTCAATGTTCACGTGATATTAGAATTAAAATTTACCTATATTATCTTTGAGATTAAAATTCATTTTATCGTCGAGCAGACTGAATGGTAAAACTTCAACAAAATGTCTTGCTCCAGCACTCAGAATCCACACTAGCCACATATGAATTCTGCAAAATAATTTTGTTTCATTTTTAAATAATTGGATTAAAATTTATTTAAAATCTATATTAACTTTTTTAACTATTATCTTGAATTTTTCGAATATTTTGATTTCAAATCGTACCTGACATAAACGTGTTTTTCGTTTGTAATTTTAGTGAGAGTTCTAGGATATTTATTCGCGTTCGCTTGTGACGAGGTTCCATTATTGGCATTTGAAAGACGAACGGCTCTTTGTGGACATTCGGCTTCTTCAATATTGTAGTTTCTCTCGGCATAGTCTTGTAATTCTCGTATCACTTCCTTCAAATTATCGACAAGAAAAGGCCACATATTCAACAGGAATTGTTTATCACGCATAAAAACAATGAAACTACACCAACGTCTAAAACCTCTTGCCTGAAAACAAAGTTTTCAAACAGAAAAAAAGAAATAATTACTGTTTCTTAACTATGTTGTTTTGATGAGGAAAAAAAATGATTTTCAATTACTTGAGCATCCTTCAGGGTAAATGTGTGACTTAAAACATGTCCTCGATTATCGTCTCCAAAATAACAAACACCTTCCTTTCCTGGGTGTACCTCGCAACTTAAACTCCTAAGAAAACGTATTACATTCTTTATAATGCAAGTAATAAGAATTTTAAATAAATTTTAAATTAAGCTGAAATTTATACCTAATACAAGCATGTTTCAATAAATTATCAATATCAATCAATAATGATTGTTGTGCCGATAGAAATGATGTTCTCGTTTCGTGTTCATTACTCAAATATTTTAAGTCACCTAAACTATGACAACCTCCACAATCTTGTTGCACTTCAGATTGAGGAGATGAATTTTTTGTAAAAATTTCCTTTGGTCCGTAAAATTTAAGTTTTTCCACATTTTGATTATCATTATTTTTATATGTTTGTGTGGTGAATATGATTTTTGGTCCATGCATTTCACAGAAACTGCAAAGAGCTATTGCTGCATTCATTTCTTTTGCTATTAGACGGAATAGTTTCAATAATTCTCGAAACTCAAGGCTGAGCCTGAATATTTTTTCGACGTTTCTTTGGTTTTAACATTACCTGAAACATTTGTAAATTATAAAGTTTGTTTCTTAGAAAATAATAAATAAAAATATCCAACATTCGGAAATTCTAAACAAGTATGTTTAGAAATAAATAAATTTTCAAAAATTGTAATTGAAGAGTTAATTAATAATTTAAGAGTTAGATTTAATTGTCGTTTTCTTTTGAATTTGCAAAGTTATTAGAGTTTTATTTACTTTGTTACGTTTTTAAAAGTTAGGAAATGGTGATAAAAATGGAAAGTTAACAAGAAATAATAAATAAATAACTTGTGGATTTGGTGGATTTTAAAGGGATATGTTTTTATAAGATGTAGACGAATGTTTTAATAAATATTTCGTTGAAAAATGTGAAGAACTTGCCTTTGTACTAATTAAAATCGGGTGAAATAATGACCACTAGGGGACTTGAGTTTATCAGCTTTCTCACGTGACAAACAAAAATAAAGACTAATGACACATGACGTTTTCACGATAAATAACAAAGCCTACATTTTCAACAACATCAAAAAGAGTCGTCTGCAATTCAATTTGCATTAAATTATACATAGATTGTCAACAAAAAGAGAAAATTTCAGTATAGAAAAAGACCAATTTATTGTATTTCTTTCTTTGTTTATCGCATTGAACTTAAGGCGTTCAGGCGCGTTTACAAATTTTTACAGGGTTGGGAAGTTACGAATAACCTTCCACGTCATCAATTAACCTACCCAATACTTATTACCGGTGTCGTTACTCGTTGACACGAATTTGTTAAAGTAAACTTACTTTTTCGGAAAAAATGGTTTTTTCTCCTTTACTCTTTAGTTATTCTTTAAAATATTTTTGTTCGCAACAAAATTGATTCATTTTGTGTCAAACTTCATTGAATTATTTAGTTTCTTGCTTTGTAATGAGTACAATGTTATTTTTTGTAATTGTGTTTACATTCGTGCTTCTGGTATTTTCGAGTATTTTCTGTTGGGTATGGCTGAGAAATCGAAAAGAAGAGAATAGTATCTGCATTGTTGTTTTCGGAGATATTGGAAGAAGTCCACGAATGCAATATCATGCAATTTCATTCGCGAAAGAAAATTTTGCAGTACATCTTATAGGTTATCCCGGTTCATCACATTTGAAAATATTTTCCGAATTTCCAAATGTTAAAATCGATTATCTTACATCGCCACCAGATTTGCAAAATAGTAATTAAAATTAGATTTAATATTATATAATTATAATAGTTATAAAATCTATATTTGGATTCCTTAATTGGATTTTTCAATTATCGTCAAATCGTTTCATTGTTTTCTATTTGTTATTTTCAGAAGTAACACGTCTTGTTTCGTACGCAGTAAAAGTTATTTGGCAATCTGTGAATCTTTCATATACTTTGCTTACTAAATGTCGTTCGTCTCATTTGATGTTACAAAATCCTCCTGCCATACCAACGATTCTAATATGCTGGATTTTCTGCTTTCTTTCGAATGTGAAATTTGTCATTGATTGGCATAATTATGCTTATTCGATAATGGCCATGAGTCTGGGTCGCAAGCATTTTTTGGTCAAGCTTGCAAAATTTATTGAATCGTTTTTCGGCAGGCAAGCTGATTATAATTTTTGTGTCACCAAGGCAATGAAAAATGATTTGCAAACTAAATGGGGCATAGAGTAAGAATTTCTAATTTTCAAATATTTTAGTATTGAAAAAAAATATATATTATTGTAACATATTGATTGATAATTTATTTTCACTTTAATTGTAACATATTTAATATTTTAATTTTATTAATTTTATTCATTTCATTAATTTCATTTTAATATTTTAAAGTAATTTTTCTTTTAATTTTCAGAGCGAATGTTTTGTACGATCGTCCACCAGAACGTTTCCGACCGATCTCAGTGGAAGAGAAGCACGCACTTTTTTTAATATTGGGCGAAGATTATGAAATATTCCGAGGAGAGAATGATACATGTACATTATTTACGGAAACTTTACCTAATGGTGAAATTCAAATGCGTTCGGATAGACCAGCTTTACTGGTTTCTAGTACCAGTTGGACGGAAGACGAAGATTTTTCAATACTTCTAAATGCTCTTGAAGGTAACGCTTAGTAGTTAAATAAAAATTAATATTTTCCCAATGTTAATTTATATTTATTCTATTTGTTATAATTTTCATAAATTTGTAATAATTGTAATTATATTGTTTTTATTTACAGATTATGAAGCATCTTGCATAGAAAACGATATGCAACTTCCAAAATTGTTGTGTGTGATTACTGGAAAGGGACCATTGAAAGATTTTTATATCGCTTTAATCGAGAGGAAAAACTGGCAAAATGTAACAGTTATTACACCTTGGCTTGAAAATGAAGATTATCCCAAAATCTTAGGTAAGTTATAGATTGTCAATTATTAATTAATAGCAAAAGTTACACGCGGAATGTGATATTCAATTTTTTATTATTATTTTGCAAATTACAAAAGTTTTATTTTCAAATATAAATTTTTGAATAATTTCATAATCAAAATTTAAAAAATTCACTTATTAAGTACATAATTAATTATTATTGTTTGACGATTTTTATATCCGTTTTTCTAAAAATTTTAATAAAAATCAATAATTAAATGTTTAATTTCAATTATTTAGAAACACGATTATTTTAGAAACTTGAAAGAAATTGTTCATAAAATTAAATTAAAATTATTAAAGATTATTATTTAAAAAAAATTCAAAGAAATTCTTCAAAAGAATTCAATTATTTTCATAAACAATACAATTCTTGGAAATAATTAAATTATTTAAAAAGTTTATAAATACTTTTAATAAAAATTATTTCATTTAAACGTTCGAAAGTTGTGGATTGAAAAAATTATTTTTTATTAGATAAATGGTGAAATTCACTTAATTTGACATCTTCCTTTCAGGTAGTGCAGATTTAGGAGTTTGTCTCCACACATCATCAAGTGGTTTGGATTTACCAATGAAGGTGGTCGACATGTTTGGCTGTGGACTTCCTGTTCTTGCCTACAATTTTGAATCGTAAGAATTTAAATTCATAAACATATTTCCATAATTTCGATTTATAATCTACAAAGAATGTTTCTCTTTCAGTTTGGATGAATTAATTCAACACGATGAAAACAGTTTGGTATTTTCTGATGAAAACGAATTGTCAGAACAATTGAAAATGTGGTTCAAGAATTTTCCCAATGACGAAATACAAAAGGCAAAATCGAGTAGATTCAAACAACAATTGGAAAAGTTCCGACTGATTAGATGGCATGGCAATTGGTCAGTCATCGTATTACCTTGCTTCAAGTGATGAAAATCTGAAAAGACTGCAATACTCTATTCCTCAGGTTTTTAAATCCCATCTTTTCTCATCTAATACGTTAAGTTTCGATTTAAGTTAGAATTTCTTTACGTTAACAAAAAAAGAATTTCAATTTTTTCTTAAGTCAATTTTACATTCCAAATATTTTTTCCTTTTTGGTAACGCATTTGGCGTTTTTTTTTTATTTTTGAATTATTACGTTAAAAAAAATCTTAAAAAGTGTTTATTATGATAACGTCTCAAAGACGATTTATCATCAAAAATTAGACCAAACGACTTTACTAGTCTCAAATTTAATATATAAAGATATATTTGTAATTTTATAAAATATTAGACTAGTTGGATATGAAAACACTTGAAATTAGAAATTACGAATCAAAATACACACTGCAGAACGAAATTTAACGTCTGTTATAATTATAATTATCCTAGCTTCCTAATTATTTTCCCAATTACAAGTCTTTTGACTTAAAATAAAAGAATCAAATTTATTAAAGAATATTTATTTACAAATATATATTTTGTAAAAAATGATTAATGCTGACAATTTCTAAATGTACAAAAAAAAAATTTTTTTTTGAGAAAAAAGAAGTAAATAATGTAAAAAGAACTTATATTGATGAAATGTTAATTGTATGTCAGGTACAGAGAAATTTAAACTAGAAGTCGTTCAATTTCTTGTTGAATCGCTGTTATTTGAGGCTTCAACTGGGAACCTTCGTTCACTGTTACGGAGCAAGCAACAACTGGTCGGGATACTCCGCAGGCACGTCCAAGGGCTTGTTTACTACGAACGAAAACGTAAGGAACGTTCTTGTCTTCACAGAGAAGTGGTAAGTGCAATAAAATTTCCAAAGGCTGCGCATCAGCTGCCATTACAATAAATTCCGAAAGTCCGCGATTCAATGTTTTTGTTGCTTCGTTCGCTCCTTTACGAAGTTGTTTATAATTCATGGCCTGCTGTACCAAATTTAATATCTTCGCCGTCAATGTAGCATCAGCCAAAGGGTACGCCTTCGGGTTAATTTCTTCAGTCTAAAAAGAAAAGAAATTGTTTTTAATTATGTTACAATTTCAGGGTTAGCAGAAAAATTTTAAGCAGAAATGTATTTTAATCGTCATGCAATCGATTAAAATACATTTTTTTTGTAGTGGTCATTATTTATCAAAAGTTTAGAATTTGTAATTAATAATTTTAATGATTAAATATTAATTTAGATTATTTAAAGGTAAGAAGTATATTTATGAAAAGTACCGGACACGTGGAAAACATAACCTCAAAAGTATCGACTATTCAACAATCGTAATTATTTCAATGAAAATTTGTTTGTTACTCACCATTTTTGTTTTACTCGATAAACTCGCTGTATGTCTCAGAGAATTAAAACCTCTCAGCGATTAAATTCGAAAATCGCTTCACTGAGGAACGGAAAAATAAGATTTTAAACGTTTACACAACGTTTAACAAATGTGAATAATGAAAAGGCATGCAAAGCGCGAAGAAGTGAAATGAAAACAGGGTGGGGAAATTGGATTGTAACCTTTTTACATAATGCGTAAAACAGAGCAAAAAAATTTGATTGGTCACTTTTTGAATGTGTCCAGTTGTGTCAGCAATTCTGATTGGTTACAATTTAATATTTGAATTTCCCGCTGAACAAATACATCCTGCGTATGTAACGGTAACTTGACAATACGTTCTTTCCGTTTCTTTCCAATTTTTGACATTTAATTAAAAGTATATAATTTTTAGGGTAATTATGTAAATTTTCAACAAAATTAAAAATAATGACATTTTATCCTATTTCGGGTAAATATTCGAAAATAATTTGCGCGCATGTTTATTATTAGTGTAGGTGGCGCTGCAATCGTTGATTTTTGTCAGAATGTCTCTGACACACAGCTGATGTCAGCAGTATAGTCAGTTCGCTTTGAAGAATTTATAGTTTTTCGGGAAATTTATTAACATTACAATTAGAGTTGAAGATAGTCTTTAGTGATAGTTATGTCGTGATGATAAATTGTATCTAATTGGAGAAGAAACAGTGTGCGATAGTGATAACAAATTATCTGGTGTGCAACTTTTGCTGATTTAAAACTCAAGGGTTATGAGGCTTAAAAGTCTAGCATTTAAAAGACTTATATATTTTTTCAATATTTATAAAGTAATTCTAAACATTTATGATGGCTAGCAAATGCAAGGTAAGTCTTTTTTTTTGAATTATTTTATTATTCCTTTTCAATCCCTTTAAAACTAACTCTTCTTGTTATGATATCGTTTACATTCGATATCCATTTATGTTAATGATGTTAATCTATAGAAATCTATTTAAAACTATCTATTAAAAGGTATCACCTTTCTTTCTGTTTTCAATGTAGAAAGATTAATAATTGAGATTAAAGTCTTTTGCAAGAAATATGTTTGATTTTCGTTTGAAGTAGATTTATATCTCTTACGAGACATAAATATATACTTTTAGTTCTGCAATATGTTAGAGATTTTAACATTTGATAAGAAAAATTTATTACTTATTTTACACGATGACAATGAAATAAAACTTACTCATAAATGGCACATTTTCTTTATAAATATGTCTTGAATAAATTTTTCTGGACTTGAAAAGTAATGACAAAGTAAATAAAGATTAGAATTTTATTTATCAATTTTTGCGAGTATTTTTTAAAATAAGTTTTATCTTGTTTTTTTTTAGTTAGTTATCAGAAATTTTTTCTTCCTTGAACGGGGGAATTTTCCTTTTTTGTCTACAAATAGCTTTTAAGATTACAATAAAAATTGTCCAGACTTTTTCAGTTTTATTTTTTGAAAAGAAAATAGTAATTAAATTTTTAATGAAATCTTATGTAAACAGGGAAAAGGAAAAATTTCGTAATAATAAATACAATAATTGAGATCTGTTTTTTTTCCTTATTCATTTATATTTCATCAATAATCGTACGTGATGAAAATTATTAAAAATTATGTAAGTGAATAAATGACAAGAAGGTAATTATTGTTTTGTTTTAGGAATGCGGTTGTGCTTGCTCTCGATGCATTAAAAACGAGAGAAGACTCAGTGATATGCATTTACATGCGGAAATTGAAAATCTTCGGCAACGTTTAATGGAACGGGATAGTCACATTGTAACAATGGAAACACAATTTTTAAATGAAGCTGACAAATTTCCAAATGGTGAAATGGCCTCATTGAAAGATGAGATGCTCATTTGGCAGGACAAGTATGCAAGACTTTACGAGGCTCATAAGAGGGTGCAAAAAGTGAATCAGAATCTAGAGGATAAACTCTTGAGAATCGTTGATAAATGTGAGACTGAGAAAGGTGCCTTTACAAAGGACATAGCAACTCTATCCCATAGATTAGCAGATGCAAACTACACTATTCATCGTTTAACGCAGGATAATGTAAGTTCTTTTATTCATTTTTCCTTTTTTCAAGATTTCTTATTAAGTGAAATTAATTAAATTTTCTGCTTTACAGGAAAAATATAGGAATGATGTTAACTTAGCTATTCAATTGCTGCAGTGCAAACCTTCGAATTTCATAGGTCAAAAATACGAGTCGGTGGGTTGACATTTTTTCAAAATTAATTTTTTAAAAAATTTAATTTAATAATTTTTAAAAATTTCAACAAGTTGGATTGCCACAAAAGTTTGATTTTGTTTTTCCACGACTTTTCTAATTTCTAGACAGAATTTTGACTTTTTCCCTAAATCTAAAGAATATTTTCATTTACTTTAAAAATAATTCAATTATTTTCCTAAATAATAAAATTTTTCTCAGGATTTCAATTATTTTTAATACAATTTTAATTGAATTCCTCGAAAACATTAAACATTAATTACAAGATTAATGAAACGACAATTTTTTTTCAGTTACCATCCGAAGTGCAAGCCAAAGTGAGAACCTACATTGCCCAAAAAGGACCGATTTCCGAACCGAAACAAAGTGACGTTAAAAGTATAACTGTTCCGATATCAACATTTCCACCAACTGCAATGGTTTACAATGTAACAAGAGCGAGTATTTCAAAAAGTGATAGCTCAAGTTCAGATGATGATCCAAAACCGCCTGTTGACATTGTCTCGGCAGCAATAATGGCAAAAGTTCTTGAGGATCGTGAAAAGGAGAGAATTTTCGCCAGACATTGTGATACATGTACTTGTCATAGAAGCGTTTTAAAAGTCAATACCGAGGTGCAAACTGTAAATGTTTTCAATACATGCAACGAATGTCAAACAAGACAGGATTCATCTCGGAGCAGTGATGATAAAACAGAAAAACCGGATTATTATAAAAATGATCGTACCTCTAAATTGCATTATAATCAAATTCGAGATTCCTATTCACATTCAATATTTCCCGTTGTTAATGATTGTTCAAAAACATTTAGTAAAATAAGAACACAACAAAACAGTGATAATTCAAAAAATGCTATTTATCATTATGTGAATGAAGTTGCCGAGAGTAAAAATAATCAAAAATTTGATAATACCAAATCGACAAATCGTTTATTTGGTGGAACGAAAAGTTATTCCAATTCGAAGAATACAATGAAACAACAAAATTCATTGAATATAACTGCCGAGACGAAACTTTTGTCAACGGAAAATTCTGATGATAAACTAGAGGAAAAGGCTGATCAGATGAAATTATCCAAGAAACATAATCAATGGAGTGACATTGAGAAAGCTTCATTAGGTGGACATGCTGCACAAGTTGAAATAATAAATGATCGTCTTTGGAAAAGCAGTTGGACAAAGTCAGATTTTCATGATTTTAATCATTCAAATGATGATCGTCGAACACGAACCGGTAAAGATACGCACATTGATGTGATTAACGATAGAGTTTGGAAACATAATAAATCAAAGACGAAGGAAGCAAAACCAACTCAATTGACTCTTATTAAAGTGGCAAGCGTTGATGAATTGACAAATGAAATTAGGCCCGAAAGTACAGTGAGTCCGAGTTTCAGCAGTGATAGTATTATTTTTTCCACTTCAGATCCATCCAGTATTTCCAGTGACATGCAATCGACAAATAAATGTCTTTCCAAACAAGAGAAGAAAAATTGCAATATTGATCTTCAAGCTGGTAAATCGGAACGAACAACTGGTCCAAGAAGTAGTGTAATGAGAGTAACTGGTAAATCGAATAATATTCTTTTAGACAATGTGGGAAATTATCAACAACCAATTCTCACTGAGAATTCAGTTACCTTTCCAAATACTGCACTAGTTCATACGACAAGTTCGTGTCGATCAGGAAGAACTGTGTCAACAAGTAGCGAAGAGAATTCATCAATTTTATCACCTGACAATGTTCATCTTCAAAGAGTCGCCGATTGGGTGAAATCTTCAGTGCAACTTGACAAACAATCAAATCAATCGGATAAATTGTCAATAGACACGAAACATTTTAATCAATTTTCAAGAAATGAATCGCTGGCGATTAAAGAGCAAGTTGTCGTTGTTGACAATGTCGCAAAGAATTCTGAGAAGAAAGAAAAAGATCTCATCATATTCGATCCGAGTAGTGACGAGGAAAAAGATTTGAGTGATTTGAAGAGGAATTCGAAGGAAAATTCCCCCCTCGCCGATCATTATCAAGTTGCTAATATTTCGATAGGAAATTCAACTGCCGATAATCATTACGAAGTGAAAGTGACAAAGGAAATGGAGGAGACGTATTTAAAATTGACAGCAAGTCTTGATCCTGTTGCATTGAGATTGGCAAGCATGACTGGTGCTGATTTAACCATCGAGAAATACAGGAAAGATCACAAACGTCTTCAGAATCAAAAAATTCCATCAAAATCAGATTCAACGACGTAATATTGGAATTTTCGCGAAAGGTTAATTTTCATTAGTTTCTTAAAATTTGCCCGTTAATATTATTTATATAATACAAAGTATTTAAAATAATTTATTAACTATAAAGTGAGTTTAAAGAATTCTTTTTCTCTGAAAATAATAGAATAATAATTTTATTATTATACTATTGTTAATCGTATTTTTTAGACTCATTTTAAAACTAGAGTTCTGCATTCACTAAATTTTGCAGAAGATAAATAACAATGTGATAATTTCATTTTTGCAATTATGTTACGAAAAACATAGTTTTTAGTAACTTAAAAAGTAACTACTTCTAATTGAAATTGAAAATTTGACGATTTTGGAAATCATTTTTTTTTTGGAAAATTGTTTTAATAATTAATGGATTTTAATTTTTTTTATAATAGAAATAGAGTATGAATGTTATAGGCTTTGCACTCTTCTACTAAAACTCTTTTTTAAAATTAACTACTTTTTTTACTCATTTACTAAAACTTACTATTAATTACTTTTTTACGATTTGCTACTATTTGAATACTTTTTTAGATTTTTGCCACTAAAAGCTACTTTTTTCTTTTTTTTTGGAGAATTCTCACTACTTTAAATCCGTAAATAGTTGAAATAAAAATTTTTTTATTTATTTTCTTCAATAATCATAAATTCTGTAATTTATTGTTCAATTATTTTCACAAATAATAGATTTAAGACAGTAGTCTTAAATCTATTTATTGCTACTTTTTAAAAAATAATTATCAAGTGCAGAGCCTGATGATAGAAAAATTTATTCCTTAAACTTTTCTTAACACTGACAGTTGAATTAGTTTTCTATTAATTTAGCATTTTATCTATGATTTTTTTATCACTCTTAAAAAATGAGCACATATTAAAATACAGTATTAAATTAATTTGCTCACAATATAAATCGTGACAATATTTTTATCTATTTAATACTTGTGGAAAAGAATGAAAAATTTGTATTCGACATTTGAATTTAGCGCCATTAATTTATAATTTGGTAAAAAGTAAAAACTTTTGGGTTGGTACTTCTGTCGTGATTGATATAAACCTAACTTCAAGAGGTCGCTCTTAAAATTTGACTTGAGTTTTGTGTGGTTTTGCCATTTTTTGCAGACTTCACTGTTTTTTAATTAAAAAAGAACATTAAATAAGTTTTTAATTATTTAAATATTGTGTTTGAATATTAATTCCAATTGGAATATATTTTAATCAGTAACTTCCAAGAAGTGAATTTTTATGTCTCATTTTTTCCTAAATACACGATGCCAAATACAATGTAACAATGAAATATGCAATAGCAAAAGGTATTATTTAATTTAAATAATAATTGATTAAATTTTAGTATCATTATTAATAATAACTCTGTATGAACTGGATGTTCCTCAGGAAATTGCCTAACTTGCTTAGAGCAGACAATATTACATTTATTTTGATAAAAAGTGAACTCTTTCTTCCTACATATAGACAAAAAAGAAAATGTGAAAATGTTTTTAATAACTGTAAAGAAAAATAGTTTTTAAGTTACAAATGACATCAATATTTTCCTTCTAAAAGTGTTAAATAATAGATTCTGCAAACTGCGTGACGATAAGGAAAAATTATTTATTATTATTTTTTCAGTTTAAATGGAAATTATTTTTTAAAACAAAGAGATGGATTTAGAGGTTATATTTTAAACAAAATTAAAAATTCTCATTTATTTTAATTTTTACTTTTTTACTGCTATTTATTATTATTACTGTTAATATTTATTATTTGTTTTATTTTTTATTTTTTAGATGAAGTAAATTAATTAATTATTAATGAAGTAAACTATTGATTGACATATTTGAAAATCATACTTATTACATGTTTTTATTATGCCATACGTGAAATATTTATTTGTCGAAATTAATGAACAATCCATCTCTAAATGGTGTCGATAATAATTGTATTAAAAGTCGACTTGCAACTTGCTAGAAATATATAATAATATAAAAAGTAAAAATCATCAAATAATATATCTTCGCCGTTGTAATATAATATACATATATGACAAATAATTGATTCTATAGAAAGAAAAGTAGAGTTATTTAAAAAGAAGCGAGTTTTAATTATTATTATTCTTATTATTATTATTATTATTATTATTATTATTATATAATAAAACAGTGAATGTATTGTTGTAATATATACATAAAGTAGAGCAGAAATTATTGTTTACATATTCGACGTGTATATATATATTGAATTATGTACAATATACGCATTTAAATTAGGTATACGCCTAATTTGAATTTTTTCATTTGAATTTGAATTTCAAATTTTTTATATTTCATTTGCAGAAAATTACCCTTTATTATCATTAATATTAACCACTTTTTTTGTTTCATTTTTTGTTTTAGACGAAATTATACACAGTGAGAATTCATTGTGAATTTTTCAGAGGCAATGTTAGAAATTCCTTTATAGACGATGATATGAAGAAGATTGGTTTTAAAGAAAAGGTATCATTTATTCTTCTTTTTTTTATTTTTAATGTATTTTTTTCAGGCCTCGGATCGACTTTAAGGCGCGAAAAAGTCGCTTTAGTTGATTAAAAATACAAAAAAAGTCGAAAAAGTAATTCAGTCTAGTCACAAAAATTTTATTTTGTATTTTTACTGATTCCTCAATTCAATTATTCACAATTTGAATAATTTTGTTAAATAAATATTTAAATAGTTATTTTTTTCCACGGGAATTAAAATTTAATAAATTTGAATTTAAAACTTTCTTAAATTTAGTAATTTCTGAAAATTATATATAATAATCGTCGTGATTCCAGATTTCCGGATCTCTGTCCACACTTGAAGTTAGTTATAGTTATTCTTTTGTTTTTTATACGTTTTGATAGAAAATAGAAATATATATATACATATACATACATTATAATAATCGTAAGTTTCCTTTCCGTTAGCAAATTATCTGCATTCACTTGTTTGTCTTGAAAATTTAATTTTGTGGGTTAAGTATTGGCATTTTTTATATATTTTTTAATGTCAAACTTTTTAATGTGGAAAATACTTTACTTATTAAATTGTCTCGACTCTTTGGTAAAAAATCTAAAATTATCGGAAATTATCAAAAATTCAAAAATCCGAATTTCTTAAAATTTAACATTCTTTCCTCTCTTTTATGGGATTTAGCTTCATTATTTTTGTGCTTTTGGAAAATACTTTACTTATTAAATTGTCTCGACTCTTTGGTAAAAAATCTAAAATTATCAAAAATTCGAAAAATTTCAAAAATCCGTTTTTCTTAAAATTCAACATTTTTTCCTCTCTTTTATGGGATTTAGCTTCATTATTTTTGTGCTTTTAGAAAATACTTTACTTATTAAATTGTCTCGACTCTTTGGTAAAAAATCTAAAATTATCAAAAATTCGAAAAATTTCAAAAATCCGATTTTCTTAAAATTCAACATTTTTTCTTCTTTTTTATGGGATTTAGCTTCATTATTTTTGTGCTTTTGGAAAATACTTTACTTATTAAATTGTCTCGACTCTTTGGTAACAAATCTAAAATTATCGAAAATTATCAAAATTTCAAAAATCCGATTTTCTTAAAACTCAACATTTTTTCTTCTCTTTTATGGGATTTAGCTTCATTATTTTTGTGCTATTGGAAAATACTTTATATATTTAATAGTCTCGACTCTTTGGTAAAAAATCTAAAAGTATCAAAAATTCGAAAAATTTCAAATATCCGTTTTTCTTAAAATTCAACATTTTTTCTTCTTTTTTATGGGATTTAGCCTCATTATTTTTGTGCTTTTGGAAAATACTTTACTTATTAAATTGTCTCGACTCTTTGGTAACAAATCTAAAATTATCGAAAATTATCAAAATTTCAAAAATCCGATTTTCTTAAAACTCAACATTTTTTCTTCTCTTTTATGGGATTTAGCTTCATTATTTTTGTGCTATTGGAAAATACTTTATATATTTAATAGTCTCGACTCTTTGGTAACAAATCTAAAATTATCGAAAATTATCAAAATTTCAAAAATCCGATTTTCTTAAAACTCAACATTTTTTCTTCTCTTTTATGGGATTTAGCTTCATTATTTTTGTGCTATTGGAAAATACTTTATATATTTAATAGTCTCGACTCTTTGGTAAAAAATCTAAAAGTATCAAAAATTCGAAAAATTTCAAATATCCGATTTTCTTAAAACTCAACATTTTTTCTTCTCTTTTATGGGATTTAGCTTCATTATTTTTGTGCTATTGGAAAATACTTTATATATTTAATAGTCTCGACTCTTTGGTAAAAAATCTAAAAGTATCAAAAATTCGAAAAATTTCAAATATCCGTTTTTTTAAAATTCAACATTTTTTCTTCTTTTTTATGGGATTTAGCCTCATTATTTTTGTGCTTTTGGAAAATACTTTACTTATTAAATTGTCTCGACTCTTTGGTAACAAATCTAAAATTATCGAAAATTATCAAAAATTCAAAAATCCGATTTTCTTAAAATTCAACATTTTTTCTTCTCTTTTACGGGATTTAGCTTCATTATTTTTGTGCTTTTGGAAAATACTTTACTTATTAAATTGTCTCGACTCTTTGGTAAAAAATCTAAAATTATCAAAAATTCGAAAAAATTCAAAAATCCGATTTTCTTAAAATTCAACATTTTTTCTTCTCTTTTACGGGATTTAGCTTCATTTTTTTTTGTGCTTTTGGAAAATACTTTACTTATTAAATTGTCTCGACTCTTTGGTAAAAAATAAAAAATTATTAAAAATTATCAAAAATCCGAAAAAGTGAATTTCTTAAAATTCAACATTTTTTTTCTCTTTTATACCATTTAGCTTTATTATTATTTGAATTTTTATGCAAGAGAAAAAATGGAAAACTGAAAAAATTTAGAATTTTTTAAAAATTACAGGCCTTTTCCATGATTTCCCTGATTTCCAGAAGCCTTTTAAAAATTCCATACCATTTCCATGATTTCCATGATTTCCAGATTCTGTAGGAACCCTGCTTTTGTCTGACTTTCTTCTGAATTATCGAATTCAGTGATTTCTGGGGTGAATTTGGTTAAGTTGTAAAATGATTAATTTCTATTTGAATTCGTTTTTTTTGAATGTAGAAAATCTGATGTTAATTTAATTTTTTTTTCGTTATGCACGGCAAAAAATATTTAGCCGAATGAACTACAGATTTCACTTTAGTAGCGAAATTATTTAGTGCTTTAATTAATACTTTCGTTATTCTAGAGAAACTTATCGCTATTTCAAGTAAAACTTTTTTCAGTGTGTAATAATTATTATTTCTTTAAAAAGTATTTAATTTTAAATGGCTTTATAAAATAAGCAATGCAAAAGATGACCCAGATACTAATTGTAATTGTTCTAGCCTTAGTTTAAGTCTAGTAATGTAAATTCTATTTAAATTGAGATCATTGAGTGAAATTATTTGAATTTTAGTTAGTTAAATCTCTTTGTTAGGTTATAATAATTATTTCTTTAAAATTTTTTAAATTGTTTAAAATAAGCAGCCCCATACAACATTCCCGCGCGCTTGCGCGCGGATAGTTTGGCTAGTTATTACTATAAATCTTATAAAACTAAATTATTTTTTACAATTTTTAAATAAACTTTATCTCTAAATCGAGTATTTTTAATAATTTTACGAAAGTTCTTCGAGATTTTAATTATTTACATACAAAAATTCAATTTTTTTATAATAATTGTAAATTTAAATTTTAGTGTTTTTTTAGAAATATTTTTATTCAATTTTTTTTATTTATTATATAAAATTGAAAAATTTCAAAACATTTCAAGTTTAATAAAATCTTTAAAAAATTATTGAATTATGTTTTTAATACAACTTTTAATTAAATTTCTCTAAATATCTAATAAACTTCTTCGAAAGAATTATTTAATTATTCTCAAAAATTTTAATAACATTTTTCCAATTAATTTCACGAATAATAGAATTATTTGCAGGATTATTTTCATCGAAAATAAAATTCTTGGCATGAATTCAATTATTTAAAAAAATTAATAAAATTCTTTGCAAAAATTCAATTATATTTTTTATAAATAATGAAATTCTTCGCAGAAATTCAATAATGTTCAAAAATTGTTTTAAATTCTCGTCAAAATTTCAATTATCTTTAGAAATAATTAAATTCTTCTCCGAAATTCAATTATTTTCAAAAATTTTTCTCAATTCAATGATTTTCAATATCTACTATTTTTGAATTTTCATAAAATTTTCCCAAAAAATCCAAATATTTAAAAAAAAAATTAATAAAGTTCTACACAAACTTTTAATTATTTTCAAAAAATAATAATAATTTCACAGGAATTTCATTATTTACAATTTTTTTTATAAATTTCTTCGCAATCATTTAATTCTTTTTATAAATAATAAAATTTTTACGGGGATTCAATTATTTTCGTAAATAATAAAATTCTTTTTAGAAATTCAATTATTTTCGTAAATAATAAAACTCACTGCAGAATTTCAATTATTTTTAATACAATTTTAATCAAATTTCTGGAAAAATGTAATTATTCTTAAAATTTTTATTAAAATTCGTTGATAGAATTCAATTATTTGAAAATTTGTTGATAACGATTCTTTATGGGAATTGGATTTTAAGAAACATTCAATTATTCAATAATTTATTATTTTCGTATTTAAATAATTGAATTCTAGTAGAATTTTCTAATAAAAATTGATTTAAAAATTAATTTCAGTTAAAATTTTAGGTAATAATTGAATATTAAAAGCAATATAGCGTGAATTTTTAGAAAAAATTGAATTTTGAAATTAATATTTTTGAAAAAGTTTAATTGAAGTTTTTTAATATTATTTTAAGTTTTTATTTTCTAATATTGATTTAATTGGAGAATTTACGAATAACTAAACTTTCGTTAAATTGAATATCGTAAAGAAATGGATTTGAAAATTGTCAAAGAACTTTTTCGAAAAATATTAAAAATTAATCATTATAGATAATCGATTTAAAGAAGAATTTTTCATTTTTGGTCCGTAAAGTCTGTAGTTTTAAATACTTTCACTGGTTCGAGACTTAAAATTTTAAAAATTCATAATATCCGAAGCCTGTTTTTAATATTTTTTGAAATATTTTTGAAATATTTGAAAAAACTTTTTTAAAACTATTTTTTAAAAGGTTTTTTTTAATGATTCCCATTCTTACTAATTTAAGCTCTCTGTATATTTTATTTTTATTATATTCCATTATATTAGATGAAAATTAAAATTTTTATTTTAATATTTTTATTTTTTTTTGTTAATTATTTTTACAGTGGAGAATTGATGATCTTTTTCGTGAAGCAAGTACATGCATATTATGTATAACAACGATTGAAAGCCGCTTGTTATTTATCAATGTAAGTATTTAGTCAAATGGAGTATTAAATTTTGCATTTAATGAATTAGGTATATTCTGTAATATATGCACGTGCAATGCAGCATGGAGAGTTGAAACTTGAATAACAGATTGGTTCGTTATAGAAACTGTTATACATATGTATAGCACACATGGAACAAGCCCTGCCCATTCCTGTTCAATCAGGCTAATGTTCCCATAATTCGGTGCTAGTAGCTTTCGATGACTTAATGAATGAATAAATGGCCTCGTCTTCTTCGATGGTTCATCGATAGAACTTCAGCTGCGTATACATATTGGTTTCATGCTCCGATTCAAAGTTCTCTTTCTTCGTTTCCAAACAATCATTGTGAGTACCTATTTTTTTACAATTCTTTTTTTTTTGTTTTAATATTTTTACTTTTCAAATTTAATTAGAAAGAAAATAATAATTTAAGAAAAAATGAATAAAGTAATTTTTACTTCATTCGTTACCCTTTTCGTATAGTAAAATCTAAATTGTGGCTTTGCACTCATCTACTAAAACGTACAATTTACTACTTTTTTTTACGATTTGTTACTATTATGGATCCATTTCTTTAGAATTGTCCCACTAAAAGCTACTATTATCTTTTTCTTTTGAGAGAGAGAATTTGCACTACTTTAAAGCCGCAAATAGCTGACATAAAAAAATTCATATTCACTACCTTCAAAATAATCGTAAATTCTGTATTATTTATTATTCAATTATTTTCACAAATAATGAAATTCAATTATTTTCAATATCTACTGTTCTAATATTTCTCAAAAATAATTCAATAATACAATTTTGTTCTTTGAAAAAATTCAATTATTTTCAGAAATAATAAATTTTCACTGAACTTCAATTATTTTAAATGCAATTTTTATAAAATTTTTCGGAAGAAATCAATTATTTAAAATATTTTAATAAAACTGAATCGAAAAAATTTGTCTAAAGGAATTCAATTATTTTCAATGAAACTTTATTGACTGTCTGAATAGAATTATATTATTTTAATAAGTAATAAAATTCATCGTAAGAATTTAATTATTTTTAATACAATTTCAATTAAATTTCTCGAAATTTCTAAATTTCTAATACAAATTCTTCGAAAGAATTTAAATATTTTCAACAATTTTAATAACATTTTTCGAAAAAATTCAATTATTTTCAATATCTAAGTACTATTTTTTAAAAATATTTTTCACAAGAATTCAATTATTTAAACAAAAAATTTAATAAAATTGTTCGCAAAAATTCAATTATTTTAAAAAATAATCAAATTTCCGCAGAAATTCAATTATTTTCAAAAATAATATTTCCACAGAAATTCAATTTTTTTAAATGTAATTTTAATTAAATTTCTCGAAATAATTGAATTATTATTTTTTAACCTGCTAATAGATGAATTCAAAAAATTCTATAATTTCCTACGATTGAAAATGCGATTGATTCGAAAAAACTTCTTCTCTAATTTAATTAATTTTAATGATTTTTGAGAAAGTTATTTCAGAATTCAATTACCTATTCAAAGAAGAAAAGAAAGTTCTCCTGAAATGTTTTTTTAATTCACTTGTTTACGATTCAATTTTTTGATACTTCAATTATTCGAAAATTTTTCAATTAAACATATCTATTCAAAAATTCAACTAATTTAAAAATTAAATTGAATACAAATTTTTTGAAAAATTAACTTTCTCCGTATTTTTAAGTATAATTAAAACTCTAGTAAAATTAAATTATTTTTGTAATGTTTAAGTAAAATTATTTCCTAGATAAGTTATAAATAATAATTTTATTATTCAATTATTTACTTTTGTATTTAAATAATTGAATTCGTGTAAAAATTTCTGACAAGAATGGATTTAAAATTTTTGAAAATAATTGAATATTAGAAGTGTTTAGTAAGAATTTTTAGAAATATTTAAATTTCAAAAGTTTTTTTAAAATGAAATCTGTATAAATTTTAAATTCTGAAAAATTAAAATAATATAATTAAATATTTGTCTTTAAAGAAATTAATTTATTATTTTCTATTATAAATTAAAATTATAAAAAATTATTAACGTCTTGAATAATTTGATTTGAAAATTCTAAAAATAGAATTGAATTTTAGAAGAATTGCAGTTGTAATTTTTCGAAAACTAATCAATTATTTTGTCAATTAATTAGTTTTGTTTTTAAATAATTGAATTCTTGTAGAACTTTCTAATAAGAATTGATTTCAAAAAGAATTTCAATTACAATTTTAAAAAATAATTGAATCTCAAAAGGATTTTAAATTTAAATTTTTCATAATTTGAATTGCTGAAAAAGTATAGAAAAAAAATTTGGAAGAATTGCAGTTGTAATTTTTAGAAATAATTTAATTTTCAAATGTTTTGTATGGAAATTATTGAAAATTTAAATTCTTGTGGAAAAATAAATAACAAGTATTTAAAGTTTCATTTAATAAAAATTGTTGAATTTTTTAATAATTTAATTTCAAAATTTGGAAAGAAATGAAATTTTTAAAAAATTGTAATTATAGTTTTTTAAAGATGATTAAGTTCCTGAAAATAATTTTAAAAAATTGGGGGATTTTTGTTAAATTTCATGGAAGTAAATTTTATATTTTAAAGAATTTCGTACTTTTACTTTTAAAAATTATTTTAAAGAATTGAAAAAGAATTGAATTTTATAAAAATTTGGAATTGAAGTTATTTTGTATATTGAATCAATTGAAGCGAGTTTTTTTAATCATAATGAATGAGTGCGAATCCTAAAAACTGTATCAAATTTCTGCGAACTTCTGCTTTGCAATTTTTACTATACGCAGAGTAAATTTTGCCACGTTCGAAGTAAATTTTTGTGAAAATGTATAAAAAAGTATTTTGAACGCAGAAAAATTTACTCCAAAAATCGTCAAATTCACCAGAAATTAAATTATTTAGGTATTAAATTTTTTTAGTAATTTAATGATTCCTTTTAATTTTTCAAAATTCTTAATTAATTCTTAATTAATTTTAATATAAAGATTTTTGCCCCGACAAAAAATGAAGTCCAATCAAAATAAAATTAATATATTTTAATGAAATTCCTCACCATATTCTGAATCGTATAATTTTCGCAAATGAATGTCTAAAATTAGAAAAAGCGAGATTATTAGCTCCGATTATAAGAATAATCGGAAGTCAATAAAATTTTCCTCGCGCTAAAAGTGTTTATATAAAGTTTCTTAAATCGCGAAACAAAGATAAATGTGTCGAAACGAAAGGAAGTGAAAAAGATTTGTTAATGCAGAGGGTTGGTAATGTAGTTTACTTTAGGGGGGTGGGTGTTTTAGTCTGTTGGTGTTAGTGTGGTTAAATCAAGATACGCACGTTCATTTCCTTGACCTAGATTCAATTTTCGAGGTCAGCCACGGTCACTCGACAAGAACTCCTTTATTTAATTCTCTCTTTGTCTAATAATGAAAGTGTGAAAAGTTTTCTCCTATTGTTCTGTCAGAACAATCTTTTCACTTTCATATATTTGTAATATATATAGAGAAAATACTCATCATGATGATGATCAAAATTAATAAAAGTGTAAAGTCAAATTTTACCATTTAGATTCAATGCACGCGCGGAAAAACTTGTATACAGCACGAAGGAGTTTTAGAAATTTATCTTTTTTCTTTTTAAATATATATACATTATCCTTGTATTGTAATAGAAAATAGAAAATATTAAATTTCCGCAGAATAAGGTAAATGTCAAGGAAAATGTGATTTCTTACGCTGAAAAAAAATGTTTATTTGGTGGAAATTACCGATTTCTTTTCTATTAGCAATTAATAATGTTTACTTGAATCAAATAATTTTTATTTAAATCAATTAAATTTGAACTGAAAATTATATTTGAATCAATAATTTCAGTATTTTATTGTAGTAATTGATTTATTTTCAGTAAATTGATTTAAATAAAAATTATTTGAGTCAAGTAGATATATATTTGATAATAGAAAATTATTATTCGTTTATTTGAATCAAATAAATATTTTTCCAGTGAAATAATTTAGTAAATTAAAATTTTAATCATAATTTGGAAAATTATAATTTCAATAGATTGAATAAAAAATTATTTGATATTTGATTCAAATAACCGACTAGTTTCTATTATCAAATGAATATTTACTTGAAACAAATAATTTCAATTTAAATTAAATAAATTGTATTTGTTTAACAAAATTTAGTATTTCATTTGAAGTAAATGCCATTTAATTGTTTTAAATAAAAATTATTTGATACAAATAAATATTTACTTCAAAGAAATTATTTTTATTTAAATAAAATAAATTGTAGGTATTTGAACCAATAATTTCAGTATTTGAAGTAAATGCCAATTAAAAAATAAATAAAAATTAAAAATAAATTAAATTAAATTTTAAATAAAAATTTATTGATACAAATAAATATTTAGGTACTTCAAAGAAATAATTTTTAATTAAATCAAATAAATTGTATTTGAACCAAAAATTTCAGTATTTTGAAATAAATACCATTTAATTATATAATAATAAGTAAAAATTATTTTATACAAATAAATATGACAATATTGAATTTGAAACCTTTTCCAAATTCAATTATTTCTAAAAATTCATAATGCTTTTAATATTCAATTATTATCTAAAACTTTAACTGACAATCATTTTTAAATGATTTTTTATTAGAAACTGTACAAGAATTCAATTATTTAAATAAAAAAAAATAACTTTAACTGACAATCATTTTTAAATGATTTTTTATTAGAAACTGTACAAGAATTCAATTATTTAAATAAAAAAAAATAATATTTTATTGAATTATTCAATGTTTTTTAAAATTGAATACTTTCGACGAATTTTAATTAAATTCCTAAAAAAAATTTATTATTTATGAAAATAATTGAATTCCTGAGAAAAATTGTAATACTTTTAGAAATAATTGAATTCTTGTAGTGAATATTGTTATTTATGAAAGTAATTGAATTTTGCAAAGAATTTTATTAAAATTCCTGAAAATAATTGAATTCTTGTTATTAATATTGTAATTTATTAAAATAATTAAATTTTGCAAAGAATTTAATTAAAATTCCTTAAATTAATTGAATCCTTGTGGTGAATATTGTTATTTATGAAAATAATTGAAGTCTGCAATGAATTTAATTAAAATTCCTGAAAATAATTGAATTTTTGTGATGAATATTGTAATTTATAAAATAGAAAATAATTGAATTTTGCAATGAATTTTATGAAAATTCTTGAAAATAATTGAATTTCTGGGAAAAATTTTAATACTTGTGAAAATAATTGAATTTTTGTGATGAATATTTTTATGTTTCAAACTA